TTAAGAGTAATTAATAGACCTGCTGCCTGCTTTGTTCTTTGGATTCAAATTACCTTCCCAGTTTGGGGGAACTTAATGGTTCCCAAGTTGCACAGGGTGCCAATGTTCTTGATTTCAAGCTAATGATCTGCAGAGAGGAAACTTTGGGTTCTTGGAAAGAAGGGAATGTATTTTACATTTGGGAGGTATATAAATAATTTATGATTAGAGAGTAGACTCCTTCATTCAATAGGTGGAGCCTTGAATGTAGACTATCTTTAGCCTTCTTGAATGTAGACTATATTTAGTAACTCATTTCTGTGGAACCTATTTTGAATCAATCAGACTCTATCTTGTTAATAACTTCCATGATGAGACTTACAGGTAAAAAGTCAGCAGCCTGGCTCAATAATCTGTGGGCAATTTTGAAGAACACCCACTCACTGTTTTCTCCTTCATAATAACTATGAAAGACACCAATAGCCTATTAACTCCTTAAGAATGGTTAGGTAAGAAACAGGAACGTCATCTGCTGAATGTAACAAATTATCCCACATTGCAGCATGTCTAAAGTCTCCAGTCAAGCAACTTATAATTTCAAATGAATGACTGAGCTTAGACCACTTCCCTGTTAGATCCTTTAAAACTTCCCTCTGCCCTGATGTTGGTGGAACATACTTAGGGGTACCCCTTATAAGCCTGAATTGTCATATATGACAGCCTGATCATTTTTTTAAAATTTATTTATTTATGCATACAAGAACTGGGGTACAGCAGGAGAGATCTGCTGCACCATATGGGTAGCTCCCTGGTTGGGGATTGAACTCGCACTGCAGTGGCTGCAGATAGCTTCATAGGTTGCGTCTTTTTTTTTTTTTTAAGATTTTATTTATTTATTTATTTATTTATTTATTTATTTATTTATTTATTTATTTATACATTTATACAAGCATTGGGTACAGTCAGAAGCGCGGGAGGGTGAGAGAATTCACCAGAGCCAGAGGGGGGAGCAGAGCAGGCAGAAGGACTGAAGTACACTGCTGAGGGGAGCAGCGGGCGGCAGGAGAGGTCTGCGCGCCATGTGGGACCCTCCTCCGGTGGCCCGGGAGCAGCCGGGGATTGAACCGGCGCTGCAGAGGCTGCGGGCAGCTTTGCAACCCAGCGCTCAAACACTGTGCCACCGGGGAGGCCCATTTTTTTTTTTTTTTTAAGATTTATGTATTTATGCATACAAGAGCTGTGGTATAGGCCATAGATGTGGGGGTGAGAGGATTCATCAGAGACAGAGCGGGGAACAGAACAGGCAGACTAACTGAAACACACTGCTGAGGGCAGCAATGGGCGAGACAGGAGAGGTCTGTTTCGCCATGTGGGTTGCTCCCTGGCCGGCTGGGGATCGAACTTGTGCTGCAGAGGCTGTAGATTGCTTCATAGTGCAGTGCTTAACCCCTTGTACCACAAGGGAAGCCCTCATAGGTTGCGTCTTAACCCCTTGCGCCGCCAGGAAGGTCCAGTCTGATCATTTCTAAGGTGATACTTCAAAGGGATAGAATGTAGTGGAAATGTTAATCATAAGATGTAAGTCATATAAATGTGTCCTAACTTTCTCTTTGCTCTCTCCTTGGATCATTTGGCTGGGGGAAGCCAGCTGCCATGTTGTGAACATACACAAGAAGCCCTATGGAGAGGCTCATGTGGCAATAACTGAGGACCTAAGGCAACAGTCAGCAAGGAGCTCAGGTTTCTTGCCAACGGTCATGTAAGTTAGCCTAGAATAATCAGAGCATTAGCCGAGCTTTCAGGAAAAGTTTTCAGATGGTTGCAACCTCATGAGAGACTCTAAGCCTGAATCACCCAGTTAAGACTGCTGAATTCCTGACCCACAGAAACTGAGATACTTATTAACACTTATTATTTATTGTTTTAAGCTCCTAAATTTTGGACTAATTTGTTATACAGCAACTAATATACAAGGTGAAGTCCTCTTTAAATATTTGGTAGGGCAGGGCCTCCCTGGGGGCGCCAGGGTTAAGCACTGCACTATGAAGCAATCTGCAGCCCCTGCAGCATGAGTTTGCTCCCCCACCGGCCAGGGAGCAACCCACATGGCACAGCAGATCTCTCCCATCTCACCCGCTGCTCCCTTCAGCAGTGTGTTTCAGTCAGTCTGCCTATTCTGTTTCCTGCTCTGTCTCTGGTGAACCCTCTCCCCCCCCCCCCCCCCCGCCGCGATCTCTGGCCTATACCCCAGCTCTTGTATGCATAAATAAATAAATCTTAAAAAAAAAAAATTGGTAGGGCCTCCCTGGTGGCGCAGGCAGTTGAGCACCTCACTGTGAAGCTGGCCACAGCCTCTGCAGCACAGGTTCGATCCCGGCCAGCCAGCAAGAATCCCACATGGCGCAGCAGACTTCTCCTGTCTCGCCCGCTGCTTCCCTCAGCAGTGCATTTCGTCAGCCTGCCTGTTCTGTTCCCCACTCTGTCTCTGGTGAATCCTCTCACCCTCCTGCACCTGTACCCCAGTTCTTGGATAAATAAAATAAATCTTTAAAAAAATAAAAATAAATATTTGGTAATGCAAATACCTGTTACAAGGCAGGAGGAGGGGTACTCCAGGACCCCCAAACCTGCCCACTCTAAATGGGTTCTGCCATCCACCTCATCAAGACAAAACATATTGTAGTGCATAAGACCTTTGATGGAAAGGAACTTTAATACAATTAGTGTGCAATAGAGAGAAGGGAAAGAATAGAGTTTCCAAATCAAACACCCAAAGTTACCTGTCCCCTCATGGGTAAATGCCCAGCCAAACAGGGTTGGCCCAGAGCAGGAATACTGGGCCCAAAAGCTTGCCACAAGTCCAAGTCACTTCCTATGGGGACCCTATGGGGACCCACAGGAAGTGGGCAGAAGGGACCAGACAAGTCTGGAAGGAAAAAAGCAAAATCAAAACCCAACTCAAGTTAAAGGCTGCCACTGTTAACCTCCCAGGGGGTCTCTCATCCACGTCTGTTTCAAGTGCTTCCTTCCATGTTCCCCAAGTCCCTGGTACCAATCGAAGGGCAGGAAGCAAGTGCAGCCGCTTCACATGTCTCTCTGCAAAATGTGCCTCCTCCAGGTCTCCTTCCTTTTGTGAAAGGGCAGGGAACCTGGACCCTCCCCTTTCCCTGGGGACCACCTTGTCACACAGGGACAGGTTAGCAAAAGAAAAACAATCATAATAATAACATACATAGATTCTTTAGAATTTATAATTATTCTTTAGAATTTACAATCATGTAAATTCTCTTGTGGACCAGAAATATTTATCCTGCATTTTGAAACCTGGAGCATTAAGGAAACAAAGGACACTTTATATGACAGACAAGGAGGGGGTGACCGCACCCTTAATCTGAAAGTAAAGATGAGATTCTTAGAGACTACATGTTTACTAATAAACCTACAATTGCATGAGACCCTTTTGTGGGTCTCATGCCACAAAAGGAAGGAAGCACTGATGGCTTCTGCAATTGAGGAATGGGGCAGAACCTGGGGCCATGATGGTCTCTGATTAGGGAAGAGCTAAGAATTTAGGCCTAACAGCTGCTTCTAGCCCTCAGGACCCTCACAGCTTTCTGCCAAATAAATACAAATGGCAATCCTCAAGTAATGGAAACAGACTGCCTGTCTCCTAGGGTCTTGATCCACCTCTAGTACCCACACAAAAATGATAGCCACTCTGGCCCTACTGAAAAAAGTCTATCTGACCCTTTTGGGGAAATTGACCCCACCCCCACTTCCGGTTTGCGGTCTGCTGGCTAGTGCTGGCAGGAGAAGCTCTCTGCAAGTCTCAGAAAAGTTAGGGGAGTTTTTTTCTCCCTTTTGTGTTCTTGGGGTTTGACACCAATTTAACCGTTTAGCTTGGATGTCAATATAACATCTGAATCATTGCCACATTGGATCTAATCATGTTTGCTTCTAAAGCTGCTATTTTATCTAAAAATATTGCAAAAAGACCTGACACAAACATTTCAGTAGCTCACAGGAAATCATTACACATGAATTTATTTTTTTTCCTTTAGTGAAACTGGGGTGACCCAGGGTCAGATGATTGAGCTGAGTGGCTGTAGGATACCGCCCAGTTTTTTTTTTTTTAACTAGTTAGCTCCTAGTTAAATTCTAACATTGCTTTATTAAACTTATATTCTAATATTGCTTGATTAAATTGTCTTTGAACCAGACTTATCTTTGTAATACGTGTCTAGTTAATGAGTTGAATAAAATGTTTCGACACTCTTTATTCTATTTTGCAATAGAATATTTTGAACTGTTTTTGAAAATTACATCTAGACTATTAATCTCTCCTTCCAAGTCCATTTGTTCTTTGTATCTGTATCGTGTGCCTTTTGGCCCACGGTCCTTTTGAAGTGCAAAGAAGTCCTCAATCTTGCCGCGGTCAAGACAGCCTCTCCTGGAAATCCTGCAGGAGGGCCATGCGCCCATCTGTTCAAAACTCAGCCCTTGGCAGTTTCTGACGGGGAGGGGGGGGGTTGTTGATTAAAACTCAGTTACAGTTAAAGAAAAGTCCAGATATAGGAGCGCATAAACCAGGCGACAGCGGAGTTACTTTGGGGTGGGGAACCTGGGGTGTTCCGCAGATCCGAGTCCTCTGCTTTCACGGACAGCGGTGCGAGGGCGAGCAAGTCCGCGCTGCCAGCAGAGCGGGGAGCGGGCGCGGGGCTGGCGTCCCGGCCGGGTGGCCCTGCCTCCTTCCTCGGGGCGGGGAGTCCTCACTCCTGCCGGGGGACGCTCCGGGAGCAGCCTGGGTTGCCCCAGCCGCTTCGACCCAGGCCTGGAGGCGGAGTCGGCGCGGGCGCCCTCCTTCTGCTCCAGGAACCCCTCCTTCTGCTCGGCGAGCCCCGCCTTCTGCTCAGGGATTACCCGCCCCGCGCTGCCTCCATCCGGGTCGCGGGCCAGAGGCAGGTCCCCCGGCTGCAGCGCCGCGGACCCGAGCCGGCCGCGCGGAGAGCCGCGGAGACGCCATGGAGCCGCGCGCGCTGGGGCTGCTCGGGCTGCTCGGGCTGCTGGCGCTGGCGGCGCTGGAGGCGCTGGCGGCGCGGGCCACGCGCGACGCCGCCGCGGAGAGCCTGGGGCTGTGGCCCATGCCGCTGTCGGCGCAGATGTCCCCGAGACAGCTCTACCTCTCCCCCGAGAACTTCGACATCGTCCACGACCCCTATTCCAAGGCCGGCCCCGGCTGCGCCCTCCTGCAGGAAGCGTTTCGGCGGTGAGGGCCCGCGGGCGGCCGGGCGAGCGGGGCAGCGGGGGCCGCGGGGCGGCGAGGGGTGAGCGCGCTGGGGCGCGGCGCTGACGGGGGGGCCGGGGAGCGACACCTGCGCGCCGCTTGTCGCCGGCACAACTCCCCAGCCACGCCGCGGGGCTCTCCCCGGTTCTTCCGCGAGGAAGGCGGGTGGGAGCCGGCGGGGGACCTGAGCTGTCACAGATCTAGAAGGTGGCAGAGCCGGCCCCTAAAGCACCAGTTGAAACCAAAAGCCTTACCCTCCCTCTCCTGCCTCCTAGGAGACGTCCTGCAGCCATCTCAGGACCCCTGGGTTGCACGCAGGATTCTGAGTGAAGGAGTAGGTTGCTCAGAACCTGGCCGTGTACCGCTTGGGGTGTGGGGCGGGGGAGTGCAAGGAGTGGCGGCGACTGACTCCAAGGGGTTCTAGGAGGAAGATGAGTGCGTAAAACTTGGAAAGAGGGAGTCCTTATAGCCGGTTGTCATTTCCCGCCGTCTCACTCCGCGCCTCCTCAGATATGGTAATAATTCAGGTCGCAGAGAAATCCTTAGGTTGAGCAGTGGCTAACACGCCCTTCCCTCCCGGAGTCGATGTTCCGTGAGAAGTGCTGCATGTTTGCAACTGAGAGCTTGGGTAGTCGGCAGCGCAGAGAAGGCGGTGTCCGCTTCGCTTCCCAGCATCGGTCATGTGCTTGCCCTCCCTGCTTCCTTTTTTTTTCTTAAGCATTTCACAGCTCCTCGGCCCTAACCTGTCCATGACTCCTTTGGTCACCAGGGAAACTGTGTAATGGGAGGCAGCCTCCCGCCCTGGCCTTTGCCAACCACAGGTATGCAAGGCAAGTGGAGAGATACTTCAGTTTGCCCCGTCTGTCCCCTCACTTTGCCTCCTGTGTGGGCAGGACTGACCTGAAGGTGTGAGTGCCCTTGAAGGACTGTATTTAATTTGCTGCTGGATAGACTGCCTCTTTCCTCCTGTTTTTCCATCTTCCAGTGGGCAAGATAGCTTCATTATGTGTGCAGGATAGCTGGTGGACAAAATGAAAAACTAGCTAAATAACTTTCCTTGCTGGCCCAAAAGGGGCCTGGAGCTTAGACTGAGGCTCCAGAGACAGAAGATAATGCAGGCAGAGGGTGCTTAAGCTCACCTTCAGTTTTGAAATACAACTAACTGGGTAGTTTTAGCCTGGCTTTAGATGCATAACTCTAGTAAGTCTTTGGTATTGAATCTGCTGACAGGTCAGATTGGATACAGTCAGGGGTGAAGAAGTAAACCCACGCCGGTTGGTTGCATGGGAATATTGAAAAGAAAAAATACTTGAAGGTCACGTATTTGCTTTGAAATTCTTTTGTAAAATTGGATATCACTTATGTGCCATAGTACTAATAAAATAAGAACTTGATAGTCTGCGGAAGTGATAGGAGTATGATGATTCCATAGTTAACAAGGTTAGATAGCTAGGACTTGAATCAGCTATGAAATTGATAAAAACAAGGCTTGGCATCTGAAGGCAGTACAGGTGATTACCTGGTGAGTTTACCTCACTAATTCATGGCATATGTGAGAAGCAGCTGTTAAAATTACACCCTGCATTGTTAGGAAGCAGGTTGTAAAACATTACACCTATGGCTAAGACTTGCAAACATCTGGGTGAGTGTTCAGGAACTCGGGTAGGGTTGTATCTACTTCAGAGTAAAAGCACAATGGCGTTAGAAGGATTTACACACAAGGGGAATTCCAAAAGTTCTGGAAGTCAGGAACACCCAGGAATTTAGGCCCTAGGTTGTTTAGAATCCTGTGGCTCCAGTCTCCAAATAGCCCCACTTCTGTCATAAACCCCGCTGTGAAACAGAATGCATTTTGCAGGCAGGGTGTTTCCTCAGCTTCTAGGACAAGATCCATCACATGCTACTTGCTCATTTTTTTTTAAATGAACAGCTTTCCTCAGTTCCTTACATTAGCCCAAGTACCTTTGAACATCACTGCCTCAGAACCCTGAGTTTTCTGTTAGAGTTTTAATTATCTCAGACGGAGGTTTTCCTTATTTGGGACAAGCCAGCACATAACTCAGATCTCAAAGATGCTAATAGCTTTAATTTCTTTTTTTTTTTTTAAAGTCAATGGTGGCAAAATTAATACAAACTAAAATTTACCATCTTAACCCTTTTTTAAGTATATAGTTCAGTGATCTTTTTTTTTTTAATTTGTTTATTTGTTTGTTTGTTTGTTTATACATGCACTGGGTACAGTCAGAAGCACAGGAGGGTGAGAGAATTCACCAGAGCCAGAGCGGGGAGCAGAGCAGGCAGAAGGACCGAAGTACACTGCTGAGGGGAGCAGCGGGCGGCAGGAGAGGTCTGCGCGCCATGTGGGACCCTCTTCTGGTGGCCGGGGAGCAGCCGGGGATTGAACCGGCACCGCAGAGGCTGTGGGCAGCTTCGCAACCCAGAGCTCAACCGCTGCGCCACCGGGGAGGCCCTATAGTTCAGTGATCTTAATTTCCTTTTGAATCTGTTGATCTTCCTGTGACAATGGGCCTTAGCACCGTTCTCCATTCACTCTCACTGGTTAACTTCCATACATGTCCAGATTTATGGGAACTTTCCAAGCTCTCCTTACTTCTCTGGAAAAATGAAGCTATTCTTATAAATAAGTAGCATAAACAATCTCTGGCTTATCAAAACATGTAAAATTTAAAATTGCTTTGAAGACTATCTGATATTTTATCTCCTACCAACTTTCAATGTTTATTTAATAACTACCTTCTCTGATATTTGGATACCAACAGAAGGTAACTTTTTCAGACTGTAGAATTTTTTATGCTGGTATTCTTCCTTTTGGGGTTGATGTATTAGAATGTTTTTGTTGGAAGGGAACAAGAACCCTAACTCAGTCTCTTGCTTCTTGCTTCAGCAATAAAACCCTATTTTACACATCAAGAAGTCCAGTGCAGGGAAGATTTCAGGACTAGTTGACTGATTGGCTCTGTAACATTAGGGAAAATATTCTTTCCTTCTCAGCTCTGCTGTCTTTAGTGTGGCTGCAACTGGTTCATGTATTATATAGTTTTCTTCTCATGGTTCATTTAGGAGGGGAATACCATCAACTCCCTCCTCATCCCTGGCCACCATTGGCTTGTGCACCTAAGAGTGATGGGACTACTATTACTGGTTTGATTTCTAGTTCCTTTTTTTTAATGCATACAAGAACTGGGGTGTAGTCCAGAGGTGGGGAGGGGTGGGGGTGAGTGAGACGATTCACCAGAGACAGTGGGGAGCAGAACAGGCAGATTGACTTAAGTACACTGCTAAGGGGAGCAGCGGGTGAGACAGGAGAGGTCGGCTGCGGGATTGAACCCTCAGAGGCTGGTGATAGCTTGACAGTACTAGACTTTAACCCTGTGCTACCCAGGGAGGCCCTGGTTTCTAGTTCTTAATAGGGCTTTTATTTGAGTCACTTGGGAATGCAGGGGAACTTGTGGGAGCCTTTGATTGAACTAATACTGGGTAGAATGCATTTGAGGAGTCAGCTACAATGACCACTACTTTGTGTATATTTATTTTTTACTACAGTGCTTTAAAATTTATTTGAATTTATTTCTCACGCAGGTATTATGAGTATATTTTTGGTTACTACAAGAGGCGTCATGGTCCTGCTAGATTTTATAATGAAACGCAGTTACAGCAACTTATGGTCTCAGTTGTCCATGACTCAGAGTGTGACAATTTCCCCAATATCTCTTCAGATGAGTCCTGTAAGTACCTGTACAATGTGACTATATCATATTTAGAGCTGCTTGTTAAAAACTTGAGGCTCCCTGCATGAACAATTGTGAGTTTTGGGCCAGTGAGTTGATAATACCTGGCTTTAAAATTACCATTAAAGTGGTTTTATAAATAAAAATGCACTATTATTATAGAAAATCTTTTAGTAAATGAAGAGGAAATAAATCATCACTCATAACTAGCACTCAAATATTTCAGATTTTTTTTTTTACAGAGTAAAATGTTTGACTATTTTACATAGATTTAAATATAAGCATATGATAAGCATTGGCATGAATTTGGGGTAGTCCCCTCCAAGGGGTTTTTATAGTCTGCTTTTCTGTATCAGTACATTATAAACATTTCACTAAATATTTTTCTTACTTTTTAATGGTTGAATATTGTTTATCTGTTGTGTGGATTTGCCATAACTGACTTGGTTAATCCCCTTTTTTGGACTAAATTTACTAACTTTTATTATGAAGACAAATCTGTGTATATACATGATTTCTATAATCTGACACAAAGATAATGCAGTACTAAGGGTGTGGGGGTGGAGGGAGTGGAGCTATTTCATTTGATTGATAATATAATAAGCATTTAGCTACATGACTTTTGGTACCTGAAACATTGTTTTCTAGGGCTTTTTCCAAATTATTTTGGAAGCAATAAATAACTGGACAGGTTTTATATAGTACATACTGATGGGGAATAAGTGGAATGGCCACCATAGAATCAAAGAGTCGCTACATGAGGATATGCAGATCTAGTGCAGACTGCTGATTTGGGTGGAAAGACAGAAAGGATAATATGTATCTGAGAGGAAGAACTCTTTTGTCCTCAGATTGTTTCAGAGAGTTAAACATCTGTCAATGGTCTAGGTATAGGTGAGATTTGTTAATAATAAATCTAGCTGAAAAATAACTTCGTTACTCTTCAATATCACAGCTGTTCTTCAAAAAGAAACTGCCTCACTTGCTGTTATCAGCCATGTGAGTTCAGTTGATAGCTTTCAGAGATGTTGCAATCTGAATTGAGAAAGAAATGATTAGACCATTTTTTGCTGTGTGTTAGCAATACAGATGACCTATGGTAAATTTCAGAAAACTTAATGTATCAAAACTGGAGAGGTATAGCTTGTCTTTCATCCTGCTTCATACACCCTCTTTATTCTGAGAAGGAAACTTCCTAAGATAAGATGATCATGAAATTTTCTGGTGAAAGGATAAACTAATTTTAAGTTTTAAACTAATTCATGATGATGATGATGATGATGATTAATGTGACACACATGGAGATAAGCTATCAATTATTCTAGTGGGAGGAAATGGAGGAAGTGGCAAGGTTCACAGCATTATCAAAAATATGTATATTCTCACAAGTGGACTAATTTCTACAGTAGAGAATTACATCAAGGATATCTGATGCAGTTTGCCTCTAATACTAAACAACTATAAACAAAACTAAGTGTTCATCATAGAAGAATGGTTAAATACATCTTGTCAATTCACTCTTAAGAATATTACACTACAGTTAAGCAGAATTAAAAATAGAAACAGGAGTTTCTTTATTAATGTGGACAATAGGATGTCATTCATACATTAATGTATACACAGGAACAATAAATACTATATTTAGTTGTTATACAAGTATATGTAAATGCCTATTCCTCAGAGAGAAGAAGAGTTGAGTAGGTATGTCAAGAGGATTTAGCTCTATAATATTATTTTAAATTATGAACGCAAATGTTACTTGTATGCGTACTCTACAAACAAATGTATTCATGGTACCTAAGAGGATAACTAAAAGGTCAAAGATGCCGCTCCCATCCCACATCAGGGAAATAATCAGTGTTAACATTCATACTTTGGTTTTGAAATTAACATTCTAAAGTTTCCATATATTTGGAATACAAAATTCCTAAATACTTTATATTTGTGATTTTTGCATTGAATTGAATCAGAATCCTTTTTAATATCAGCCACTCCTTAGCTATTGGAAAATTATCAGCATTGAGAGTACATGTAATTTGTCAATGTTTTTAGACAACTCTGTGCTATTTCTGGGAGACCTCAAAATTATAATGTGGCAAAAAAATGTTTTTAAACAGTGCCCAATGGAATGATGAGCTCTAGGTAGCTAACTAAAAATTTGATATCCCATGGAGAGAAAACTCCTAACAGCAAGACGGTTTTTAGCTTGGCTTTTATCTAACCCATCACCGTGACTTCCTGGTGGAAAAGGCTCCCTTGCCAGCATATACCTGAGAGGGTCATGATTGTTGCCCAGATATGTTATTAAATCGTTAACCTGCTGCCCCTGTGTGTTTTTACTGTGGCAGAGTCCACGTGCCACACCCTCTAACATTCAATCTGTTCTGTCGTCCACTAATTATCTGTGGCTGACTCTACCCCAAACTTCTCTAATAGACCCAAATGACTCTTAGGCAGAATGATTTCAAAAACTGAAAGGTTACCTGCCCCTTAACTTCCACCCCCCCAGTTTTCCAAGGCAGCCCACTGGTGCCCTGTTCTACATAGGTGTGAACTTTTTTACTAAGTGGGACAAAGCTGAATTAAAGTGAGTTAAGAAGAGAATCTTGAGGCAGACTTAGGATGTGTGCAGGGCAAGTGGGGAAGCAGAAGCCTTATGGAAAATTGAGGGTTTGAGTGATACTGGAGGTGTCACCAAGGAATTGTGGGTGCCCCAAAATATCTGCAGTTTTGACTTAAAACCTTAACTAAACCATAGCCTGTTGAGGGGCAGTTGGAGAGAATAACTCTCCTGGAGGGAAAATGAGGAATCCTGGAGTTCATTCCCAAGCTCCTGACTTGAACAACTCTACTGGCTAGAGGGTAGTGATTTAAAGGAGAAATGGAGATTGGTGAAGTGTGAGCAGGCAAGGGACGAGTTTAGTGTGTGGAATTAAAGGAGCCAGTACATCTAAGGGAAAATGTACAGGAGCCAGTTGGAGGAACAGGTCTGGAACTCAGGGGAAAGACTGTTCCGTAACAATAGATACATAAAAACATGCTCTTCGCCAGTAATCATCATGAAAATGCAAATCAAAACCACAATGAGATATCATCTCATACCTATTAAAATGGCTGTTACAAAAAGACAAAATGATAAACAAGTATTGGTGAAGCTATAGAGAAAAGATACTTCTGCACTGTTAATGGCAGTGCAAATAATGGTGGGAATTATAAATTTCCACTATGGAAAACACTGTGGAGGTTCTTCAAAAACTTAGGAAACTACCGTGTGATTCTGCATTTCCACTTCCGGGTAGTTGCCCAAGAAAACCAAAATCGCTGATTTGAACAGATAGCAATAATTCTATATTCACTGAAGCATTTTACAATAGCCAAGATATGGGAACAACCTAAGTGTCCACAGGTGGATGAATGGATTAAAATGTTGTGGACTGCAGTTATGCATTACTTATAGACAGGGATACATTCCAAAAAATGCATCGTAAGCTGATTGGTGTGTAAATGATAACAGCATAATTATACAAACTGAGATGGTATAGCCTACTATACTCTTAGGCTATATCGTATAACCTGTTGTAACCAGGTGGTATATGTGCTTTGTAGTTTACCAAAAAGTCATTATGTCATTAAATGTATGTTTGTGGATGGATGAAGGGAGTAGGGAGGAAGGGAGAATGGTGAATGTTACTTAGTCATAAATATGAAGTCTTGCCACTTGCAACAGTATAAGTGGAACTTGAGGGCATTAGCTAAGGGAAGTGAGATAAAGACAAATACCACAACATCTCTCTTACATATAGAATCTTAAAAACAAGAACAAAAAACTCCAAGTTCATACATAAAGAGAACAGATTGGCAGTTGCCAGACGTGAGGAATAGGGTTGGGGATAGGTTAGTGTGGTGGGGGGAATGACCATATGTTGTATACCTGAAACTAATATAATGATAAATGTCAATTATACCTCAATTTAAAAAAAATTTCAGAAATACCAGTTATATGCTTAGGAAATTTACTGTGTTATTTGGAGATTAACAGATAAACTTTTATATTTCAATTTAGATACTTTAAATGTGAAAAGACCAGTGGCTGTCCTCAAGGCCAACAGAGTTTGGGGAGTATTACGAGGTAAATCCTATGTAGTGTCTCAGTTACTTTCTATCATGGTAAAGAAATATTTTTCAACTGGTCCTTTGGGAAATCAAGCAAAATCTTGCTTCCTTGAACCTTTTACAGAATGGTTTGTGTGGTATTTCCTCGATGATTTATGTTAAATTTGTTCTACTTAAGGAACTGGAGAAAGATAACTTCATCTGTTAAAAAGTTCTTAAGGGTATTACATCCAATGCTGTTGGGACTATAACTTTCTAATGCTATAAATGGCCTAACCACTTTGTTCCAGAGGAATTTGTTTCAGTTTTGTTTCACTATCACTTCTTGGCTTCAGGAGCAAGTAGCTTTCTTTGCCCATTTTGTTTATTTATTATTTATTATTTAATTTTCAAAGAAAGGTTTTCACACTGAAACAAAGTTCAGTAACTTGTAATAAGAACTTTTGTTCTTATTAATGAATCAGCCTACTTGTACAAAAGCATAAATACAGAGAGAGAAACCAGTTTCCCAATAAAATATGCCCAACCAGGTAGGTACTGCCGACATTTCAGCTTGATAGGGCAGGATTCTTGTGACTTGGATACAACAAGAATATGTGCACCTTCTCATGTGCAAGTCCTTGTCGAGTCAGCTGGGTTCCTCCTCAATGTCTCCTCCTGGAGTTATACCTGATTTTATTAACAGCCTTCATCGAAATCCACTGGGGCAGTGACATGATTCTGCTTTTGTCACTTGCTCCTGAAGTCTTGTAAGATGACAAGGTGATGAAGTCTACTGTCCTCACCACATTGGCAGAGAAAGGGGTGAACTGTTCCCCTATTTTAAATTCCTATGGCTTTAGAAACATAACCAAGTTTGTAGGAACTGTGTCAAAAGATAAATATACTCTTGAGTGGTTAGATGCATTAGAGCCTGAAAAGCTTTTCCTGAGGATTTTAGAGTCTGAAATTTAATGTTTGGACATTAGGATACTGACTTTTGCTTTCCAAAGCTGCTTTTACCTCTTCTCTAAGTAGGTATTATATTGTACTGACTTCCAAAGTGTAACCTGCAATCATTATCACCTAGGTCATTTATATATGTCATGCGATTTTAAACTTTTATTAGATTGACCTGACTCTCTTATCTAGGTTCTGTTAGTGATTACATATCCTTATTGGTGTTTATCTAGATCCACATGAAAAAAAACTTTTGAGAGCATGCAGTGACTGAACTCCTTTCCAAGAAGTCCTTATGTTGTGTTTACTACCAGACTTCCATTGTAACATGCTCTAACTGAATATATCGCCATTCTACAGAAAATTCCAAAGTTATTCTTCCCAGTAGCAGTCTGTTTTGGTGGGGTGGAGAAAAGGTGTTAGCAAAAATAACTTTGAATTATTCTTAGTTTGAAATTTTCCCTGGCTATATAGTTGTCAACTAGAACAATGAATTTTGGTAAAGTGAAAGACAACTAGAGGACTGTAATAGAGTATTTTAAGGGAGTATCTCATTGTGCAAAAATGTTCAGGGATAGTCTTTGAAGGTACAAATAAGAGATTGTAAGTTGGGCCTTTATATTTTCATGTTTTTTTTAAAGCCTTTATTCTCTTAAATTTTAGGTGTCTTATAAAGTGACAATATTTTATCAAATTCTTTCTCATAATATTATAAATTTATTAAGAAACTGGTGTTTTGTTTCATAATACATTTTTTTCTGTTTATAATTCAAACAAAACCCAGGGGATAGGTACATGAAGTCATGCATTTTATTTCATGACAAAAGGGATTTTTTTTTAAATTGAGCTTTGATTTTAGAAAGTCAACTATGTTAGAAGGTATGGGTGTAATATTGTATTTAATTTTATTTGCCTTATCTGGCTTTGGGTCTGTGTTTTAATAATCCAAGTTTTTCTGTTATTTTACAAAGTAATGTAATATATTTTACATTTTACTTTCCTAGGTTTAGAGACCTTTAGCCAGTTAATTTATCAAGATACTTATGGGACTGTAAGTATGAGTATTATGTTACTAAACATTGTTGGATAAACATATAATAGGAAAAATGTAAGCTTTTTAGCTACTAATTGCTTCTCAATGCTTTCTTCTTTCCAAATATTTATCTTATGTGGAAAAAGTAAATTTCACTTTCTTTTGGTTCAAAATTAATCTTTTATCCAGTACTTGCATAGACAGATGTAGTCTTCATTAAGTTTAAAATTATAAAAATAAATCAGAAATTTATTTTGTCTTTCTAGTTCATGATCAATGAGTCCAGCATTACTGATTCTCCAAGGTTTCCTCATAGAGGAATTTTAATCGATACAGCCAGACACTATCTGCCAGTTCAAAGTATTCTAAAAGCTCTGGTAGGTAATCATTTTAATCCATTGTCTGTTATTTTAGGTACTCAGGCTGTTGTACAGGTTGGTACAGGGGGATTCATTTTTCATGTATAAAGTATAAGCACTGGGCTTTCTTCCCTCTCTCCCTGGGAAGTGTATTTTCTCAGCTGAAAAGTGGGTGGCGGGAGTTGTGTGCGAGGCTGACAATACTTATTTTCTCATATTGTCTTTCATTGGTTCATCCCCAACAGTTATTGCAAGTTTGTAGGAGTGAGGACATATTCTGTCTATATTTTTCTGTACTTTCACTTGATTCTTTAAGAACATGCTGTTATCAAAACAATTATTTTCATATTTTCATTAATATCCTGATTTCTTTTCCTCAACAGATATTACTGTCACTTTTATTAAAGAAAGAAATGCATGGTGTAAAAAGTTAACACATTATAAATAAACATAAAATAGGTAATAACCTTATAATTTTATGTAGCAGAGGATGACATAAACTTCTGTGTCCCAAATCTCATTTTAAATTTAGAACTCTTCAGATTTATGTTGCCACATCATACCCACCACCAAAGCACCCATAATTCACCAGAGTCCATTTGACTCCCTACTCTCTTTGCTCTCCATCTCAATTGTACAGTCAGATTTCAGGGGTTTGTTTTGATCTCGTTTTGTCTGTTCTTTGTTTTCTTTATATTCCAAATGAGCAAAATCATCTGGTAAGAATACGTACAAATTCTGTATAGGTTTTTAAGAAATATACTTAGGGACCATTTTTATTTTGAAATGACTATATCAGTTCCTAGATGTTTTTTTTCATTGTTAGCGACATCACTCTTTAAAGTTAAGGTGCACATCCTAATGGCTTAACTTATATGTACTGTGAAATGACTACTGTAGTGCTTAGTTAGCATCCATTATCACATACAGATGTAGTAAAAAGACAAAGTAAAAGAAGAAAGATTTCTAAAATCTCTTCGCTTTGCAGCTTTGCTGTTTGCCCTGCAGCAGTGTGAGTCATAGTCACCATGCTGTGTTACATCACCAGGACTTCTTATAAATGGAAGTTTGAACCTCTGACCACCTTCTTCCAACTCCCTCTCCCCAAGCCCCTCAGCTCAGACCAATCAGACTGACTGGTCATGATAAGAATGTAAGATAAAGAATTTATACTTCTTCCACATTGTTTCTTCACTGATAACTAGATGTTAAATGGAAGCAGACACAATATAAACAGTTCTAAATGTAGATATGTAAATTGGACTGGTATTATATATGAAGTATATAATTTTTAAAACATGTTTGCTTGCAGGATGCCATGGCTTTTAATAAGTTTAATGTCCTCCACTGGCACATAGTTGATGACCAGTCTTTCCCTTTCCAGAGCACCACTTTTCCAGAGTTAAGCAATAAGGTGAGTAATTCATGTGGTAGTCTGTCTACACAAATGTTTGGTAGTTTCATTAGAAGTTTGTACTTAATGTTTCTTCTGGATAGAAGAAAGTGTAAAAATTAGGCGTTTGTGAATTAAAATTTTAAAGTATGCTGTGGGTAGCATTTTAGATCCATAAAAGCTAAAATTTTGTAATTGTCTTGTGATTATAAGTGTAAACCTGAATGTAGGAAACGGAAGCATTTATTAACTTGAGGTTAAGTACTTATACGTATCAAAGAGTCCACTGTATGTTAAACAGAATAGTTTGGAATTCTGTAACTACTGCTTTTTATCTCTGAAACACTATGTAATTAGGGATTTTTGGATATGAGAGCTCCTTCCTAGAAAATAATGGCATAGTCTCAATTAGAGGTGTTCAGATTAATACTATTAGGCCAGGGGGATGGAAGTGAGCCCCATGTAGTCTAGTTTAACCCTCCTGCACGACAAAGACAGCAGCTTTCATCCAAAGAAGCTAGATGCCTCACCCAAGGCTGCAGTGAGGATGGGTCAGAGCCAGGGTTCTAAATTTCATTCTCTGGCCACAATTACAAAGCTTTCTCTGAGGCTGTCATGTAGACTGGAATGCTGGCTGTACTTGCTTGAGTTTTTGTTTGCTTTTTTTTACTAGGGACATCTTATACATATTTACATAAGTAGGATAATTTCATAAATTCCCATAAACTCATCAATGAGCTTCAGTAAGCCAATCTTTTATCTTCTGTGCCCCCTCTCCCTGATCATTTGACTAAATCCCTGACAAGTCTTTCATAAAGACCTGTGTTTTTTGGGCCTCCCTGGTGGGGCAAGACGCAACCTGTGAAGCTGTCCGCAGCCTCTGCAGCACGAGTTCAATCCCTGGCCTGCCAGGGAACAACCCACATGGCACAGCAGACCTCTCCTGACTCACCCACTGCTCCCCTCAGCAGTGTGTTTCAGTCAGTCTGCCTATTCGGCTCCCCACTCTGTCTCTGGTGAATCCTGTCACACACCCCCCCCACACCTCTGTCCTGTACCCCAGCTCTTGTATGCATAAATAAATAAATCTTTAAAAAAAAAAAAAAGACCTGTAGTTTTTAATTACCATAATACCTTAACACAGGTTTCAAATAAAAAAAAAAAAGAGAGCAAATTACACATTTCCCCAAGTGTCTTTTTCTTTTCAAAAATTTCAATTGTAGGGCCTCCCCGGTGGTGCAGCGGTAGAGCGCTGGGTTGCGAAGCTGCCCGCGGCCTCTGCGGCGCTGGTTCAATCCCCGGCTGCTCCCCGGCCACCAGAGGAGGGTCCCACATGGCGCGCAGACCTCTCCTGCCGCCCGCTACTCCCCTCAGCAGTGTACTTCGGTCCTTCTGCCTGCTCTACTCCCCGCTCTGGCTCTGGTGAATTCTCTCACCCTCCCGCGCTTCTGACTGTACCCAGTGCATGTATAAACAAAACAAACAAACAAATAAATAAATAAATAAAACATGCCTGTATAAAAAAAAAAAAAAAAATTTCAATTGTAGGGCCTCCCCTGGTGGCGCAGCGGTTGAGCACTGGGCTGCGAAGCTGCCCGCAGCCTCTGCAGCACCAGTTCAATCCCCGGCCCCTGGGCGAGGGTCCCACATGGCGCGCAGACCTCTCCTGCTGCCCGCTGCTCCCCTCAGCAGTGTATTCGGTCACTCTGCCTGTTCTACTCCCCGCTCTGGCGAATTCTCTCACCCTCCTGCGCTTCTGACTGTAGCCAGTGCCTGTATAAATAAATAAATCTTTAAAAAAGAAAAATTTCAATTGTAGTGCCAATAAGGTTCCTGTATTGTGTTCAATTCATAATGCCTGTAAATTCTTTTGATCAACAGATGCCCACAACTACCAATCTCTTTTTTCCCCTTGTAAAATGTTATTTTGTTGAAGACACTAAGTTATTTGTCTTATACTGTCCCAGTCTGGGTTTTGCTTATTGCACTCCTATAGTGTCATTTAACATGTTCTTCTGTCCCCTGTATTTACCCTAAAGAGTTAAATCTAGTCTTGATTAGATACAAATTTGATTTTAGAAGTGGAGCAAGGCTACTCTTCAGGAGTTGAACATTTAGTCTATACCCTGAAAACTTTAGTGGATCTTTATCTTTAGTTACAACTAATACTGAGATCTAATTGTCACGTGAACTATAAAGTGAAACTTTAAAAAATATCCGGTCACTTAGATCCTGGGGGTATTTACCTAAAGCTGATAATATAGTAACTTTGAAAGACAACAGTTATGCTATATATATAATGTGTGATTTTTATTCTGAACCTGACAAGAGCAGTATATTGAGAGTTTTCACTCTGGAGTCAAGCATTTTACTTGTTTTGGTATGAGGTTGAAATAGGATGAAACAGACATTGGGGAAACAGGAGGGGCTACTAGATAGTTCTATTGGGAAAGCTGGGATTAACCCAAAGTGTGCTGAGAGCTTTAAATGGGTCACCCAATACATGGGGATATTTAATACATTGTGATACTGGAAAAAATCAGTTATTAGATAAAGTACAAACAGAACTGTTCATAATTTCTAGGACCACATTCACATTGTAAATTGTAACTTTAATAAATGTGCATTTATAGGGAAGCTATTCTTTGTCTCATGTGTACACACCACGTGATGTCCGTAAGGTGATTGAATATGCCCGACTACAAGGGATTCGAGTCATACCAGAATTTGATACACCTGGCCATACACAGTCCTGGGGGAAAGGTAAGGATTGTGTTTTAAGTTGCAAAAAGTGAGCATTTGAAGTTCTGCATTTTTTATCAATGGTGTTTGCTCACTTTGTTTTTGTGAGTTGCACAAATACGTTATTGTGAGCAAGTCACTGTGTCCAGGCCCTGCCTTAAGCATAAAAGCAAGGGACAGCAGAAAACAAAAATGATTTCAGCGAGTAGGGTTCAAGAAACAGTTTCTTGATCAGGTAACACTTAAAATGCTTTTGCAAGATTAAGGAAAACACTTATAATTTTGGGAGAGGGAATAAAAGGAAAGGAATTTAGTTGGCACACAGTAGAGTAACTACTTTACAATAGTTAAGAACTGGCTGTGGAGCCACACTGCCTGGTTTAAATCCTGCTCCTGCCCTTTATGAACTGAGTGACCTGGGGCAGGTTAAAGAACATCGCTTGCTCAGTTTCCCCATCCGTAAAATGTGGTGATTAGTAGTAGCTATCTTGTAATGGTTTTGAGGATTAAATAATGACTGTAAGGTGCCTAACACAGCCCCCAGCATTCATGGTTGCTCAGTATATGAATTATTAGAATAGAATGGACAACAGTAGGAAATAAGCCTGGACAAGTACATTGTGCAGCCTTGGGTGAGGAACATGGGCTTCTTCACAACACACAAATCATTGAACATGAATTACATCAAAGGAGTGTGATGGGGGTCACACAAAGGAAGACCTATGTGAAAGTGACAGACTGGAGGGGAAAGAGATTGACATCCTAGCTCCAAATGGTGATGACAGGAGTGGAAAATAGTGTACGGAACTGAGAAACATTACAGAAATGAGTCACAGACCTTGGCAACTGATTGACTCCAGGCGAAAAGTTAGATTAGGAGGATGTGGTATCCTTATAAGAAAATTGGGAGAAGCTACAGAAGGAGTTTAGGGAGCAGAGAATTCTGGTTTTGTGAGCTCCTATTTGAGATGTAGCTGGGATAGCTACTTGTTGTCAGCAGAGAATTTGAAATATGGATCGAAGCTCAAGAAAAGTTGCCAAACTGATGATTTGGGAGAGTCATTAATGTTTGAGGTAATAGTTGAAGTGGATAAAATCTCAGAGAGTCTGGTGGAAAGGGAAACAGAGGTATGGAAAGAGGATTCAGCAAATAATTCTCATCTGGAAGAAATTCCCATAGTCCCTCTTAGTAAACATGTTTCTCTCTTTCTGTATAAAATCTCATCACTTGAACTAAGTGGTATAACCACATCCAAAGTCATGTATTGTGATTAAAATACTTTATTAGAAAAGAATCTCCATGTTCTTTTCCAGGTCAAAAAGGCCTCCTTACTCCATGCTATAATGTAAAGACACCATCTGGGACGTTTGGACCTGTAAACCCTATTGTGAATTCAACTTATACCTTCATGTCTACATTTTTTCAAGAAATTAGTAAGGTGTTTCCAGATCAGTTCATTCATTTGGGAGGAGATGAAGTGGATTTTACATGTTGGTATGATAAATTTTATTTTTACCTGTTCACATTTAATTGGCAGTGTAGAGATTTCAAATTAAATAATAAGATTTAGGGTAACACCTCTGCTTTCAAGGTTAAAAGTTAGCAGCACAATTCCTGAACTAGTGGATTTTTGTAGAATCCACATATGGGTGGTTTGACAAAGTTAAAGCTTTTAGAAAGGAGAATCAAGGTGCAGAAGAAAATGGAGATTTAACCAAATACTATGGTGAAAGACAGCAATGGTTAAGTAGGGAGGATTTTTCAAATAAAAATCCATTTTGCAAATAGCTTGAGATGGAGGAGAAAGGTGAGAAGGGAAAGTCATTTTTATAAGAAATCAGCTTATGGACATTTCTAAAAATAAAAACTATTTGCCTTTTTAAATCTGAAACTGTTTTGGCATTGGGACCTAACTGCTTCGTGGCCCAGAACGTTAGGTGCCAGCACACCACTAATTCCCCAGGGCTCTCAAGGCATGTGTCAGCCACATCTTCCGCTGGTGAAGTCCTGTGGCAACTTCAGATGCTTGATTCTTACCAAATGGTTTACTTTCAGTTTCGCATTCACTGAAGGGATAGTTTTATGAAATTGACTATGTGCTTTTTCTAATCCAAGCATTTTTATCTTTTCCAATATGGACATCTTTTATTCTGATAACAATGTGTAGTTTTTGAGGGTGTTGTAAATCTCCACCATATTTTTCACCATCTGCCAGTGAAGGCTTAAATACTTTATCTGGAATTCTTGCCCTGGTAAATTTGTGACAGATTATATCTGTACAAAGGAGAGATTCTACACTTTTTGTCAAAGTCTGCCTGAGGGCCTCAGAACGACTGAGTGCAAAATCTCTGCATGCGTGGCCTCTTTAGAGGCCACAGATGTTAAATGTTGCTCAGGCTGGATTTACTCACTGAGGAGAAGCTGAACCTGGCTTAATCTACCTCCTACAGACTTTAGTAGTTCTAAATCTGCACAAATGATGTTAGGGATATATGCTGCCGGTTTTGTTCGGGGCTGGGGGAGGGGGGTGTTACATGAAATAGATTGGGCATATAAAACTTTTAAATAAAATTTTAATCACTGTGTTTGTTTAAGGGCATCTAATCCAGAAATCCTAAAGTTCATGGAACGCAGTGGCTTTCAAAAAGATTTTAGAAAACTAGAATCTTTCTATGTTGAAAAGTAAGTTTTTTGTACGCCTGTTCTGTTTTTGTTTTGTCAGTGCTTCCTATAGAGGTTTTAGTTGTTTAGTACTGCTTTTTCCATATCTGTACCCACCTTGCCAAAGTGTAGATGTTATATACTTTGTTGTATGTAGTGTAGATGAAAAATCATAAAGGACACAATATATCCACTGCTTGATTTAAACCAGTAACATGGTAACACTAAACTTTTTGCAATAACTGTTTGAAATGTAAAGTAACAGTTAGCTCAAAGCCTGGCTGCCCTGCAAAGTCTTCATTACCATCCACAGTCCCTGGAACTCATTCCCTTTTGTCAACTCCAGGAGTATTTTTTACTTTACACCCAGGCAGTCCAATATGGTAGCAGTGGCCACACATGGCTGTATTTAAAATTTTTTTAGAGGTGACAGTGATTTATAGTATTATACTATAACTTTTGCATAGAGTACGTTATGCTCACCAGCAAAAGTCTCATTTCCATCCACCAACATAAAAGTTGACCCTTTACTCATTTTACTCTCTCCCATTCCTACCTCCCCTCTAGTAACCACAGCACTGTTCACGGAATCTAAGCATTTTAAGTGTTTGTATTGAAATTAAAATCGAAGAAAATGAAAAATTCAGTTTCTCAGTAACATTAGCCACACTTCAAGGGTGCAGGAGCCTTGAGTCCACTGGCTTCCTTACTGGAAAGTGAGGGAGAGAACATTCCCCATCACTGTGGAAAGTTCTACTCGACAGAGATGCTCTATGCTAGGGATCAACAAACTTCTGTTAGGGGCCACAGAGTAGGAGCCACCATGTCCACCACCCAACTTTAGCTGGTTCTGCTGTGAGGTTGTGCTATGTTGAAAGGTCCCTCTCCATGTTGCTAGAAAATTTGCATGCTTAAGTTTGATATCTGAAATAACTTATTTTTTTCAATGGTAGGATCGTGGAAATGATTTCAACCCTAAAGAAGAGCTCCATAGTCTGGCAAGAGGTTTTTGATAATAACGTGAAGGTGAGGATGGCATCTGATTCTGATCACATATGACAGACTTAGATTCATTCTAACATCTTGGATGGGAGGAACCCCGATGAAGAGTTCCCCAACATTATGGGGGAAATTAGTTTCCCTTTTCTTTCAAACATTTGTAAGGCAATAGCTGTTAAGACTGAGCCCAGTGATAATGGTATTTTTTTTTCATGTACTTTACTCTTTAGTGCGTCCTTCTCATCTTCCCCTTCTACCCAACTCTGTTGCTGTCTTCTTCTTAATCCCAAACTGAAGTTCTCTGAAGTTCAGTTCTTTTTTACAGAAGGGCAGAATAAACAAATGAGTACAAATGAGACCTCATTGCTATTAAGTATATTTTGACAATTGTGCTTAACAATAAAATTAATTTCAAATGGCATTTCTCTCTAACATAGTCAAATTTCTCTTGCATGGGGCAACTGAGTTAGCTACTAATATAACCTTTCCAGAAAAGTTGGTGACATCCTCATACTTTCAAAGTAAAACAGTAGTGTGACAGAAATGGACTAAAGTTTTCATTCATTACACCTATATGGAGTGATATACTGGCAAAAGTTAAATATCCTACCTTGAGGCTGATGAAACTTTTAAGTCCCTGAAGTGAACCGCATTTGGCACTTACTGTGAGGGAAAAGGGGAAAGAAAATGTTTTGTTTTTTTTTTTTTTTCAGCCATCTTGGAAGTTATTTCTTTAGCTATAATGTCTTGAGCTTTTAATTTCCTCTACTATATTTGCTAGACCTAATACATTTTGCAATTTGTAACTTTAATAGCTTCCTGCAGGCACCACAGTTCAAGTATGGATTTCCAACCAATATGCCACAGAACAGTCACACATCACGGCAGCTGGCTTCCCTGTGATTCTTTCTGCTCCCTGGTACTTAGACTTGATTAGTTATGGAGAAGATTGGAGAAAATACTATAAAGTGAAACCTCTTGATTTTCCTGGTAAGTGAAGCAACCATCATTACCTTGGTTTGTTAACTTTTCCCAACCCTCATACCAAGAAATCCTTACCTAGATATTACCTACCTACTAATTACCCTTTTATCCTTTTGTTTGTTACATTAAAAAGCCCCATTCTAACCTTTGTGATAAAATTCATATTCTTACCTAAATACTTCCAAAACAGAGTCCCTTAGATTTTATTTTCCATTTTCACTAATGATTGTTGATACTAGCTCTGTATTTTATTTTATATTTTTACATCATTGTTCATTTTTGCACAATGTATGCATTTTCATCTTGGTTATATTCCCCATACAATTCCCACCCCTCTTATTTTGACCCTAATCCCTCCTCCCCACCCCCCACCCCCGGCCCCCTGCCACCCGTGTGTCTCTGGTTTAAGAGTTGCTTGTTGATTCTGTATTTTTTTCCAATTGCAGTAACACTGGCTTATAACATTCAGGTTTCAGGTGAATAGCCTCATAAATCAACCTCTGATTCAACTATTTTCAACACCAAAATCTAGTTTCCATCCATTACCACACAAATTGGCCCCCTTTTTCTTTACAAACTTTTTTGTTAATGATGTATCATTATTTTAAATCCTGTTTTTGTTTTTGTTTTTTTCCAAATTATAGGATTTCTCTCCTCAGGTATAGTCACCATAGTTCTCCCACCACCAAAGCACCCATAATCATTCACCATAGTCCATTGTGATCTCCTGCCCCTCCCCACTACCTTCCCCTCCTAAGTGTCTTATATCTGTGGTCAGTTTTCAGGGATCCATTTTAAACTTTGCCCTTGTCTGATCCTTTGTTTGGTTTCTCAATTCTATTTCATTGGTCTTTGTTGGTCCCAGGACCATGCTACTTTAATGGTTTTAGAGTACAGTTTGAAGTTCAGAAGTGTGATACCTCTTTTTCCCCTTTTTAGTCAGTAGAGCTTTGGCTATTTGGGCTTTTTTTGTGTTTCCTTATGAATTTCAGTAATCTTTGTTCTTTCTTCTAAGAGTGACATTGGGATTGCAGTGAATCTGTAAATTGCTTTGCGTAGGATGACCATTTTGACAATATTGATTCTTCCCATCCATGAGCAGGGAATATCTTTCCACTTTAAGTATTCTAACAAATTGGCTCCTTTTACCCTATTTTCCTACCACCATTCTCTCTTTCCTTGTAACCACTATTCCATTCATATAGTCTAAAAGCTTATCAGTGTTTTTGTTTATTTTTTATGATTTCACTCATGTGGATGATAAACAAGAGTGCTTGTCTTTATCTGACCTACTTCACTAAGTATAACACCCTTTAGGTCTATCCATGCTGTGAATGACAGGATTTCATCTTTCTCTATAGTTTCCAAGAGGTCTGCAGTAACCTGACCTGCCTCTCCAACATAAAACACCCAAGCAAGGCTCTAGTCTTGTTCAATGGACTTAAGGCTAGGTCCTCGTCTTTGGGTTCTGAGGAGTAAGCATCCTTGGGGAAGGGAGCATTTTCTGAGAATCAAAAAAGTCGTGATTATGTATGACTAGGTATTAAGTGCTTAGTCTCTAGTATTCCCACTTATCTTCCCAGGCATATTATTACAGGCAACCAGGGGAAAAATGCTTCTAATTTCCAAGTAAGTATGCCTAAAACTAAAAATGATATTTTTAATACTGGTCTACCACATTAGTAAGCTATGCTAACAAACACTGTGTGTACCATCATGTCAGGTGTGGGACACCTGCCACATTGTTTTTAGGGCTGCAAACCATGAACATCTCTCAAGGTTCAAATGACTATAGGAGAGAAATGTTGCCCTGGAAAAAAGATAGAAGAAAGCAGTATTGCCTGTGTATAAGCTTTGAGGTACATCTACTTCGCTTTCATCAATTTACTGATTTTTTAAATGTAGGTTCTCAGGAACAGAAAAGACTCGTCATTGGTGGAGAAGCTTGTCTGTGGGGAGAATATGTGGATGTAACAAACTTCATGCCAAGATTATGGTACGGAATTTGGTAACATTTGAATTACGATGCCCTAGCATTACTCCTCTATCCAAGTTGGAATACATTAGAAATTTCCCCAAGCAAATAAATTGGACACTTATTTAAGAAAACATGAATTTAAACTGCTTTGGGGATATGTGCTTTCATTTTAGGCCTCGAGCAAGTGCAGTTGGTGAGCGACTCTGGAGTAACGAAGAGGTCACAGATCTAGATAGTGCCTACAGGAGACTAACCATTCACCGCTGCAGAATGGTCAGGTAAGAACAGGACATTACTCCAGGGTGATTTTTAACCTTCCTATTTTTAAACTGAGCTAGCAGCTTGGGGTTATGTGGATGTTCTGTTTCTATAAATAGAAATGTGATTTCAGCAGCAGAAATTGGGAACTATGTTTTGTGTGAAAGAAAACAGTAACTAAGGAGAAAGATACATTTGGATTTATTGTTTTATAGATATGTAATTAAGAACTCCATTTTGAACCACTTCATTCTAAAGTAATCAGTATGATAGTGATTCTGATTTAAATTCTCTAAAATGTATAAGTTATATTTTTTATTCATACTTTATCTGTTCAACAGACGTGGAATCGCAGCACAACCCCTTTTTACTGGACATTGTAATCCTGAGTACACTAAGTAAAAATGAGCACAAACGAAGTAAAATAGGAGGGAGAAATAACTCCACAGCCATCTGTACTATAGTCAACTTGATTCTGAAATCATGTAAGCTGTTTATGAATAAATATTTTTATTGATTGAACATTTTTTCTTATACATTTCATACAGAAGATTGGTATCTTGAAAGAAGCTTAAAAAACTCAAAAACCATGTGGTATCACTTAAGGCTCAGCCCTTTGGAATACATTAACTACTGAAAGTAATAACTTTATGGATCAGGAAATATGCTTTGATGTTGATGTACCTATGACGTAAAGTAGGATGGGCAGCTCCAGTGTCATTGTTAGTTTTCAAGTTACATCTAGTTCTTTGAACACAGTGAAACAGTAATTTGCCCCATGAAGAAAGCAATAAAAATTCTTACTGAAAATGAAGTAGGCGCTCCTGAATTTCTCTCCATTTCCAAAGAGCTAAGGCACATAGGTCAAACCACTTCTCTGGTTCAGCAGTGTACTTTGATCTTGAGGGTTCATGGCTTGATAATTAGACAATTCTAAGGCAAAAGTAGCTGAGCCTGATGTTAGTGTTCGAAGCACAGTTGAGTAACCCTGATCAAAATAATTTAAATCAGTTATCAAATCTCAAGCTTCTGTTTTTGCTGCTTATCTTTTGACCACTATGAGGAAAGATGATGTTTCAAACATATCATTTAACCATTTTTACAGGAAGCAATGGGTATAGAAATATTGTGGATGCCAGAAAGCAGTGTGTAGGCATGCTTCAGATGTCCTCCCTGGTCCCAGCTTTGGGTAAGATAACACTGCCCTTCCCACCACTCTCCTGGCTCTGCAGTACTATCCTTGAGCAGAAGAGGCGGGTCAGACATAAGCCTCAAAACTCAAAACAGTAGAAGGGCTTGGAAAGGGAAAAAATAGTTACAGAGGCTGGTGCCACGTTTTGGGACAGCATGACTTGACGGAGGACTAGAAATGACCCTCCCTGCACTGCCATTAATCTCTAGATTTCCCAACAATTTTAAACTTAAGTCCTAACAGTTCTTGATGGTTGAAACTTTACATGCACCCTCTACATCAAAGTTCTGATGCTTCTTTCAGGTGCTACTGATTGTTCTTGCTCAGGATATACCCCCTGTATTAAGAAATACTTAAATTTCAAAGTACCTACCATAATTTCTGCTAAGGGAACAAATCCAATAACAACTTTGTTGTCCTGACGAGTCTGAATTTCCTGAATGTTTCCTCTTCTTTGTGCCAGATCTGCCAGGACAGGGCTGAGGTAATCTCCGGGCACTGTAACCTCAAGCTTCATCAGGGGCTCTAAAACTTGCTTATCAGCTTTCTTCAAAGCCTAAAGAAATTAAGGAATGTGAATCACTCTTTCCTAAATTGGAATTAAATATCTGTCAGAAAAAAGTAAGATTAATAAAAAAAATCTATACTTAAACCTAGAGCTCTAGTTAAAAAGACACACCCACTTTAATTTTGTCTGAATATAACATTTTATAAGCAGTTAAAAACTTTGATATTCACTTGTACACATGGTTCAACAGTATGTCTGAAGCCTCTTGTAAGATATGTTGAAAGAGGGTGCTGAGTTAGCACTCATGGACATGCTTCCAAAGACAAACAAAACGGCTTTCACATTTCAATCAAAGAATTACTTCTATTTAAACTGTTTTGTTCCTCATGCCTATATTTATCGTTAGTGCCATATATCAGGGAATCAAGGAAGGATATAAGAGTTTAAAAAATTAATATAAGGTTGTAGGTAGTAGAAACACATTCTCTAGTTAAAATGGAGTTATCTGTCCAGAATTTTAGATTTCAGAGTCCAAGAAGCACATACACATCTAAACCAGGACAGGGCAAGTTAAAAGTAGAAAACTGGGAAGTAGCAGCAATATAAGGAAAACTTATGAAGGTTCCAATCTGACACCATCTGTATCACATAAAATGGTAAATAGGTTTTGGATGGAGTTAAAATAAGCACCTTAAGTTTGATTGTAAAAAGCCATCCAATTCTGCCTATCAGAATTCACAAAACAAGTCTCTACAAATTTAAGATTCTGGTTATCAGGTGGGATATAACAATGGAAACTAAGTAAGAGAACTAGGGTTCCAGAATGTACTCTCATCCTTATCTGGTTTTGGATGATAACCTTTCTGCTTGCATCCCCATGACTCACTTCTCATTACTATGAAGGCCTTTGTGAGGGAGTTATTGCCTATACTCTCAAGCAATGGTTCTGGACCTCCAGCCTTTCTGTGCCTAATATTTCACTTCTGCCTCCTCTCAGTCATGAAAAGCAGCCATATTAGTAAAACCAAGGGTATATTCTCTATCACAGAAATTTCAACAATACATATATGTAATAAAAACAATGTCTCCATTCTTCATAGCTTAGTAAGCCTTTAAAATAATTAACATGACAACTCTAGAAATTGCATTTCAGTCCTTCTTTTGAGTGAAAATACTTAAAAAAATGAGTCAACAACAAACACCTAACATATCCTCTATATTTTTTTAAAAAGATTTATTACTTATGTATACAAGAGCTGGGGTACAGGCCAGAGGTGTGGTGGGTGAGAGGCTCCACCAGAGACAGAGTGGGGAACAGAACAGGCAGACTGACCGAAGTACACTGCTGAGGGGAGCAGCGGGTGAGACAGGAGAGGTCTGCTGCAACATGTGGGCTACTCCCTGGCAGGCGGGGGGAAAGAACTCATGCTACGGTGGCTGTGAACAGCTTCACAGGTTGCATCTTAACCCCTGGCGCCACTGGGGAGGGCCACATATCCTCTGTATTTTTGCAATTCTTAACAAAAGCCTTTGTGCTGCTTTAAGAAGAGGACTGAATTCTGTGGGACTACTAAGGACTTACTGTGTTCATGAAGACATCTCAGTCCTCTTTTCTTTCACAATCTTTCCACTGGAACTATTACCTACTTGCAAAGCTTCAAAAACATCTGGCCTCTTCAACAACTTCAAGTGCTCCAGCCTGTATCCTGCTTTGGGATAGTGTCTGAATATCCTACAGCTACTCAATATGCCCCAAATGAAATTCTTTTCCAAACACTGTTCTTTCCTATTTCTGTTGACGATACCACTATTCTTCAGTTCACCTGGATGTGCACCTTTGATTTCCTAACCCCCAAGTACGCTGCAAGATTTTCATTCCTGGTGCTACTATTCCAGCTGAGAACTAAACCATGCCCTGTCCTGAACTAGCTCTTCCTTACTCCAATACCTCCATTTTAATGATTATATTGTACTTCTCAAAAACTTTGTTCGCCATTGTTCTCCAAACAAATCTCCTAAATGTAAAACTCCTAAATATAGTTATTAAAGGTTTCGCTACAATTTGACTCTATTTTACTTTTCTAACACTATTTTTCACTACTAACCTGCCTTCATCTGATACCATCACTAAAAGGATTCTGTAATCCCTTGCTTGGAATAGCCTCCCCCACCAACTGTCCCCAAATCACCTCAGTTCAAATATGAACTTCTAAGGGTCTTGCCCAGTTGCCACCTCCTTGGCTTTTATGGTTTTCAGCTCATTGTATCTAATACCTTGGCTATCCTATGGCTACAATTAATTACCTTTATAATCATAAGCTCCTCTATGTCAAGAAGAACCAATGCCTCCTTATTTGGGTCCTTCTCGGTGCCCAATGCACATTGAGCATAACCTGAATGATTCCATAAATATATTAATTTATTCATATATTGTTAATTTCTCATAAGCAGAGAGGAGCTGCTTCTCACAAGATAAGCTGGAGTACTTTGTTAGGAATATTTAATGATTTAAAATTAAAGATTACATGAAGTCTGTTATTCCTTATGCAAGCATGATCTTATCACTAATCAACTCAGATTTTACTTTTAGAAAGCAGATTAGATTTTGAAGGACTGGCCAATATACTGGGGCTTGGAATTAATTTAGAAACATTACATTGTCTTTCAGGTTTTTTTCCCCCAATACTAAAACCAATTTCGGAAGAGCCTTTAATTACTTCAGAAAGTATTAACTTGAACTCAGCCTTTTAAAGCCTGGGTTTTAGGGTATTTACATTATCTTCATGGATTCAAATACAACTACAGAAAATCAGATCTCAAATGCCATCCAAAAATATTAAAAAATGGCTACAATGACAAATATTTTAATGCAGAATCAATCCCCTGGAAAACTAGAGTATTTCCACACCGAGTGCCTGGGATCAGCACTCAGCACACCAGGCCCTGGGGTTAACCCAGCTCTGGTATGTAACTGGGGCAACACATATCCCCAGGCTTCCACAAGTGTATCAGATTGCTTGATGCCTTAAAAAGAGAAGATGCCTATTCTGAATCTGCTGATTTTCATGATCCTTGATTAAAATAATCTTACCTGAATAAACAGGAATTCCAATATTATAACTAGTATTATATCTTCAATGTCCTTTAGAATATAGCCCATCTTAGGCCAAGCTGACCCCAGAAATTTCCTCTACTTAAACCTAGCAAGCTTGCCTCTAATGGGTGTATGTCCAGGGTAGGAACACATAAGATGCCAGTAAGGAAAAGTGCCTCTGTCAAAATCTGAGATTATGTTCTGGCAATCTTTGTTAGACAGTAATTTCTAAGATCCTCTTTCTAATAAAACCGTGGTGATTAAGAAATCAAAAATTTTCCAATGTCAAAACTCATTTACTATAAGGCTCAGAAGATAAAAACAGTTCAGGCACTGCAAGCACAGCTGTCTGCAGGATCACCTCCTGCATTACTGTCAAGTGAGCCACCTTAAAGCAAAAGGGATTAGGATAATTCTATACCTTCTGTACACATCTTGAGATACAGGCAGAAATCATAGTTGTGGAAGTACCAGGATGAATTATCAGTGAACGTAAAGTAATTGCCACATCTTGAACTGGGGATCCAAGCAGTGGTCCTAGCAAGGGAAAATATATTAGACTCAATACATAGTGAGGAGTAACTGAGAAATGTAAAGATAGAAGACTTCTGGTTTCCAGTTCCACATATAAGTTGTCACTCTGTCCTAACAACAAATAAAAAGCGAAACAGGCTGAAAAATCAACAATTCTTCCTTGGATCCACAACAGACACAACAGAGTCACACTTTCTGGAGCACAGAACTCATATGCAGAAACCTCCCTAGGAAACAGTGTTGGGGTAGGAAAACCAACTGTAATTGCTGAGCTGCTGCAGGTTGGATGTGGGCTAGTTTGAATTAAAAATTCCAGGGAGGCCCAGTTATAAGGGAGCCCCACAATTTTATGAGATGGACCTCTAGGAGCTCAGTTAGGTTCTCACACTAAATAGGGGGAAATCTTGTGCTTCCAGCAGGGAGAAGGAAAAAGAAATCATTCTGAAATCCTCCAGAGCTCTCTGACCTACCCTCAGGAAAAGCCAGTTAACTGGAGCCTGAATGTCAGGGGTACTAGCTGAGCCTAACTAGCCTGGGGCAATACCCAACTCCAGCCCACTCTAACCATGCTGTTCCTCCTTAGAGGGTAGGAAAAAAACATTTGTGCTCTTCCCAGATCAGATGCACTGGCTCACTCTAAGAATGAGACCTAGGGCCTCCCTGGTGGCACAGGAGTTAGTCTCTGTGCTAACAAGCTATTGCAAGTCACTGCAGCAAGAGTTCCATCCCCAGGCAGAGAGCTGACCCACATGGCGCAGCAGACCTCTCCTGTCGTGCCCGCTGCCCCCATTAGCAGTGGCTTTCAGTAGATCTGCCTATTCTGCCCCCCACTCTGTCTCTGGTGGATCCTTTCACCACCCGCACCTCTGGCCTACACCCCAGTTCTTGTATGCATAAATTAAAAAAAATGAGACCTAATCATAACCTATAGAAGACTTCCACTACTCCCATACCTCACCACTGCCTACTGACATATCTTCTTTTACCTGCTGGTACATCATTTATCAACATGGCTATCAAGAAAAAAATTACAAGAGATACTAAAAAGCAAAAAGCATAAATTGACTAGACAGATCCAGCATCAGGGATGCTGGAATGATCAGATTGGGAATGGAAAACAACTATGATTAATATACTGAGGACACTACTAGACAAAGTAGACAGCATGCAGGAACAGATAAGTAATAAAACCTGAGAGACAGAAGTCTTAGGAAAGAACCAAAAAAGAAATGCTTGAGATAACAAAACATTAACAGAAATGAAGGATGTCTTTGACATAAAGGTAGACTGAGCACTGGTAAGGAAAAAGCCTCCAAACTAGCAGATTTATCAATAGAAATCTCCAAGACTGAAAAACAAACAGAAGACTAAAAAGAAATCCAGAATAGAATATGCAAGGACTATGAGAGAACTGTAAAAGGTATATAACATATTGGAAGAGAAAGGGAGAAAAAAAGAATCTAATATTAGCAATGATTAAATGGTTAAGTGTGATACTAAGTTTACTCTTTCTTATTTGAACCTCACCTTGAAGGCATGCACTGTGAATTCCATTTTCAATGGCCTCTTGAGAGGCCTTCAAAAGGTCTTCACTAACACTTTCAGCATATTCAATAACTGGCATAACAGATGAGGTTTCAACTGGCTTTGATTCCAGTTCTACAGTCACAAGATGCCGCCTGTCTCCTAAAGTTCTATCTAAGGTATCTGTAAACAAATCAAATACAATACCTTAGAGATTTGTTCTGCAAAGATGTCAAAGGGTCACAGTTAGCAAAATTACAATCAACAGTTTAAAAGTCTTGTAGACAACAAAGCAGGAAAACTATTAATGATAGGTATAGTATTAAAGATCTGCTGTAATTACCTATTAATATTGCTTTAGTGTTAAGATGTGCCAAGGAAGAAGAACCCACAAATTGACATGCAGATTATAATTTTTCTTGAAACATCTCTTAAGTGACTGAAATTCTTTTAATTATAAAATTTTCATTTACAGGTAAAACATTTAGAGTACAGCAGGTAATCTAGAGAAAATTAAAAGGTTCTTAACCCTTAATCCATAAACTTAAATTTCATAATCTCCAGAATATTTTATATACTTAGTATTTATAATTTCTTTCCCCAAAATTTATAAATTTCTTTCCCAAAAATGTTTTGGTAAGATAGAAAGCAGCATCTCTCATTTGCTAATAATCGATAGCTGCCACTAATCTCCAATATTTTATTAAAATATAACTGCTATATTTATGGCAGTAACTTAGTGCTTTCTGAAGTAACCACTATCACATCATATTTATTCACTTTTATGATTTTTTTAGTTATCTCACACATGCACGTATCCCTATTCAGTTATGCATTCACTGCGTATACACAGTGGTTCCAAAAAGCTGTTCCGTGTAGCCCAAATGTGTGATAGGCTACACCATCTAGGTCTGTGTAATACTCGATGCTATTCGCACAACAATGAAATCACTTGATGCATTCCCATTGTTAAGTAAGGCAAGATAGCGTACGTCTCCTTTATTTTAAATTTGTTACATATAACCTGTAACTTGCTTTTCTAGCTTCACAAGATGGGGATCATCATCTGGATATTCTATTCTGATGCCTATTGATGTAGTTTATTCTTTTATTCCTTGTAGCAACAATACAACTGATCCATCATTCTGGCCACATATATTTGAGCAATTTTCTACTTAACAGTTTTCTTCTGTTACAGAAGAGCTTTATACCTGTCTCCCAGTGCACCTGTGAGTTTCTCTAGACTGTATCTAGGAGTGGTATTGCTAAGTACTAAGGTTGACACATGGCCAATTTCACAAGAAAGTTGCCAAAATGTTTTCATAGTGGATATATAATTTACATCCCACTTGAAATTTTTATAGAAGTTTGCTCAACAGCTCACCAACAATTGGCATTGTCAGATTTTAATTCTTGCCAATTCTGTTGGGGTAAAATACAGGCACACTTCAGAGATATTGCTGGTTCAATTTTAGACCACCACTAAAAAATACTGCCATAAACAAGTCACATGAATTTTTTGGTTTCTCAGTACCTATAAGTTATATTGATAATATAGTCTATTAATATGTCATAGCATTATGTCTGAAAAACCGAAGTTTATACCTCAATTAAAAAATACTTTATAGCTAAAAAATGCTAACCATAATCTGAGCTATAAATTGTACTCTTTTTACTATGGAGGGTTTCATAAAAAAAATGTTTCTGTGAAGGAAATAAAGCAAAACACAAAAAAAACTAGGTATGCCTGTAGTATCTTGTACTTTTAACTTACATAATCCTAATCAGTACTGAAACTAATGTTCATGGGCCTTTGGGTGGCCTCTTTTGTGAAAACCTGTTTAATCGTTTTTGGCTCACCTTCTACTCAGTTGTCATGGTTTTACTGATTTGTAGAAGTTCGTACATATCCTGGATACTAATCTCTCAGTATATCTTTTTGCCTTTTTATAGTATAGTCTAACAAATTTTTAATTTTAATAATACCAAGTTTATTTGGTGTCATTTGCTCTTATATTCCACCTGTTTAGAGATTTGCAAGTTTTAGTGAAAAGTAACCACCTGACCTTTTGACAGATCATGGAGTTGCATGAATATACATAGTTATCCTAAACATCTTTTCTCTCAATTTTTTCACAAGCCTGTCCATGTTTATGTACTCCTTTGAGGGGGGAATAGTCATAATCATCATTTTCTTTTCCTCAAGGGAACCAAATTGAAACTATCAGACGTAGGAAAATCATGAATTTGGGGACAAAAATATAAAAATTGTACTTTTGCAAAATACCCTCAGCATAGGAGTATCATTTAATGGGAAGTTATTTTTCTCTTATTTTATATAGTAAAAATAACTCATCACCTTCAAATTCTTATGCTTACTCCGGTAGTGAGAATTGGGATGAGCCATCTACTTCAATAGCTTATTCTATCCCATGACCACTGAAAAGCATATTTGTTTGATAAGTGGTTCATCCAGGAGATGTAATGAGTGGTAATGGAATGGGACTGTGTTTAAGACAAAACACAAAAAATCCTAAAAAAGAAAACATACATAAAATCTGTACCCAATGGAAACCCTGCTTTTACATTTAACTAAGGAATTCAGAAAACAACTTGGGGGAGAAGAGGAAGGGGAGGAGGAGGAAATGAAAACAGTGAATTAATAGTTTACTTCTTACCTGTGGCATGAACTGAATTTAGGATGGTCTCTCGGTATGCCACCTGGAGAGGTCCTAGATAGGTTTCCAGTCCATATTCCCTTTTAATTCGGTCATGAATAATCTCAATATGTAACTCCCCCATACCACACAGGACAGTCTGGTTAAAAGATGAAGAAATAAAGATCAAGGGGAAAAAATTATGTTTTATGACAAACAGTATATAAAGGCATAATATCAATGTATATTATTGTTAATTACAAGTGAGTTTCTTTCACAATGTTTTTAGTTTCTACATCCAAACACTATTTTTAAATTTTCTGACTAGATTAGTAACTATAAGTGAATTAAAAATCACTCCCACCTTATTCCATTATAGTTGAATTACAATTGCTATTGTTGTAGCTTTCAGGATTAAACTTAATTACTACCTAATTTAGCCAGCATTTGGGAAAAGAAAGTAGTATTTTTCAGAGTAACTCAATCAAGTTATCCTTTTTAAAGACAGATTTATAATATATTAAAGGAACTTTCACCAAAATCTTATATAAACTTTGCATTGCCTTCTGGAAAAAAAAAGATTCAGAACATACATCTGTTCTACTGTGCTATAAAATACACCACAGTTCTATAACTACTTTAGAACTCTAATCTCCTTCCACGTTATTAGAGGAGTGATGGGTGATAGTTTACAGTCTGTATTACTGTCTTTAAAAGTACCTTTACGTCCTCCTTTTGGCATGCTGCTTCTATGCCTTGGTAAAAGGCTCAAGGGTCTTATTTCCAAATTTCAAAAAGGCTGTCTTTGAAAGGTCAAGATATTGAGGAATAGTTTACTTACATGAAGTATAATTATATTAAGGAATTAAGGGGAATTTGTCTATTTAGCTAGACGATCACTATACTAATCAGAAATTAATTTTGTAAGAACCAAAACAAAGCTTTTTCAGGCAGTGTTTTAGATTTATGTAAGCACACAAACATACTATTATTGAAAGATTTCTGCGATTAAGTAATAATATGCCTACCTGTCCAGAGTCAGGATCTAGCCTCACTTTCAAACTGGGATCTTCACGCTGAAGGCATTTCAATGCATGATCCAAATCTAGAGAATAAATAATAATTTATCTTTACATTTCATTTTTTATATAATGTACTATATGTTCTAGTGGGAATAGGTGTATAGGCAAATTATATATAAAAAAAAAAAATTTCTAACAGCCATAAATGCTTTGTAGAGAATAGGAAGGTGATAAAATAGTGATGGGAGGTAACTTGAGATTGGGTATTCTGTCTCCCCTCCCCTCACTTCTTACTTCTGTCAAGGACTCAAATGTGATACCAGGGCTCCAGCAGCCATTTTGAGTTGACTAAGACTAGGTGCTATGTATCAGAGAGACCAGGGTAGAAAGACTGGACTGATGGCTGATGACATTGTGAAGCATCCTGTAACCCCTAGACTGCCAAATGAAGGCATACATCGCAAGAGGGAGATACAAACTTTTGTTATTAAAGCAACTGTTACTTGGGTTTTTCTACTGTATGTAACCAAATCTAACTGGAAGTGATACAGCTGGAAGCATGAGTTTTATCTACCATATTAAGGAGTTTGGGTTTGTGGTGTAATGAGAAGCCACTGAAAGTTTGAGCAAATATGTTAAAGAGTAAACTGTATAACACTCAAAAAAATCAAACAATATTAGTGATAAGATGTGTGTGCATGTATCTGTGTGTATTTTTGTCCACCAAATTATGGAGGTTGAGCTAGAAAACAAGAAAAAGTAGTTTTTATAAATTATGATGAGAAACTGAGTAAGTTATGAATTGGTTACTATGAAATCTAATGGGAAGAAGAGTCCTGACATCAATGACTTAGAATTCTAAGATAGCACCATAAGAGTAAGGAAGAATATGAGAAAAATGGCTAATATATGAGACAAGAAAAAATGAAAGGAGTTTGTAAAAGTCAAAACATCTTAAATAAACTCGACCAATCACAAGAAATACTTACCAACAAATACTGATAAAACTGAACACAACCACTTAAGGAATCTTTTGAAGATACAATGTTTATATAACTAATCAGAATACTAACTGACACACCAAGACTATTTTTACCTGGCTGCTTAGCCACTGATGGGGGTTCTATGGTACAGAAGAAAACAGGTTCTGGAATCTCCACTCCAGCCAATAAAAGTCTCTCAGCTTCACTGTTTTGTTTATGCTTCTTTTCTCCCTCCCTTTCGGCTCGACGAGCAGCAGCTAATGCACTGGACTTGGATGAGACTATGGTGTCTCCAGTGGCAGTCTGCAAGCAAATAAAATGTTTTGAAACAAAACAGGCTATTAGGAAGCACTCAGCTTCCATCAAGACAAAATTAAAAAATTAACCTGGCACATAAAGAAATATCTTGGAATAAATTTCACCAAGGAGGTGAAAAATATGTACACCTAAAACTAAGAAATTAAAGATAGAAAACAGAAATGGGAAGACTTTGTGCTCAGGAATTGGAAGAATTCACATCATTAAAATGGCCACATTACCTGAAGTAATATTCATAATTAATGTACACCCTGTCAAAATTCCAAAGGCATTCTTCACAGAAATAGAGCAAAAAATTCTTAAATTTATTTGGAATTGCAAACAACCCCAAATAACAAAAATATTTCTGAGGAAAAAAAAGAAAAAAATGGAGATAAGCTCCTTGACTTTATACTACCAAGCAATATTAATCAAACAGCATGGTACTGAAACAAAAAACAAATAGATGGATGAACTGAGAGCCCAGAAATAAGCCCATATATATATAGAGAGACACAGCTAATTTAATTTATGCCAAAGGAGCCAAGAACATACAATGGAGCAAGAAAAGTCTCTTCAACAAATGTTGGGAAAACTTGACAACCACATAAAAATGAAACTAGATCACTAAGATGATACACAAAAATTAATTAAAAATGAACTAAACACTGAAAACCAGAAAATACATAAAAAACATGTATGGTATATTTCACATCAGTGAGGAGACCTTGGAGACTCAACTCCAAAGGCAAGGGAAACAAAAGCAAAAATAAGTAAATGAGACTACATCAAACTGAAAAACTTCTGTAAAACAAAAGAAACTATCATCAAAACCTGAAAACACTCTACTGAATGGGGAAAGACATTTGTAAATCATACATCTGACGAGGTATGATTAATATACAATATATACAAAGATGTCATAAAAGTCAACAACAATAAACAACCCAAATTAAAAATGAACAGAGAATCTGAATAGACATACATATGGCCAATAGGCACATGTAAAGATGCTCATCATCTCTTATTGTTAGGGAAATGCAAATCAAACAATGAGATACCCTCACACTATAAGAATCACTATTATCCAAAAGACAAGAAACAAGTGTTGGAGAAGATGCAGAGAGAAAGGAATCCTTATACATTATCTAGTGAGAATGTAAACTGATGCGGTCATTATGGAAAGTAGTGCGTGAAAAGTTAAAAATAGAGACTTTATGTAATCCAGTGATCACTTATGTGTATTTACCAAATAGAAAAGCACTAACTGGAAGAGATACACATCTCCAAGTATATCACATTATTTACAACAGCCAAAGGCTAAAAACAGCCTAAGTATCCATCCACAGATGACTAGATAAAAAAATTTTGGTGTATATATGCATGCATACACACATGTGTGTGTATATATATACACACACACACACACACACACACACACACACACAATGGAATACTACTCAGCCCTAGAAAGGGATGAAATCCTGCCATTTGCATCCATGTAGATAGCCCCTGAGCCTATTATCCTTAGTGATGTAATCAGACGAAGAAAGACAAACATCCTAAGATTTAATTTATGTGGTACAAAAAGAAAAAACAAATGAACAAAGTAAAAAATAAACTACTAGTCTATAAGGAAAAATTACAGTTACCAGATGGCAAGGGGGCAGTGGGGTTCGTAAATTACATAAATGGGGCTACTTGTATGTTAAGGATGGAACTGGACTTTTAGTGGTGAAATAAAGCAGTATAACCAGATGTTAATTTATAATGATGCACAACTGAAACTTACATAATTTTATAATGTAATGTTACATCAATAAAAAATTTTCCGACATTATGACAGGAATACCGTTTTACCTAAACTTAAAATATGTACATATCCAAGAACAGTAAACAATTTTACTTGGATTTGCAGTTCATATGACTATAATCCGTACTGTTTTATAGTCTTTCATAATTTACTTTTTCTTACTAAACGTATCAGTTCAACAATATTAATGAATATGCTACAATATTCATTACTCTACTAATGGATATTTGGACTGTTAATGGGTTACTGCTATCACAAAATAAATACTTTTAATGAAATATTTAACTTGTTATTTCCTAGAGGAACCATTCTGTCACTTACATGTTTAAGCCCTACAGTCAAAGCAATGTTCCCAGCAGTCAGAGATGGGATTTCTATATGCTGGTCAGCAAATGGCAAAAGCAGACGACTTATTCTCTCCCTGTAAAACCATGATTTATTATTTATTTAGCAAAGTATTTTTAAAGAAATAAATGCAGTTTTAAAAAGTAACTTGGACATTTACTTACGTGCAGTTTCCATTAATATTATGGACGGCCAACTGGGGTTTAATCATGCCTGAGTAAACACGCATAAAAATCAGTGGTCCTCGCTGCTTGTCATGGAGAACTTTAAATGCCAATGCACATAAGTCACCCTTATACCACTGCCTATCAAATTAAGAAGATATTCCAGAAAAAATTGTTAAAATATACTTCTCATATCTATACAAACTAGATCAGAATCATTACATAGACTTAGCCTCAGATCTTTTCATTTAAATACTCAGGCAGATTAAATAAAGACAGTACTAGGTACTGCTATTCATTCCATTGGACTAAAGTGAGATCTTACCATTAATTTCTCAAAACTAAAATTAATGAATTCTCTTCCAAATAGTTCATCTGTTTGCAAATAATTCCACTGCCAAGAGTTTCCGCCACAAAAAAATATACCCAGCAACATCACATCACTTCTTAAAAAACGTACATGATAAGCAAGTATTTTCCTATAACTGCTTTCACATAAATCTGTACCATAAACTTGAAGTTGTTTACACAAATAACCTTCTTAGAGACTGATGTCCTTAAATTGGTGTTCACTGATAAGATTTCAGAGAGGTTGAATCCCTTTGAAACTGCCAAATTTTATATTTAAGTACATTTTCTGAGCTGAGGTTACATATTTTCAGTTTCTAAGGATTCTGAATCAAAATAGGTTAGATACCTCTGTATAGAACTTCTCCAATTTTATTTCAATTCCCTCCAATTTTTAACTTTAACAAATACTTACATAGAGAATTTACCACATAGTAGGCCCTGTTCCACGTACTTGATAAATGCCAACTCATCTGATACTTATACAAATACTATAACATAGTTCCCAGCCCCTGCATTTTACAGATGAAAAGCTAAGCAATGTGGAAGAGCTGGCATTATATCCAAATATATGTAGTCCATGCTCACAGTCATTTCACCATAGTATCTCTCCAATTTAGAGATATGCAAAGTGGTTAATGCACTACTTAATAGGCTCAAGGTCATTCCTGTCTGCCATTTTTGCACAATGCTCACTCAGATTTTAGATAATTTATTACTATATACACACAATGCCATCAGTGACAACAGGAGTAAAATAACCTTTCCAAAGCTGCAAAGTACTTTCAGCTTATGAAAAATCTTAAAATTTGTAATGAATAGAAACAAACGTACAGTATATTTATTAAACATTCCAGTATATAGGTCTCAAATAATATTATTTTATAACTTGGATGAAAAAAAAAAATTCATTCCAGGTCAGGACCACTGTCTGTGTAGCATCTGCATGTTCCCCTCATGTCTGCATGTGTTTTCTCCAGAAGCTCTTATTTCCTCCCACTTTCCTAAGATGTGCAGATTAGGGTCATTAGCCCATCAAAATTGTCCCAGTCTCAGTGAGTGGAAATGTGTGTGAGTGTGCCCTGTGACAGAAAACTGTCCTGTCCAGAGCTGGTCCCACCTCACACCCAAGCTGTCTCCATAGGCTCCTGCCACCTGCAATGCTGAACTGGAATAAATGGTTTGGAAATAAATAAATGAATATAAATTGTTTAACGTTAAAGGTATTTTTTGTCTTTATTTAGAAGGTTGATAATGTTTCTGTGACCAGGAACATGTCATAGGAACTTAACTCTTGTTTATATAGTTAATCTTTAGTCAAATTGGTTTCATTAGCCTCATTTTGCTTAAAGTTGCAGTTTCCAAGAACGTACCCACAATGTTAAATGACGACTTACCATACTACTTTCTAAAAATCTAAAACGGCAGTGTCAACATATATTCTGTACCCAGCAAAATGCCACACTTATTGGCTCCATCACTGCATACACAGCAGGTTACAAAACAAATGTCCCTTTCACAAATAAATATTACTATGGCTCCATATATCGCTTACAATGATTTTTCACCAATGTTATTTTAAAATCGTAGGTCACAAAATATGACCCATTTGCCTACCTGTTTTTTTCAAGGCTACATGATTTTAATCTATGTACTTGAATACTTACAGAAATTCATAGTTGCGCTCCTCGGGTGAAGGCAAATACATGGTAATAGCATCTAACAAAGGCTGAATACCTTTGTTTTTCAGGGCACTTCCACAAAGTACAGGCACAGCTGTCTGAGCCAGTGTTACTCTCTGTATTGCAGTCTGTAGCTATAAAGCAGGGATATAAATAAGTATCTTGTGTGTGGTATACTGATCTCAGCCAAATATTCAAATATATCAGAACTGGAGGCCTTCCGTAACCAGCCATGCAAAATAGCACTCTTCAGTACATTCCCATCATTCTTTATGATGTTACGTTTGTTTTTTTAATAACATCAATAGCTACCTGGTTTAGTAAATATTTGTTTATTGTCTGTCTCCTCAATTGCTAGACTATAAATCTACAAGTTTTATAACAACACTACTAAATCCCCAGAAACCAGAAAAGTGCTTAAACTACAGGAGGTATTTAAAAATAATTCTTGAATAGATGAATTAACATACTTGCGATTTAATCTTGATAGTCTAACAGAGGAATTGGTTAGAAATAAAAAAGTATACATTAGTTATTTCCTCAAATGAATTATATTCACATTAAATAAAACCCAAGGGAAAATGAAAGCTCAGAGAGTGAAAGTTTAAAAGGTCTCAAAACCAAGAAAGCCACAGGTGTGCTTGCAAGCAACAATACTAGAAATGGTTAAGTCAATCCACTTTACTCTGAGCTCTCTGAAAACAGAAATCATGTTATATGACTATAGGACTAATAAACATCACATTTAAATGTTCAAATACTAAATATAAAATTTCAAAATGGACTCAGTATTTTACTTGCCTTTTTCCTGATTTAATGCACCTCTAATTTTTGTTTAACTCAACATTTTCTAATCACATGCAAAGATTTTTAAAAAACAACTTGAAACAGAGAAATCTAAAAACATATAATAAAATTTACCTTTTCAGCTGGTAGCAAATCAAAGTTTTCACTAAATTCTCCTAAAACCAAGTCAGCAAATTCATCATCCAAATCTGCGACCTGTAAAGAAAGGTTTAAGCTTTGTAACTTGTATATTTTATATAACTTATAACTTACATTATAAGTACACATAAATGTTAAAATAAATACACATATTTATATAATAAATATACATTATCCAGATATTTCATGACATTTACATGACCTATCTTATCCAGGTCAAAAAACTCTTCATATCTTCTAAAGAAATAAAAGATTTTTCTTCCAAAGGAAAGGAGATTGAAAATTGAAGAATTATTATTAGTTTTTTTAATTCATGGGAATCCAGAGCCTGATAAAACATTTCAACTAAGTACTAACCACTCAGAATTCTCCAAAGAAAGGAAATGTAGAATTTATAACCAATGTTAATACATGCATGTTTATTTTTTTTATATATATATATATATATATAGAGAGAGAGAGAGAGAGAGAGAGAGCGAGAGAGCGAGAGAGAGAGAGCGCGCGAGCGCACACGCGCACGCGGTAACTTTTAGGTAAATTCAGAGATCTTAGTTCATAAAATTTCATTTGGTATTCCTCCAATATTCTGAATATTCCCCAGATCACCTAAGATAGCCAAACTAAAAGAAATAATCTTATTGTAATCCTGCATAGACGGAATATACTTAAAATAGGGGCATAGACATCTTTTCAACAGTTAAAAATACAATGCATGCTCATGTCCTGTTCATAATTGCCTACCTATTTGAAATAGAATTATTCAGTTAATAATAAAATTAATGAAACACTTTTAAAAGTTTCTAACAGTACAAGGGGGCAAAACACGCAAACATGGTAAGAAAAACACTTAACACAATGAACTAAAGCAGAAACCATGCTGCTGCAAAGTAGTGTATGTGATGGTTAAGCACAGCCTCTGGAATCACACTACCTGGGAATGGCTCCACTACTTACTTACTTGTTCAAAATCTCCAGTCAATTAATTTTGCTTTTCTCTGCCAAGGTTACTTATGGAGTAACTACCTAGTAACTAGTTACTATTAACTACCTTACGGTGATGTTGTGAGGATTATTCTTTCAGAACATCAAGTATACAAATAAGTATTACTTTCATTACTGTTTATCTTTAGTACATAGGAAGGAGATTCTAGTTTACACTAATACTATTCACTGATTTAAAAATTTTTTAACTGTAGTAAAGTACGCATAACATATTTTACCATCTCAACAAGTTCTAAGTGTCCAGTTCAGTAGTGTTCACTCTGTTCATACTGAAGTACAAATCAACCTCCAGAATGTTTTCATTTTGCCAAAATGAAACCCTACATCCATTAAATAACTTATTCATCCCCACACCCAACCCCAGCAACTATCATTTACTTTTTATTCCTATGAATCTAACTATGCTAGATACCTCATATGTATGTACAATGATACAGTATTTGAGGTTTTTGTGTGGGCATGATTAGCTTACTTCAGTTAGCATAATGTCCAACATTCATCTATGTTTCTGAAGCTGAGTAACATTCTATTGTATGCACATACTACATTTAGTTTATTTCTACTCATCTGTGAATAGATGGGTTGCTTCTATTATCACCACTGTGAACAATGCTGCTATGACTATGAATGTGTAAATAAGCATGGTTTGAGACCCTGCTTTCAATTGTTTGGATATATCCCCAGAAGTGGAATTGCTAGATCATAAGGTAACTCTAGTTTTAATTCTGTGAGGAACTACCATACTGTTTTCCGCAGGGGGCCCCACCATCTTCATTCCCACCAACAAGCAGAAGAATTAGTTTCCCCACATCTCTGCCAACATTTACTTTGCTTTTTATAGTAGCAATTCTCATGGGTGTGATGTGGTCTTTTTCTCTAACTTTATCCATATCTATGTATTCCTTGTATTTAGAATATAATCATCTAGTGAGCATCTCAAATCTTTATTTTCATTATACTTAATCATGTCCTAGAATATGGGATATATCTGCAAGTGTACATTGGTATGTCAACTAGAGTACAACATTTTTAAGTTTCTTCTAATGCCTTTTAGCAGAAGACACACACACACACACAAAAAAAAAAAAACCCAAAGGAAATCTACTGACTAATAAATATCAATTCCACTTTTATCCATTATATGCCCTCATATCAAGGGGGTAAGAGTCTAGCTTTAAATTGATCCAGCTCTGCTACAGTTGTGTAACAACTCTTCTAAGTAGGCTAAGCCTCTGTTTCCTCACCTGTAAAATGGGGATAATATAAGGTTGGAGTAAGCATGAAATAATATATGTGAATATTTAAGCTAGCACACAGCAGGTTCTCAATAACTACTTTCCAATAATAAATAGTAATTATCACTGGTATACAAATAATAAAGCTCATGATTACTACAAATCATAATGAAAAATAATTACTTCAAAAATAACTGTAAAAAAGTGAATGAAAAAAATTAAAACTAAGAGGACAGTTTAAATTTAGTAGTGAAAAGTCAAAGGGTTCAGTGTCAAATACTTTTCTCTATCTTAAGATTCAGGGAGTTTACCTAACATGATTTACTAATTGCTCTCTACATTAACATTATATTGATAAATATTATCAGCATTTACAATCTTACTATTTTGAGGGCAGTTCAGGTCCAGAGTTATATATTAACTATAAAAATAATAATTTTAAAATTTTCTGAACAGGGGCCTCCCTGGTGGCACAAGGGGTTAAGACACAGCACAATGAAGCTATCCACATGCAATGTAGCATGAGTTCGATCCCCAGGCAGGGAGGTGACCCACAAGGCACAGCAGACCTCTCCTAATTCACCCGCTACTCCCCTCAGGAGTGTATTTCAGTCAGTCTGCCTGTTCTATTCCGCACTCTGTCTCTGGTGAATCCTCTCACCCCCCACACCTCTGGCCTGTACCCCACTTATTGTATTTTCTAAACAATTTGACATCTAGTAAAGTGAAAAATGAACATACCCTTTGACCCAGCAATTCCACTCCTAGGCTTAACCATAAAACAAATTCTTGCACATGTGTGCAAGGAGATATATATAAGGATGTTCACAGCAACACTGTAACTGCAAAAAAGAGAAAACAACCTCAAGTCCACCCACAGGAGAATAGACAAACTGTGGTATAATCACAGACTGTAACACCAGACAAGATAATAAACAAACTATAACTACACCTATCAACATGGATGTATCACCAACAAAATGTTGAACAATGTAGTCAAAGTAGTAACATTCCTTTTATGTAAAGTCCCAAAACAGGCAAAACTAAGTTCTTTTGGGATACATACATTTGTCCTAAAGAAAAGCAAATGGAAGACGATTATTACAATTAAGATAGTGTTTGGGAGATAAATGATTAGTGGGGGGAAATATGAAAAGTACACACAGTGATGCAAGAATATTACTAATCTTCTATTTTTTAAGCTGGGTGGTGCTTACATTAGTTTTCAGAGTATTACTCATTATACTTTACATTTTCCAAACGTGACTTTACATAACATTTCACAATAAAAAATGTTAAGTTTCTAATTACTTCGGTAATTTTATACTCAAAGTATTTATTTTACTTGTTCAATTAAGGCATTCCTTGCTTCTGTTGTCTCCTTCAGCAACTCGGGATCACTCATTTCCAAGAGGGGTTTTCTTTCAAAGTCTTTTCCATCATGTGAATTGGGATGCCAAAGAAGTTTTTCTTTTTTTACTATATCCACTACTCCTTTGAAAGCTTTGGCTTCTCCAATTGGTAACTATAAGTCAAAGTGAGAGCAATATTCTTAAACGATCACTCATTTAGAACAGCGTTGGTGATAAAAACTTATCTAATTATATACCACTTTCCCCAAGTAATTGTTATTACTATAATAAATAGCTATTTTTATTTGTGCCCGTTCTTCCACAAAGGACTTGAGAAATACATAGCTTCAGAAATATATGTATGTCACAATAAAATAAAATGATAAAGAAACTAAGAGAGTGCTATTGATTAAATTACCTGTAAAAGCAAAGGTTTTGCCTTCAATTTCTCTCTGATGCTTTCAACTGCATAGTTAAAACTGTAGAGAGAAAGATAAATAGTAAAAAAAAGCTAAGGTTCTAAAAAAAGGTTTAAGATTATTCTATAACTGTAATTGTTTTCATTCTCCCCAATGTTTACCTTTAAGCAACTTTCCATGGGATGTCCTGAATAAACCCAATACTTTGTAAAAGTGAGCATTACCACATGTCAGCATTAATGCTTTTGCTTTATATTCAGGTCTTAAAATATCTACATTCTCTTCTCCCAATTCCATTTAATTGAGAGCATTATCACCCAGCAGCTAAAGAATATCAAGGGAAAAGGAAGAACATCCTTCTGTGAGGCAACCACAAGAAACAATTCTCTCACATCCCCTAATTTTAGCAATAAAGGTGAGTACCATAACTTCCAGGAATACAAAGACTATGCTTTGTAACTGTAAATAGAAAAAGTGTAATCAGTAATACATCACCTTTCAGGATCCTAGATAACAAGATGTAGCCTCCATACATTAGAATCCAGGTGATCGATTATCTATCAGATCTCTGTTAATCTTGTTAGTTAACCTATGAACTAGCTGTTCAGGAGTTTTGTTTTTTTTTTTAAAGTGGGATAGAATTGGGATTCCACAGTCTATTTATACTTTATAGGGAATATTTGCTTTTTAAGTTATTTTTGTTTAATAAGACATTTAGTTGATCATTTAGTCGAACAACCTCTACACAGAATCAAAATACATGGTTTAAGATATTTTTGAATGGAATTTAGGTCTCAAGATGTTCTGAGCTTACATGTTTTCTTGAATAAATTTAACTGGGCCTTTTAAGACACCGAAGAAAATAGAAAAGTTGGTGCAAGGATACCAATAATGAGATTTTGAAATTATTCTTAAATCAGCAAACTCAGAATTGGTAAGGATTAGGACAATTCCTCTGAATTTCCAACATACTCAAATTCACCCTGAAACAGTGTGCTTCTAAATTTAATTTATAGTTCACTGAAAGCTCAAACTGTAGTCTCATTTTGCTAAGTCACAGAGACACACTTTAAATACCTTGCTCCAGTTTTGTCCATCTTGTTTAAAAAACAGATGCGAGGTATCTTGTGTTTATCAGCTTGCCTCCATACTGTGAGAGTCTGTGCCTATTCAAAGGAAAAATATATATATATGGACAAAAGTAACTATTACACATGGAATACACATACATGATGTTAATGTTCAAAATAGTTTACTAACCCTGATCAAAATAAATCAGTTATCTCACCAAGTCTCAAGTTTCTCTTTCTGCTGCTTATGAAATATTTGCATTCTCTAAGCACAGGGTTCCCACTGAATGTGCAGTTGTCACCTGACACGCTGTGGCAATTAGGGCTGCCAGAAGTCATCAAACTCTGGCAGGCTAACTCATCAGCTTGAAAGTAAGGTAAAATGTCAGGCTCTTCTCAGTTCTCAACATTAACTTTCCTATGTGTTAAGAAAGAGTAAAATAGTTCGCTTTTACTATGAAATATCTGAAGCTACATATAGAGCACATCTCAGTAGTAATTTCCAACTTCCTTTAACCATAATTTGATTTTGTCAAATTTACCAAATAAAGGCTTATATTTAAATCTGACACATACTACTTTTTTTTTTAAAAAAAGATTTATTTATGCATACAAGAACTGGGGTACAGGCCAGAGGTGTGGGCAGTGATAGGATTCACCAGACACAGTGCGGGACAGAACAGGTGCACTGACCAAATACACTGCTGAGGGGAGCAGCAGGCGAGATAGGAGAGGTCTGCTGTGCCATGTGGGTTAGTGCCCTGGCGGGGGATCGAACTCATGCTGCAGTGTCTGCGGATAGCTTCATAGTTCTTAGACTTCACCCCTTGCAGCACCAGGGCGGCCCCTGATACACACTACTTTTTAAAAACATCACTCTGCTGTCTTCACTTAGGCAATATTTTTTACCTCTACACCAGCTGAGGCATCAAACACAGCCACTGCACCATCCAGTACTCTTAAGCAGCGTTCAACCTCCAAGGTAAAGTCCACATGACCTAAGAAAAAGATGGAAAATGTGATGTTTAAAATCTTTTTTAAAAAACAAAAACAACTAGTGATGCAGAATTCCACTTTTGAATAAGTATGCAAAAGACTGGAAAGGAGGGCCCCAAATAGGTATTACCACACTCATGATCACAGAAGCACATTCACAATAGGCAAGAATCAGAAGCACTCCAAATGCCCACCAATGGATGAATGGTATATACACAAATATTTTATACACACAAAATGTGTTATGTTCATTCAATGGAATACTATGCAGCCTTAGAAAGGAAATTCTGTCACTTACCAAACTATGTATACATGTGTAAGTAGGTGGATAGTCAAGATAACCTGGAGGACTTTATGCTGAGTAAAATAAGCCAGTCACAGAAGGACAAACACTGTAAGATTCTACTGCATGATCCCACTTATTCGAAGTATCTAAAGCAGTGAATCTCATAGTCATAGTAGAATGGTTACAGGGAGGAGGAAGAGGATACAAGATGAAATAGTTGTTTAGTGGGCACAGAGGTTCAGTTCTTGTAGATAAAAAAGTTCTGAATAGTACACTTAAAAACGGTTAAGTTATTAAATTATATGATTTTTACACAATTTGCAAAACATACATGTATACAAACGATAAAACCCTCAAGTGATGCAGCATTTCTGCATTGCTGAAACAGCAACATACCTGGTGTATCAATTAGATTGACTCTATACCCCTTCCAATCAAATGTAACAGCAGCTGATTGAATCGTTATGCCTCTTTCTCGCTCTTGAGCCATGAAATCTGTCACTGTGTCTCCATCATCAACATCTAACCAGGAAAAACATGACATAAGCTTAGCAGCAAGTATATTGTATTGGTACTTGATATCTGACAGTTTAATAAAAACTGTTCATAAAGTACGAGGTTTAATATTTAGAGCCCTTAATCTTTCTTAAGATAAATCTTCATTGTATAAAAAGCTTTTTCATAAAGATTAGTAATTTTGCCATTAAAATCATTCTTCTTTAATAATGAAGATTAACATCTATTTAAATATTTTAATTTTACTGAACCATATACATCTTTTATCTTTTTCCTAGTTTAACCTTCATTATCCTTCCTTATCTGACATTCCTTACACCTGATCCCTTGCTAGGAGGCAGAGTAATGCAATGAAAGAGCAAACAGACCTAGATTGAAATCCAACTTTATTACTTCTTATTCTATGGTCTTGGACAAGTTACTTAACCTACTTAACCAATTCCAAGAGTCTAGAGAAATGGTTCTCAACAGAGTACATTTCAAAATCATCCTGCAGTTTTTGAAAAAGAGTCACTCTCACTCTTGGTATTATGGACCTAATGATCTCCATCTCAAAATTTCAAAATAAATTGTTTTACAGGGGTGGGAAGAGTACCATCATGGTACACAGGTGAATTGATGGTGGGAATTTCACGGGAACTATAATCAAGACGAGCAAGCATACACTGTACAAAAATGATGTTGTAAAATATACATTTTAAAAAAATGATATCCATAACTAATACCCACTGGAACTACAGAGTCCTTATTATGTAAAAGTTATTTTGGAAAAAAAAATTGTTTTATCGAAGATAAGGAGCCCCATAATATAAGTGCTAATGCATCCGAGAACCACAACTATCATGAACACAATGAGTCAAATACATAATTTCAAAATACATCATACAAAAACCCACACATATCACAGACTTGCTGAATCTTACTTTACAAAGTAGAACTCTGCATTATTAGAAAAGCAAAACCAAACTTAAAAAGAGAGAGCCTACAGGGGGATTTAAATGTGTATTAACCATCAGAAATCAGCCTTTAACGTTTCAATTTAAAATAATTTCAAAACTTAGGTAAAGAGTACTATAACTATGGGTTGAAGATTAACAAAACTCTTTCTTCTTCTGTAAAAGAATTTGACCTCCAGTTAATTTTACAGTTATTTTCTCTATAAACCAGAAAATTGAAGTATGTCAACTATGTAAATTAAGCAACATATCTCATAAAAAAATAATTTCTGGGGCCTCCCCGGTGGCGCAGCAGTTGAGTGCTGGGTTGCGAGGCTGCCTGCAGCCTCTGCAGCGCAGGTTCGATCCCCGGCTGCTCCCCGGCCACCGGAGGAGGGTCCCGCATGGCGCGCAGACCTCCCCTGCCACCCGCTGCTCCCCTCAGCAGTGTGCTTCGGTCCTTCTGCCTGCTCTGCTCCCCGCTCTGGCTCTGGTGAATTCTCTCACCCTCCCGTGCTTCTGACTGTACCCAGTGCTTGTATAAACAAATAAATAAAAATCTATAAAATTAAAAAAAAAAAAAGAAAATGAAAAAAATCAAGATAACATATCTTAAAAAAAAAATAATTTCTGAATGGTAAACTACATCTGAATGGGGAAGAACTATGAATAAATCACAAATACAGGGAGGAGAGTCATAGCTTGAGGCTTCCCTGAGTGGGGTATGGCATGTCACCCTGGTGTGAGACCTGAAAACTGTACCCATGAAGCTATGAGATTCAGTCTAGGGGCATGAGCCTTCTAAGCCATGGTGGCACCTATATATATATATTGTTACCTTGCATCTAAGCATCACTGTGGGGTGGCCAAAGAAGGTAATTCCCAGGTAGTTATGTGGACTGCTACAAGCTATGGGGGAAAAAATTACCCTACTGTTGGTATCTTTTAAACTATGGTCCCTATCCTATAGTTTTCTGTGTACACGAGTGCCAACTATGGCCCAGGATAATCTTGTGAGTCTCAATGTTTAGTTGAACCTAAAAGGATCCTTTGGTGGGTGTTGCAACCACCTTATCTTTATGTTGTGGTTTGGATATCAATGTTTCCATGTCATATTCAAGATTGCTAGGTGGACTTCTTAATCAAAATATTACCCAATGACGTTTTTGCTAAAGGGGGTTGGGAAGAGGAATACGTTCTAACCTCCCAGTGATCTTGTGTATCCAGAATAGTACAATATCCTTTCTGTGGTGGTAGTTTTCCCTGCATCAATATGAGCCATAATTCCAATATTACGAATTCTGTTTAAAAGGGGGAAAAAAAAAAACAGGTATTATGAAGTGGACATCACTAAAACTATAAAAGCAAAATATCACCACTTTGCTAATCTTGAAGTTGATTAGCATTTCAATAATTTATATAATGGCATGAAAACTAGAAAAAAAAGGAAAACATATTCCTACCACCTACTCTGACAAAATAGTTAATAAAAGAGCTAACTAAAATCTCATGTCTTATATTTATTTCTATGAAAAGTGTGCTGTTGCTACATTAAAAATTCTTAGAACTGAACTGAGAAAAGGAAACTTTAAAAATATATATGAACATCTATTCATAATTAGGTAAGGCAAAAAAAAATCACAGAAATTAGAGCATTCGCAAACAATACTAAATTAAGTTCATGAGAGAAATCTAACTTTTGATGGCAGCCAATAGAAAAGACAGTGTCAGTGGCAGTACTTACTTAGCTATGGGAGGATTGATGATGGAATGAAGGGATTTGATATCATTTCCTATTAATCCTAATGGAAAGAGGATGAAATATGAACTGTTAAATTTAAGAAGTTATACCTAATTTACAAATGAAAAATATAAAATCCAAATTAATGTAACTTTTATCTAATATTTATTTTCCCTCAATCTCTAAAAAGCAGTAAAAATTTTAAACAATTTCTAGATCATATACTTTGCAAAACAGATTTATTCCATAAATAGAAATAATGATAACAAAAATCTTAAGGTACTAGTAGATCTTAAAACAAAGTAAAATGAAATATGCACAATCCCGTGAACCTGCATTTTTCCAAGGCCTGAGGACCTACGAGTGATTCTTCTATGAGCCAACAATTAACTTTTCTACAGTTTTGAACCCACCTTCCTGCAGCCATCCCATTAACACAGTATCTTTAAAGATGGCGTTGACGCTATCACTGAACAGATCCTATAATTAATACTTCTAAAAGGCTAAGTAGTATTTGTGGAATAAAAAAAAAAAATCATAATGATTTAAACCAAAATTCTGTAAGTTATACTTTGAAAACAACACAGTATCTTGAAGATCAAGCAGTAATCTGCACTGCAACAGTTAAATGTGCATGTGAAAAATAAGAAATCAAGGCATATACCAATAATGCAAGTCATTAAATTAACATCTCCTTACAAGTCACACAGCCAGTCAGTAATTTTACTCCATTATTTTCACATGACAAAGACAGTAATGAGAACAGCAAAAGAATGAAATTAGTTTCATTGAGTCTCCCATATGCTTACTCCAAATACAGGAATGACATCCAGAATTAGCTCCTCAGTCTTACAACTTTTAATAACCACACTACCTAAACTATACTATTCCAGACAACTAATACTCTCAACAACCTTCAAAATAAATTATTCTGGTAAGCCTGATAGAAAATGCTTTTGTATAAAAGCCAGAAGTGGAGTAGAAAAATCAGTATTTTGTAGCAAGAGTACAAGCAAATTCACATGCTAAACTGTTGTGCCAGCCCTCCCCTTTGTTGAGCTTATTGGGATGGCCAGAAGAGGAGCAGATGTTTACTTAATAAGGGAGATGCCTACAAACTGGAGGGAGGAGAGAGAGGAGAAGAAAGTTTAAGGAAAATAAGAGTCGAACATTTATACCTGGTAGCGAACTATAACTTCTTCCAAGAGGCACAGGTGGCTTTAATTTTTTTAAACTTGTTCTTATTTTACAGCAACACATATTCTAGTGAGGAGAAAAAGAAATGACATTAATTTTATTTCGGCATGACTTGTTACAGTAGTTTTAACATCCTAACTTTGTCAGAGAACAAAATACTTTGACTCTCCTTAATCTCAATTAACTCCAATTCTTTTAAAAAGTGACAAACCAAAACTATAATACAAGAATAAAGGTCAAATTAATACTAATCTGCTATTTTGAGCTGACCTTAGAGTGATAGTTCCCCCAGATGTGCAACATCAGCATCACAGGGAACTTATCTGAAAGACTAATTCTCAGAAACTCGGGGGATAGTAGTGAATTACCTGTGTTTCAACAAGCTCTCTGATAGCTGCAGCTTGAGGACTATGACCCTAGTTTCCAAAAACTCAGAAAGGTTAAAATAAATACAAGGCCTCTCACACCTAGATATTCCTTGGTTGTTCTCTGCAGCTGCTAAGAGCTGGCAGGGGACATGAACACTGAAGAAAATTGTGTGTAACAGCCTAGGGCCACTAGTGACCTCAAAGTGGAAAATCAAAATAGATGGTCTTCAAAATGCTGCACAGGTGATTTTAAAGTAGCAAAATGAATTTACAGATTGATAAGGCATATGCTTCTCCCAGGTTCCAGGTTCTCCCATACTCCCAATTAAGAAACTGCTGGAAATAACTGGGACTTTTGGGCAATAAAGTAACATTGCCAAAGTACACTTAATTTTAAAGAAAAGCTTACATTAACACGGAAGCTGGATATTTTCTTATGGTTCAGTGAAAATATCCTCAAGTTGAAAAACATCTTGGCCTTCTAAACTGGTTTTCTCTGAAAAAAAATATACAAAATTATAAAAACAAGAGGTTTGCAATACCCTGTGTTAGATGCATTCTAAAATAGGAAAATGGATTCTAACATAATATAAAAGCTCACTAATACAATTTGATTTACACATTGCAACTAAGCTTTAAGAAATTACCACTTGTGGGCCTCCCTAGTGGCGCAAGGGGTTAAGATGCAACCTATGAAGCTATCCGCAGCCACTGCAGCATGAGTTCGATCCCCGGCGAGGGAGCTACCCACATGGTGCAGCAGACCTCTCCTGCCTCGCCCACTGCTCCCTTCAGGAGTGTATTTCAGTCAGTCTGCCTGTTCTGTTCCCCACTTTGTCTCTGGTGAATCCTCTAACCCCCACACCTCTGGCCTGTACCCCAGTTGTTGTATGCATAAATAATTATTTAAAAAAAAATTACCACTCGTGAAAATCTGGCATAGCATGTAAGATGGCCCACAATTCTCTGAAAAGAGTATTAAAACATTCCTCCCTATTAAAATATCCCAACCACATATATTTAATCATATTATATATTTAATTAGACTTGGCTTGCTTCATACACTTTAAACAAAAAACCCACAAACACATATATAGTAACATACTACAAAAGCAGATACGAGGTATTGTTTTATATTAAGCCAAAATTATAAAATTATATAAAATAAACACACCCCCAAATGTTATTTTTGTTTTGAAAAACAAAGGTATTTTCCATAAAGCTAATCTACTTATTTTAAAGGCTAGTGGCTGTATTATTTCTAAATGGATACAATATTTTAAAGTCTTATTTAATTTCTAGCATTTGACTATCAATTATAACCTGCACAGGGCAGGTTCTCTATCAATTGGGCAGACAGGTAAAAGAGAGTCCTCGAGCCCTCAGTGGCTTTTTCAGGCTTTAAAGCTCTTTGTAAGCCATTGTTGTGGGGCAAGCCTGCAGGCTCACAAGTCAGGGATGGGGGACCAGGAGGCTTGTAGGCTTCTTAGCCCCCGGGGAATCTTTACTCTTTCTCTTTGGGCTCTCTCTGGTGTCGCCTTGTGGTCTCTTACTCTTGCAGCCTTTGGTCATCTGCGACCCCCATTCTCTATGTGACACTGCCCTTATAGCCTCAGCCTTCAAGTTCAGGTGTGCCCACTCATGCACGCCCACATCACACTCCAGGTGTCCACCATCAGGCATGTGTATCCCGAGCCCACGCTCCCAAGCGCCTCCTGCATTCAGGGCTGCAGGTGATAGCTATAGAGGCTAGAGGCATAAAAGCCTGTGCAACCTTCACCTACCTTACACCACATGAACAACATTCTTTGAAGTTCTGAATCATTTTTCAGCATGTGAAGGGGTTTCATAGATCAAAAATTTTGAGAACTATTCTGACACTGAGTTTCCCAAAGTAAAGTGCCTATGACTAATTTAGGTTATAGACAAAAACTGTTTACTAATTAAATATTAGGAAAAAAGATGACAAAACCCATGATTGTACAAATAACGTTGCTTAAAATGAAGTTAAAAGTATTTACACAAAAATGTGAATTTAAAGGAAAATATTAAGTTAAATATCTGACTTTCAGATACCACCAGTCTTAAAAAGTAGTGCTCAACCACCAAAAACCCTGAATAGCCAAAGCTCTCCTAAAAGAAAGTAATGGAGGTATTACACTCCCAGACTTCAAGCTATACTACAAAGCCATAATAATCAAAACTGCATGGTACTGGAACAAGAACAGATACATGGACCAATGGAACCAAATAGAAAATCCAGAAATAAACCCACAAATTTATGGTCAACTAATCTTTGACAAAGGAGCAGAGAATATGTAATGGAGCAAAGAAAGTGTTCAACAAGTGGTGCTGGGAAGACTGGGTTGCTACATGCAAAAGAGTGAAGCCTGACTACTACCTCATACTATGCACAAAAACCAACTTGTAGTGGGCAGGAAGGCCACAGTGCAGGATCTCTGTGACCCAAGCAGACGGGGTAAAGGAGGAGTCCTGGAGCCCTCGGTGGCTTTTGCAGGCTTTTTTGGGGATTTACCAGGTACACAGCAGGCAGAGGCACTGCCAGCCTCCTGGCCCCCAGCAAGTCTTCACTCTTTCTGGGCTCACTGGCGTTCTCTCTGCTTCTCTCGTGGTTCTTTCTGCTTCTCTGCTTCTGCTGGCATCCACCTACGCCGCCCTTATAAGCCCAGTCTTAGCCCAGGTGAATCCCATCTACATATGCCCACACCCTATTCCAGGAGTCCGCCATTAGGCATGCATTCGGGACCACAGGGTTCCATCATCGATCCTAATGGCGGGAGGGCAAAAAAGCCTGATATATTTATCACTTACCCTACACAACTCAAAATGGATTAAAGAACTAGAAATAAGTTCTGAAGCTATAAAATATATAGACAGAAATATAGATGAAACACTACATGACATACACCTCAGTAACATCTTTAAAGACTCATCACCCAAAGCAGTGATAGCAAAGGCAAAGATAAACAAAGATAACAAAGGCAAAGATAAACAAACATAACAAACAAAGATAAACAAACATAAACAAACAAAGGCAAAGATAAAATTTAGCTGGGACTAAATCAAATTAAAGAGCTTCTGTTCAACAAAAGAGACAGTAACCAAAACAAAGAGACATCCCACTGACTGGGAGGAAACTTGTGCACACAACACTAATGATAAAGGACTGATCACAAAAATCTACAAAGAGCTGATGAGGCTCAACAAAAACAAAGTAAATAATCCAGTCAAAAAATGGGCAGAAGAGCTAAAAAGAAATTTCTCCAAAGAGGAAATGCAAATGGCCAACAGACATAAGAAAAAATGTTCAACATCACTTGTAAAGATTTATTTATTTATTTATGCATACAAGAGCTGGGGTACAGGCCAGAGATGGGGGGGGGGGAGTGTGGTGGAGGAGGTTATGAGAGGATTCACCAGAGACAGAGCAGGGAATAGAACAGGCAGACTGACTGAAATACACTGCTGAGCTGGGCAGCGGGTGAGACAGGAGAGGTCTGCCTCACCATATGGGTTGCTCCCTGGCCAGCCGGGGATTGAACTCGTGCTGCAGAGGCTGCAGATTGCTTCACAGTGTGGTGCTTAACCCCTTGTGCCATCAGGGAGGCCCTAACATCACTTGTAATCAGGGAAATGCAAATCAAAATTACAATGAGATACCATCTTACACCAGTGAGAATGGCACATATTAAAAAAACTAGCAACAAATGTTGGCGAGGATGTGGAGAAAAAGGAACTCTCCTGCACTGCTGGTGGGAGTGCAAACTGCACCAACCACTATGGAAAGCTGTGTGGAGATTCCTCAATTTGCTAAAGATGGAGCTTCCGTACGATCCAGTAATTCCACTCCTATATATTCACCCAAAGGACACAGAAACATTAATTCAAAAGGGCACCTGCACCCCTATGTTTATAGCAGCACTATTTACAATAGCTAAGCTATAGCAACAACCCAAATGCCCAAAAATAGATGACTGGATCAAGAAGATGTGGTACATATACACAATGGAATATTACTCAGCAATCAAAAAAGATAAACTCATGCAATTTGCAGCAACACGGATGGAGCTGGAAAGGATTCATGCTCAGTGAAATAAGTCAAAAAGAAAAAGAAAAATAATGGATGGTCTCACTCATAGCAGGAATTTAGAAAACCTAAATAAGGGACCAGGAAAAAGACTAATTATAATAAAGTGAAAATCAAAATCAACAAGCAACTACAAGTCAGAGACACACGGGGCCGGGGGGGGGGGGGGGGCGGTTAGCATCAAAACAAGGGTGGTGGGAATTGCATGGGAATTATAATCAAGATGAAAATGCATACATTGTGCAAAAATGAAAAATGATGTAAAACATATATAAAATAAAAATTTTTTTAAAAAAAGCAGTGCTCAAATCACTGAAGTTGGAAACACTGCTTTAACTCTTTACAAATGGCCTTCAAATAAACAATCTCTTCTTGTCACTTCCCTACCTAAAAATCTTTAAATGTTTGTAATTCAACAAATCTGTTCCCAACTGCTTTCACAGTTTCACATTCTTCTGTTCCCTACTCTATAACTGGGAACTCTAGCCAAAATTCCCCAGGCGCATCATGCGTTAAGAAACCTTCACACCCTTGCCTGTAATATTACCACTGCCTAAAAGCAGTCCAAGAATCCCCAAAGTGCCTAACAGGTAAATTTCTATTCAACCTTCAAGTCCCAGCTTGGAAGCCCTTTCTAATTTCCTAATAAGTTTTAAAATTACACAATACATTAATTTACTAAAAATACAAAAATGAGTAACACCTGATCCCTCACTTCCAGAAAAATACTACTTTAAAAATTTTAGGTTGCCTCCTGCATATCCCATGTAATAAACATTTCATTTGTAATATTATTTGCAAAGCTCTTACTACATTTGCTCTGCCTCTTTAACCTAAATAAGCTTGATTCTTTAATTACACAAAATTTATAATGTAGTTCTCACATCCTTGTGTGTTTAACTTCATATCTACACCAGTAAGTACTATCTAAAGTTCCATCGAAAATCATCTAAATATACTGTTACGTTTCTGTCAAAATGCACAATGGCTATCTAGCATATATATTTGGTAGATGTAATGAAGTGGTAATCACAGCCAATTTGGCTACTGCCAGCTATACAGGAAGTAATTTTTAAAAGCGCTTTTTTTCTGACATTAGGGTATTTCTATTCTGTTATCACAGCTGAAAGAATAAATGATAAACAACGTAGTAGAGCACATTGCCTCCTCTATTTTATACAAGTCAAAATTGACCATTGTTTATCCTGTAAAAGTTCGTTCATTTTCTATTCCTAATACAAAAGGGGGAAAAGGGCACTGGTGACTTTGATAATTGTAAATGAAAAAACACATTATAATGTGTTCACAACTTAAACCTATTAACAATTTCCATAAGCTGAAAGAGCTACTCTAGGAAACAATAAAATCTCATAAAGTTAAGCAAAAGAAACCAACAACCTACACAAAACTATGGCTGTAATTAAGGGAACGTCTGTGAATGCAGTAAAAAGGTAAAACTGGTAGTTTTCTTAATGTGATGTACGTTTCTGCAGCGAGTTACTTCTTTCACGGCACTGAAGTGTCACTAGATCAAATGAACTTAGCAGTCTGTCCAGTGCAAAAGCGTAGGGTAAGGTGAAAGTATCAGGCTTTTCTGCCCTCTCGCCATTAGCATAGATGACGGAACCCTGCGGTCCTGAATGCATGCCTGATGGCGGGCACCTGGACTAGGGTGTGGGCATATGTAGATGGGAGTCACTTGGGCTAAGACTGGATTTGTAAGGGTGGTGTCACGGGGACGCCAGCAGAAGCAGAACGAATGGAAGAGCAGAGACGAGAAGAGAACGCCGGAGAGCCCAGAAAGAGTGAAGACTTGCTGGGGGCTGGGAGGCCACCCAGCGCCTCTGCCTGCTGTGTACCTGGCAAATCCCAATAAAAGCCTGCAAACCCACCGAGGTCTCCAGGACTCTCCTCCTTTACCCGGTCTGCTGGATCAGAAAACCTGCCATATGTCCTTCCAGCCCTACAAAAAGGCCTCAGTTTCAGAAATTAGTCCAGAATACAGAAAGTCGTCTTTCTTTTCTGACAGGTGTGAAATCACAGTAGTTTTACTTTCTTACATAAAAATCTGCACTCCCCTGAATTCTCAACCGTGCGCGCACACACCCCGGAGGGAAACTAACGAAGGTCGAGGACAGAAATGTCCACACGTGGGAGGACACGGAGGGACACGGAGGCCCCGCGTCCTCCCCCGAGGCCGTCACACTCCAGCCTGGCGCGGCCCAGCGTGGGCAGAGTCACAGGCACCCTAGAGTCGCACCGCGCAGCTCCGTACCCACCTGGCACTAGGTCGCGTGCCGCCAGCCAGAAAAAGCCGGATTGTTGGGTGCTGGCGGTGCAGGCCGGGCCAAAGTTTGCAAATCGCTCACCTCGCCACGCACGCCCTCAGCAAACGCTCGAGGACCCGGGGAAAGGAACCGCTGTCTTTTTCGCTGTGTGTCCGCCAGCCTCCGCACCCGTCACTTCCGGCGGTGCACCACTCAAATGCCTCCCCCCAGCAACTTCCCCTCTTTTGGTGGAATGCAGAGAAAGGAGGCTCGGAACCTGAGCGTTGTGCCTTCTCTGCAGTCGGTTGAATTAGAAGTGCCCTTTCCTGCCGCGAGTTGCGTGGAGGCGGCTCGTGAGTCTCTTGAGACCCGAAAATTGAGAGCTTGTAAGCGACCGGGAGGCTGCCCCCGGCGGTCCTGAGGCCATCAAAATGGTAAGGTGTCGCCTCGGTCGCTCGCCGCCTAGGTGGTTTGAGTTGGTGGGACCTTGGAAGTCCAGAACTCGGGTTCGGGACGAGGGGTAGTAGGCAGAAGTGGGGTACTGCTGAAGGGATTAAGGAGAGCTGCTGTGAGGTGGGCTCCTTTGCGGACACACGGGGATATCTGTCAGAGGACAGGCGTGGTGAGACGGATTTCACTGTTAAATTCCTGATTTCGCTGTGTTGTATGGTTGTCAGTTCCGGAACCTGCTGATGACCCTATATTGTAGACTTTAAATCCGTCGCCACCGGAATTAATTTTCTACTGAGGAAATTGAAGGCAAACCTTGCCACGAGCCGCACAGCCTAATGAATTGCAGAGACGGCTTACAGCCCAGGTCTGTCGGGTCTTTTCCCCATGAGGTCTCTCGTAATCGTGTTTCTCTGCAAAATGGCACTCCACATGCCTTTCTTATGGTTGCTGCAGCAAAATTTATGTGATAGTAATTGTGACACCGGATAGGTAGTAAGTACCTTGCCGGATACTTAGCCTATTCTCCGTGCTGGCGTTGGCAATGCATGTTTATTTTTGCAGTTCTTAAAATACAAGTGTTAAATACTGTTAAAGTGTTAAATACTGTTATATAAAATAAAACAAGCACTTAAAAAGCAAAAGGGGGGGGCCTCCCCGGTGGCGCAGCGGTTGAGCGCTGGGTTGCGAAGCTGCCCGCAGCCTCTGCGGCGACTGTTCGATCCCCGGCTGCTCCCCGGCCACCAGAGGAGGGTCCCACATGGCGCGCAGACCTCCCCTGCCGCCCGCTGCTCCCCTCAGCAGTGTACTTCGGTCCTTCTGCCTGCTCTGCTCCCCGCTCTGGCTCTGGTGAATTCTCTCACCCTCCAATGCTTCTGACTGTACCCAGTGCTTGAATAAATAAGTAAATAAAAATAAATCTTTAAAAAAAAAAGCAAAAGGGGACCCCATATATTGTTGATAAAATGCAAAATGGTACCGTCACTTTAAAAACAGGTAGTAAACATGTCCACATAAAGATCTATGTGTAAATATTTGTTAAAAACTGGGAAGAACCCAAATGTCCAATAATTGGTCACTGGGTGAACAAATGAAAGGTGGTATATTTGTGCAATGGAATACTACTTCGCAATAAAAATGATTCGTTTTGATACATGAAACAACTGATTTTCAAAAGCTTTAATGCTCAGTGAAAACACTAGATAGGAAAGACCACAAACTGTAGATTCCATGTACATTTCACTCTGAGAAAGGCAGAACTGCAAAGGTAAATATCAGATTGGAGGTGGCGAAGGACTGACTTCAAAGGGACACATGGGAACTTTCTGGAGTGATGGAAATATTATGTCTTAATTTTGGTGGTTATAGAACTGTAATAGAGTTTATCAAAACATGTAACTGTACACCTGAACTTAAAGGAGCCAGGTATTGTTATATGTAAACTATTTTTCAATACAACTTCACAATTTTTTAATAAAAATGAATAGTCTTGCCTCACTTAATGATGGGGATGTGTTCTGAGATGTGTCATTACTTGATTTTTCTCTGCATCATAGAGTGTAATTACACAAACTTAGATGGTATATCTTATTCCCTATCTAGGCTATACGGTATAGGCTATTGGGAGCACTGTAGTTTATTTAGTCTGTCATTGACCAAAAAGTTGTTAAGTAAAGCATAACTATAATGCTGATATTGGGGGGGGGGGAAATTACTGAGGTTCAGGGAAAAAAGAGATCTTTTAATAGCATCATACCTTTTGTAGCCTGTTGGATTTTATACATTTCCCTTCAGTGAATAGTAATTTCTCTTAGATTATTACAGATAAAAGTCCTGGCGCCTCTTACCACCCTTAATCAAAATTTATTTAAGTTATGTCATGTGAATAGGCTTAAAAGTGCAAGTGATATTTAAGCAAGGAACTCTTGGGTGACATAGGGCCTTCTATACTTGATATACCTATCAAAGTTTCTTAAGAGTAATTGTCAATAATTTTAGAAATTAAAATTTCTTGCCTCATTATAGCCACAAAACGAATATATCGAGTTACACCGTAAACGGTACGGATATCGTTTGGATTACCATGAGAAAAAAAGGAAGAAGGAAGGTCGAGAGGCTCATGAACGTTCAAAGAAGGCAAAAAAGATGATTGGCCTGAAAGCTAAGCTCTACCATAAACAGCGCCATGCTGAGAAAATACAAATGAAAAAGACGTAAGTGATGCTATTTACTTGTAATAAGTTAACATCTAATGAATGTTATTAAAATTGATAACCTTAAATCTTTTTCCTTCTTGTTAGTATCAAGATGCATGAAAAGAGAAACACCAAACAAAAGAATGATGAAAAGACACCACAAGGAGCAGTACCTGCATATCTGCTGGACAGAGAGGGACAGTCCCGAGCTAAAGTACTTTCCAATATGATTAAACAAAAACGAAAAGAGAAAGCGGTAAGCAATAATTGAAGTCAAAGTGTAGAAAATTACTTTTTTTTTTTTTTTTGTGGGACCCTCGCCAGTGGCCAGATATCGAACCGGCACTGCAGAGGCTGTGGGCAGCCTCACAACCCAGCGCTCAACCGCTGCGCCACCAGGGGAGGCCCCGAAAATTACTTTAAATTTAAATTTGATGTTCTTTGTTTCTTTAATTAGAAACTTGAAGTCCAACTGTTATTCCCATTATTTAGATGTTGAAGTCTTTATAAAATTCATTTGGAATAAAAAGGTTAAGTAGTAAAAAATTCAACTTATTGCCAAAATGTTTTAGTATTGAACAGATTCTAAAATTTTTTATTAGAATGCCACACACCTTAAAAAAAAAATTAAAAAAGCCAAAGTTAGTGAATAAGCAGTGAATCTCAAATTTAGTATTTTATTGACTTGCTATACTTGACAGCTCCTAATGCTGTGTTGTGAAGATAGATAGATACAATTGGTTCTGGATTTTGCTGTCCTGCAATGCCAAAATTAGTTTTAAAAGTAGAAATGGGAAGAACCCTAAATGATTTGACTTCAATAAAAAATTGGCAGATTTTTCCAAAACACCTCCATATTGCAGTGTCAAATTATGTTAAATTCTGCTAAAACAGAAAAAGGCATAGATCATATTTTTAAACACTTGGGGATAGATTTAAAGAAGTCTAGCAGAATGTCTAGTACATGTAGAGAACGTTCATTCTCCAAATTTGATTTTAAATATCTTTGTTTTGGGTTGTTTTCTTTTTCTCCTGCGGGAGGGGAAGAGTAGGGGCAGATATAAATATCCAAAATCATCATGGTAAAACTGTAGCACTGAAAGAAATTTTAAAGGTTATTTGCTTATCCACTCCTATTTTATAGATGAAGAGACTGAAGTCTGAGGTTGTAAATCACATACATGTGAAATGGCGGTGATGCTTCTACAACCTCTGTCTTAGTAATAAGTGTAGAATTCTTTCTACTCCTTTGCATTGCTTGTTTTTTTCACAGTTTGCTTTAGGAGTAACAACGTAATTTTGTCTTACTAATAATGTAATCTAAAAATCCACTCAAAGTATAAACACAAAAATAAGAGGTGGAGGAAAAAAGAGAGGTGGAAACAGTCTTCCAGTTCTACACTGTTAAATATTTAGTACTAAGCACATACTGTGCTTAGAGAGGTCACTGCCTTTTTACAGGTGGTATTTTTCACCAATGGCAAAGCATTAAGATTTTTAGCTTAAGCAAATGTTATGTATTATACCCATGGTATGTAAACTTAACTCGTTCCAGTTAATCTGTAACTTGTGAGGAGACAGCGCAGACCTCTGGAAACCAGTTAAACCAAAAACTTGTTGAATGGTTGAGGGAAAAATTGAATCTGCTACTTTATACAACCAAAACATATTTTAATTCTCATTGTCTTTTACTAACAAGTTTTAACTGTGGTCTCTTTAGGGGAAATGGGAGGTCCCGCTACCAAAAGTTCGTGCACAGGGAGAAACAGAAGTATTAAAAGTTATTCGAACAGGAAAGAGAAAGAAGAAAGCATGGAAGAGGATGGTCACAAAAGTCTGCTTTGTTGGAGATGGCTTTACAAGAAAACCACCCAAATATGAAAGATTCATTAGGCCAATGGTAAGTTCCTTGCAGCTGTGTGGTGGCTTAAACGTTACTTTCTAGGTTAAAGGATAAAAGTACATTACAATTTTCTGAAATTACTAAATTTGCTATAAAATCAGATTGAAAGATATTTTAAATTATTTTTGTTATTTTAAGCTATTGATGGTGCTTATTTAACACCTCTCAACTATTGTCAAGAATCTTGTTTTCAGACTCATAAGAGATTTGAGATGATAAAGAATTTTCCCAACATTGTCAATGAATTCTGACTTTTAACACATTTTAACACTTTTACACATTAGAATCTTCATTTTCCACACAATGCCATTTTACTCATTCAGCAAGTGATCTGCATGGCTGATACATGTCTGTGAGAACAGTTAGAAAATAAATAGTACTGTTTTTTTCAAGAGTTAATTCCAGCTTAATAAGGGAAATATCTTAGTGCTTTGGTAAACATTCAGTAGTATGCAGTCATCCAAAAGAGAATTTAATATGAAAGTGGGCCTTTAATTTCTACTAAAGCAATGATAATCAAAACCGGCCACCCAATATAATTGAAGATACTTTTTGAAAAGTCCCTTGAAAGAAACCAAATTACTCTTTCAACTGGACGTCCAGTCTGCATAGAAAAACAAAGAATCAAGAGAGGAAAGTTGACTGTTTTGCTCTAGTTCTCAACCTGAAATAGTTTAAAATGTTAACCAAAAAGTCTGTTTCTGCAAATAAAATTCTGTTGCAACACAGCCATACCCATTCATTAATGTATTGTGTAGTTTCTTTTCCTGCAGTTTAACTGGTTCCAACAGAGAATATATGACCTGCAAAACCAAAATGTTCACTATCTGATTATTTACAGAAATCATCACCTCTCTCCCCATCAGTGCCCACTGCATTACATTATTGACTCCCCTATTTTGATTTCATAACCTTATGAATACATTAAGGTAGCATTATACTTCTGCAGGGAGAGAATACACTAGTCAGCTGTTTGCTGTGAATTAGACTTTGAATGATGTGTTATTAGTGAAATTATTACTAAGAACTTGATATGTGGATGGTTTCACCCATAGGAGGGATATAGAGAAACCGAACAAAGGGTCAAAAAAAAAAAAAAACCCACAAAACTTGTGGGTAAACTATAGCTCGGAGGCATACAGCAGGGGAGGTGTAGGAAGAGGGCTTAAAACAGGAGGGAAGAGCACAGGGACTATGGTGATGTGGTGGTGGGATACTTATTGGAACTACACCTGAGGGGAGAAGTCAAATATTATACAAAAATGAACAACAATGTAAGAAAATAGTTTAATCAATTTTAAAAAAGGTGGTAGGAGAGGATGTTCATTCTGTCTCCATCAACTTTTCAAACAGTTAAATTGTAGAAGGATGATTAATAGATATAAATGTGCAGAGTGAACAATGTTAGTAAATTGCTGAACCTAGGGAAAGGATGTTGAGATGTTCCCCAACTTTTTCAAAGTTTGAGAGATCGGAGGAAGAAATAGATTGCAACAATGAAAATGACTTGTTACACTACTTTCTGGGTTACAGTGTCTCCACATGTATTGTTAATTTGATGAGTTCAAAAGTCTGTGAAGTCTAGTAGATAGATTTGTATTTACCCTTATTTTCTTCACTGCCTTAAACGAAACAAAACCTGGTATGTTTATCACTTGCCCCTCCCCACTATAGACAAAAATCAAAGAGACTACAAGCATCAGGGTGATTGGGTGACTCTGGTTTCTGTAACAGATCTGGCTGGGTTCTCTCCAATCTTTGACCTGTACTACAATCAATACTAAGAAAACTGATAACCCATGCCTTTTTTTTTTTTTATCATGGAAGGTAGCTGAAGAATCTAAAGACTTGGAATCAGGATACTTCATTGCTTGATTCCATCCACATGCCAGTTAATTTGGGAAAAGTTATTTAGACTGCTGGTCCTGCTTTTATTGTTAAAAATAGGAGCAGTTCTAAGTTTATCATGTTTAAATGGGCTATTTGTTAGCTCCACCATAGTGCATATTCTGCATTAAGTGTAGATGACTGGACAAAGGGAAATCTGAGTATGATGCTAGAGAGCTGGTCCATGGTAAAAACTGTAGGACAGGCTTGGGTTTCCCCCCAACACACACACACACATATTTATCCTAAACTTTCAAGTTTGTAGTCTGTAGAATTAATTGTATTTTATTTGCTACCTTAAGATTCGATATTCAATCCATGGCCTTTTTGGTTCAGTTTATTTTGGAGACAACTAGAAAACAGAAGCAAAAGAATCATTACTCATTATTAACATTTTGGACTCAAAACATTGTGTTTGACTTATTAGGGTTTACGTTTCAAAAAGGCCCATGTAACACATCCTGAACTGAAAGCCACTTTTTGCCTGCCAATACTTGGTGTAAAAAAGAATCCCTCATCTCCACTCTATACGACTTTGGGTGTTATCACCAAGGGTACTGTCATTGAAGTTAACGTGAGCGAATTGGGCCTTGTGACACAAGGAGGCAAGGTTATTTGGGGTAAGTAAATTTTTGAATACAAGGTTGCTGTTTTACAATCTTTTGAATAAAAATTCTTTTAGGTTGATGAAGTACAAGCAAATTAGATAATGTAGAATTAGAATAGATTGTAATGCAGAACTAGATTTAAGTTAAAACTTGATTTAATGTAAATGAGATTTAAATATTTAAGAAGAAAATTGTAGAAATAGTAGTAATGACTGTACTTAATTTTCGCTTTAGTGTTGATTTAATTTAGCTTTTTGGTTTCTGTTACCTAAGGTATACTACACAGCTAGGTTTTTGTTTTTCTGTAAAAAGATAATTATGATGGAAACAGATGCAGTTGTAACTTAAAAGAATTAGAATTAACCATGAGTAAGATGAGGCATATATCAAACACATATCACACTATTTCAGTAATAATTAAAACAAATATATCATGAAATTTTATACTGTTTTTCTTAGTTTTCTTTTTAGTGCTCAGGTATTTCTAAATTTTAATTTTCTTTGAAAAGAATATGGAGAGTGGAGCTGACCACCATTTGTAAAAATTCTATTTATACAAAAATTGTATTTAGAATTTAAGTTTGGTCTTGAGTTATTAAATTTCATAAGGGCTCATTTCTATCATTAATTTTCTTTCTTAAACACTTTAATATTTTAGACAAAGTTTATGTCCTTTAAATTTAATTTTTATTAGCTAATATCCCCTTTACCCCATTTTGTTTTGTTTTTAGGAAAATATGCCCAGGTTACCAACAATCCCGAAAATGATGGATGCATAAATGCAGTCTTGTTGGTTTGACAGCAGTTTCATACAAGTAACTCCATATAATTATTGAAGACTACACAGTAATCAGGAAAAACACCATGCTATGTTTCTGAATACTACCAGCCTTACTTACATGTCTGCCATCATTAAGACAACTATTACATTCTTTGCAAAAATAATTAAAATGGCCTAGTTTTACGAATTTTATTTTGGGGTCTGCTTAGCAAATGTAGATGTTTACAGAATTGAAATATTAAAAAAAAATTATAGAAATATCCTGCCTCATCAGTGTATTAATAAATGGGTACTCACAATGCAAATGCATCATCGCTGGAAAAGCCAATTGTTACTTTTTATAGCAGAGATTACTGATAAACTTAAATATGGGACCTAGGCTGCGAGATTTTGTCATGTCAAGACCTTACCTGAAAAATCTTCCTTAGATTATTATCATTCTAAAAAATGTAGCATTAACAATAATGGTTAAATTTATATTTACATTGAAAGTATATGATAGAAGGCACACCTTTTCACTTTCTGTGATTAATCATTAACTGCATACAATAAGTCAATGAATTTTAGTACTTTAAACATTTTTCTACCTCTTTCATCATGTATATAATACCTCCTTAGAACTATTTTCTATTTGAAACGTGATGAAAAAAAAAAAAAAAAAAAAAAACCCTCCAAAATGTTTGTATTTTTAGCATTTTCTAAACTTGGGGTAGTATATACTTTTTGAATGGTTGGTTTAAATAATTCCAGATAAAATCATTTTAAAAAGACTACACTGATAGATACCCTTAAAAAGAAATTTATTTACAGCTACTAAGATAATATTAAAAAGGTCATGTTTTAGGGTTATCGATTGAAGCACTTTCGTGATGCAAATTAATGTTTAAGGCTTTAAGCTACAGTGTATCTGAGTATTACATTAACCTATAAGCATTGTTTTAAGTTGTGTATTTCTTTACGGTCTGCTTTTAAATGCAACCAATATAATTAGTTGTGCCTTTAACAAAACCATTCCGCATCTAAACAAACTCAGTATCTAGAGACATTAGCATCAATAAAACAAGAGAAAAGAATTTCAAAACACAGACCAGGAAACAATCACAAAATAGAAGGTTTAATCACTGCTTTTAAGCTTTTAAAAAAAAAAAAAAAAAAAAAAAACTACCAGGAAAACAAACTTTAGTAAGACTGGCTGTTCTGAATAAGGTTAACATCTTTTTTAAGTTCTATAAACATCGAAGTTTAAGAACACAGAGACAATTAGGAAAAGAAAGCCTAGTTCCTTGGAAATGACAATCCAGTATGATAAAGCCACTTTTTAAGGATGACAGAAGTTGAACCTTACAATTAGATTTTAACAAATGATTCTGCCACTAACACATGAGGAATGTGTGAACGACTTAAGTTTTGGAAGGTTAAACAACAAAAAAATCGACTAAAGGTAAGCACTGAATACTACAAAACAGGTTTGCTTATTTTTTTAAATGAAAAATAAGCAAATTACTTGTACAAAGATCGCCTGATATCAAGTGTGCAAACAGAAGCATAACATTTGTAACTAATCACACTCATGAAAGACGGGGTAACACCTTAAGTTACCATATTGCTACTAGTGGACATACAAGGCAGAAGTTTCTAAAATACTATTACACTGATGAGTAATGTTAGTATAAATCATTTATTTACAGTAAGATCTGTTTCAGTTTGCTGGTGTGACCAAACCTTAGAAGGTAATCCCTAAGGGTAAAGCAGAAAGTGAGAGCAGATAGTTAAACACTAGGTAAAGATTCAACTTGATGCAATCATTAACCTTCAAGAGTTTTTTTTTCTAAAGTCACTGAAACCACTTTAGTGTTCATAATCAGCTGAAAGTAAACCATCAATCACTAATAATTATCTTTGTTGTGATAATTCTTTGCACAGAATGGAAACACCATGAGAATAGACTCGTTTTAGGTAGAAGAGTGACATTCTGTCATGCTATTTGATTTTATAAAAAAAATCATAATAGGCCCTATCTCACCTTAAAGTTGTAGAGAAGCTTTACAATAAATTCTTAAATATGCTTATTTCTGTGATGTCTAGCAATTGAATAATTTAAACTTGGAAGCTGAACTAAAATTTTCCTAATAACTGTCTGCTTTATATTACACAAGGAAATATATATATGTATTTACACAAACTGAAGTAAACTCCTTCTCCACAAACAAGACTTAAAACAGTTCACAAAGGACTATGGAATGTGACTGGACACTCAACGACTAGACGGGCTGGTTGAAATCAAATTTCAGTTCTCTGTAATTCTGAACGTTGTTCCAATGCCTCCACAAACTAAGTAAGTTTATTTAGATTTCCTTTTGCAGATAAGTTTTGTTATAAACTCTATACTCACTGTGTATAGAACTTAAGTTATTGAAAATGAATATTAGGTTCTTTGTGTGACTGAACTCAACCATTATAAATACCAAGATAACATTTTCTAGCAGAAAATAACAAGTTTTCCTGTGTGCTAAACAAAAGGTTTTGAAATTGCTTAAAATGCACTAAGAATAAGCCAAACAAGTTTAACAAGTTTATACTATTTGTCCCCAGTGATTATATATGAATAACATTTTTTGCTAACTTGGCAACTGTATTCATAGGTCAAGAATTTTCAGTTCAATTTTCTTAAACTGTACCCTTTTAAGGCATTTCAAAGAGAATAATGAATAACATAAAAATGTAAAAAGAGGGTTAGGTTTTTATATCTATTTTAAGAAATTAAAAGTAGAAAGGTTAAGTATTTACTAAATCTTTATTTCCCTAGTTATGGTCTTAAGTTTGTATAAAAGGGCATAAACTTTGATAAACATTCTAGTATTAGTCATGCCTATTCTTTCACTTAGCAATTGGTGAAAAACAAATGGTGAAAGTGCTTTAATTTTCATTTTAAGTGAAATAATCTGGTTTACCTCTAGCCAGTAATTAAAGAAAATTTAATGGATACAAGGTTTCAAATTTTTCTCCAAATAAGAGGGTTTGCTATTTTGCTTCCTTCAAGATTTTAATTCAACTAATTAGGTCTTCCTAAAATACCAGCATTCCCCCCAAAATTAAAGACATCACCTGCCTATAGACTGAATAAACTTTCAACATCAATTGTTATTAGACCCCAATGTCACAAAATCCTAACACTTTTTTTTCATGTGAGGATTAGGCTGTTTTAAAAACATTTTAAATGGTCTGAAAGCATTCTCCAACGTAGGTGCAAATCTGAGTACACCTAATACTTCAAAAGAGTAGAATTGTTGAGAGACTGGATTCTAAGACCATTTTGTTCATTAAAAATAAACTGCAAAAATTTAAAGTTGAGGTTTCTTCATTTTTATTTTTCCCAGGCAAAGGCTTGCAGTGGCAACACAATATATGCATACAGGCAAGCCTGCAAGCTTTTCCTCAGAACAAATGAAGAGTGAGCAAGACCACGGAGACAGAGAAGCCTCCAATCTTGTAAGGACAGGTCTTAGGGCAGCATTATTTCCGCTACCTAGGTTTAAGGTCATAGGACACGATTACAAACCTACCTCAAAATGGATGCCGGGGCTTTATTTACCCTGGCAGGCAGGCTGATCTTTTGACAGGTATTACTCCACGAGTTAGGCAAGTAGATGAAAACTAAGGAGAATTAGTCTTAAGGAGGAGTCTCATATCTCTGGAGTACAACACATTAACCGGGTGAGGACAAAAGTATTATTCCCAGTTTATTTCTCTGATCACAACAGGATAGTTCAAGTTAAAATGTATTGGTTGGAATATATACCTAATTAAAGGTGAAAGAATACCCTTTAAGCTTGTACCTGAATATATAGAAACAAAAATTAAGGCAAAGTAATACTTCAAATGAAATTTTAAATAATTATATTAGTACCTACATGACAAAGTTAAATCCCTAGAAGTACTATTAATATCAGATGTTAGAGAGAGAGAGAACTAGATACAGATTGTGTGTGTACTCCACAGTCTAAGGTAGAAACCGCATCTACAGCTAGAATTGAGGCCAAAATATCACCTTCTTTAAGCATTTGATCTTAAATTTCTTTATTTGTGCTCTCATTGAGTTAAAGTTATATTTATTCTGATTTATTGACATTTTTGTTTAGGCATGCCTAAGTTTTAAAAAATGGTGACTAGCTTGGTATTTAAAATAAAACTTCTAGAACCCTCACCAAGTTTACTATTAAAACCCTTTGTATAAAAGATTTCAGTGATCCTTACAAGTAATGGAAAGCCTACTACTTTCAAAGTTTTTACTATATATTTTTTTGAAGTATTAATGGTCAGATGTCCCCAACTACTAAAGAAAATATACTATGATCTGGTTTCCCAAAATTGAAACATGGCTAATAAAAAAAAGAAAACTATTTACACAAAATATCCCAAAAAATTAAAAAGAATGGTCACTATAGGCCCTAAGGGGAAGGGAAAACTGCATCATAAATAAGTTCAAATTGAAATTTTGGAAATTTTTGTCCTATGCCCCATGCTGTTTATTAATTGCCTTATTTTAAAAACAATTATGTTACAAAGAAGAGGATTTATCATCTATATTTCTTCTTCACTCATGTAAGCTTGGCTTTCTTCTTAGCAGGTCCTTTATGCCCTTTGGCCTTTCTTCTTAAATTCCGCCTGTCTACAACAGGCACTTCTACTTCTATTTCCTCTGAGCTGCTATCCACAGTTTTTTCTGTTGATTGTGGAAATTGATCCAGTTGCTCAGAAGATGCTTCAGACTGTTCCTCTGACTGGTTTTTCTGTCCTGAATTCTGTGAAAATGGCACATCTTCGAGTTCCACCTCTATCAAAGAACTCTGAGGAAGAGCAGAAGATGTTTCCTGGGGCTCAGTTACCCCCTCTTCACCCTGGTCTTCCAGTGAGGAAGTAGTATGGGGTGATAAGTTTTCAGAAATCGATTCTTCAGAAAATTCAGCTATCACAGAGCTTGGAAAACCACTATCAGATCGTTCTTCATTCGGGGTAGTAGCAGCATTGTCTGAACTCCCAAAATGAGCTTTCTTTCTTGAAACTAGTGTTGATTTCTCCTCAGCGTGCCCCTTTTCATCAGATGGGCCTTCCTCTAGCATTATTTCTGAGTCAGTTATATTTGAGGTCTGAAAATAAAACACCTAGTGAACAAATAAACTCCCACAGTTCTTAAGTCATTCTCTGATCCGAATATGAAAGGACACTGAACTGCAATTTAAAGGATCCAGTATTGATTATTTTTGTTAATCATATACATTGTCTGAATACAACTCAATTTCTTAAAAAAATTGTCTCATGTAATCTTGATACATTAGTTTTTGCTTTAAAGATAAAAGTATTTTGCCTCAAAAAGTACTTAAAATATTTTCAATTTCATATCAAGATTCTCCAAAACCATGAATCAATTCAAAGATTTTACTTCCTTGGTGTTACCTGAGCCAGAACCAGGAGTCCCTTGAGACTCGACACTGCCCCCCACGAAGTCTGACTATGGTTTCATTAGATAAAGGAAGGACATGTTTATTTATGTGGGACACTAATAAAATAATGTTATGTAATAGTTCAGCCTTAAATTTGAATATTCAAAAGCAAAAATTAAATTTCTTGAAAAATATTCCATAGTCCCTAAGTAAACAAGTCAAACGTATTGATTACAGATTGCAAGCAGTAGGCATTCGGATATTTGGTAAATATTAAAATACTGAATTTGATAAATATTGAATTGCCTTTATCCATTTTTCTATGCATTTCCCTAAATCTACAAAGCAAAACTCACTGTAACCATGTATCAGATAATGAGTAAGGTTTATGGAATGTTACTGATTACATTTTCTTAAAATGCAAACTATGAAAGTTCATTTTCCTGAAGAACAATACATGTTAAGGTGGACTATACTGTGTACTCTGTATCACCTTAATTCCAAAACAAATTAGGTTATTTTTCCCCTTACCTTATCCTGTGCAACAGCCTCAGAAGGCTTTGAAGATTCTACCACCAATGGAACAAGATTTGTAGAGTCTTCATTGGAATTGAAAGACTGCAATTTTAACTCTTCATCTAAAACTTCACTAGTGGAGTCTTCCTCTTCAGTTGTAAGTGAGGTCTTAAGAGTATCATCCATTATTTCACCATTCATAGGCTCTAATTCAGATTCCTACACCATGAGCGGGAGAGGGAGAAGTCAGATCAGATACAATTACAGACTCTTATTCACTATATAAAATTTGGGCCCATTCTCAGTTCCTCTTGTCATGCCCTAGGACTCAAGATAAATTCTACATTATAAAGGCATGGATAAAGGAAAAATCTTTTGGAGGAAAGAGGACACTTGTAAGGCAGGGTCAGTTAAACAATAAAGAATCCCGGGCCTCCCCTGGTGGTGCAGCGGTTGAGCACTGGGCTGCGAGGCTGCCTGCAGCCTCTGCACCGCCGGTTTCGTTCCCCAGCCGACGGCGGAGGGTCCCACAAAAAAAAAAGAATCCCTAAGTACCCCATGCTCCCACAATTCTTATGGAGAAAGAGGACAGAAACAGGATGCTCTGCAGACACAATGTGGGCCTCAGATTCCATCCTTTTCTTACTCTTTCTTCTTGTTGGGAGAAACCTTTTAAGCATAAAGGGAACAGAGTGTCTAGTTTTGGTGTCAGATCCTTACAGAACACCAGCTACTGTAAACCTGGAATCTGTAGGAGCCTGTGGAAAGTTAGTTTACTCTGCCTGGGGTAGGAAGCTCCACCAGTCTTGAAGGAAGTTGAGTTTGGATACAGTTCTTGCTAAGAGAACAGAGCCCTCAATCTCAGTTCACTGTCCATCTAACCCAGTCTCATTTTGAACAGTCCTGCACCTTAATCACATTAAATATGAAAAAGCAATCTAACAATTCCAATTTCTGAAACTCTTCTTCCAGTGTTGATCAACTTACGAGACTTCTACTTAATGTCTTATATTTCTAATAATTTGAAGGCATTTTATTACCATTTTAAAAATTAAGAGAATTGATGTAGTCATATAGATTTGACTAGATTATATATTCCTCTGAAGTCAAATAAGAAACTTTCCAGAGGTACACTGAAATCAGAGGAATGGAAAAATTAATGTAGTCACACAGTAAATAGAATAGGTTGCACACCAATGATAATTATAATAAGACTCATAAAAGGACTAGCCAGTACGGGAGAAATGTTAAAAGGAAGAAAATGAGAAAGTAGCATAAACTTCCCCAAAATAGAATTTTGGTAAGTAAAAGCAAGAAGCAACAGAATAGAAAAACTCAGTGCCTCAAGTTTTAAGTTTGAGAACACGTGGAGGAAAAGGCACAAGACAAGAGTCTTAACACAGGGTTAGTAAGTCTAAGGTTGCTGCTCAGCCCAGAGATAAAGCTGGGCTAGTCGATCAATACATTTTCAATAGACAACAGGAACTGAACGGAGCAGAATGTCAAGGTCTGAGTCTTCTGGAATGTCCACAGTAAAGGGGAAAAAGAAGAGAGGCATCAAAAAAAAACAAAAGAAAACTCCACAGGCAGGAAACACAAGAAACCAAAATACAGCAACATTTTAAAGCCAGGGTAGTAGATGATCTTGAGGATAACAGAGCAGTCAACGCAGACAAGAAAAGTCACTGGAACTAAATGGAAATGTCACAGATGACCTGTAAGAGTAGTTGCTCGATGTCAGATAGAGGAAACAGATTATATCAAGTACCAACAGTATTACCTCATGTTTTTTAAAAGATTGCAAAAATACATACAGTTGCATAAGCCTCTAGATGCAAATAAATGTCTTTTCAGAATGTGCTTTATTTTCCCAAATTTCTAAAAAGAAAAAGTGCCATTTAAAAATACAACTTTAGGGCCTCCCTGGTGGCGCAGCAGATTGAGCGCAGCGCCGTGAAGCTGTCCGCACCCTCTGCAGTGCAGGTTTGATTCCCGACCAGCCAGGCAGAAACCCACATGGTGCAGCAGACCTCTCCTGCCTTGCCCGCTGCTCCCCTCAGCAGTATCTTTGGTCCGTCTTCCTGTTCTGCTCCCTGCTCTGTCTCTGGTGAATTCTTATCCTCCCATGCCTCTGACTGTACCCCAGTTCTTGTATAAATAAATAAATCTTTCTTAAAAAAATAAATGAATAAAAATACAATTTTATAAAGTAGAAGCAGGAGCAAATTGGATTAAGTTAAAGAAATAAAATTGGTAATGTAGTTTCACTGTTTAGCTACTGGCTAGATGTGGCAAACAGGTAAAAGATTTATAAAGAAAGGAAGTAAGAAATCTGGAGAGGAAAAGATTGAAGATATTACATAAAAATAATGGGAAATGGACAGAGAGGAAGAAAAAGATAGGGACAAATACTTGAGCTGCAGAAATCCTATCAGATACAAAGGCTTTTTCTCTGTTTTCAACTGTTAAAAAAATAATTATTTCCAGGAATCTGTAAAATCAATTCTATTCCTATCCTTCTGATCAAAACAGGTGTAAGAAGGACCTGGTTTGATGTTAAGTCATACTAACTGGCTCTCTACGCAGACCTTTTAATCACATCATTGGTGTCACCTATTTAATACCACAAATTAGCTTATATTTTAAATGCGCTGAGGGACCTTACTACCTAAACATCCTCTATGTTTGCTGTAAGTGAAATTTTTATAAATTCAGTTTGAAACAGAAAATGATACTTGTAACTTTATTCTCTCCCCAATTTTAGTACCTGATCTTGCCCAATATATGCTCTTCAACAGTAAACACAATTTCTACTAATACTCCAAAATACTCATTCTATTTTTCTAACAATTATGATGAAAAAAGTTCAAGTATGGCCTACTTTCATACATTTTATTTAATAAGTGATCTCACACCTTTTCACCATCTTGCTTCTCCAAGCGTGCCTGGGCTTCAGGTGCTGGTCGGGCATCTCGGTCGCTGCTCTCATTATCAAATTCAATCACGCCCTGTTCATGTTCTTCCAGGAATTCTTCTGAGCTCTCTGATGTGCGTGCAGTAGACTCCAATCTAGAAAACAAAAGAAAACAATTCTATTTGCTATGTTAAGGATGAATATAAAATTTCACAAATCTATTAACAAAATAATACTTTAGTGAATCAACTAAGTATTCAGTCAACAACTTCAAATTTTACAATCCAAAACCTTTTTTCTCTTTCTACCTTGTTTTACAGTTTAGTTAATAATATCACCATCTTCTCAATCATGGGAACTAGACTCTTCTTTTACTCTATATCTAACTGGATCTTATTCTATTAGGATGAACATATATCCCAGTTTATCTGGAACAGTCCGGTTTACAGATTTGTTCCAGAATGACACATTATTATAATAATGCCCCTTTTATTCTCAAAAACATCAGCTGGACAGATTATATGATTTATTCTACCTCCAAAATGCTTTCAAACATCGCTAACTTCCTATTCCCATTTTCATGGTCCTCCTTCAGGCCCCATTTCTCTCTGGACCACTGTAATTTCCTCTCAATTTGTCTTCATACATGCAGAGCATTCTTTATTATGGCTTTTACAGCTGCTTTTAATACATATATCTGTACTTTAACAGTACAGATCAGAAACACCTGATCGTTCTCTATGACCTAGAGGATAAAATGTGCCTCTTTCAAAGTCTAACAAGATCACACCCTTATAATTTTCTCTCCTCCTAGCTGCTTCCATTTTTCTTATACATCAGTAATCAACACTCCTCCTAGCTTTACCTTTAGTAGAGCTGCATGGTATAATACATTAGCCACAAAACACATGTCATTATTTACACTTAATTTCTTTAAAATTAAATGAAATTAAAAAGTTCATTTGCACCAGCCATACACAGTTCAAGTGCTCCAGGGGCACACTGGGAATGGGCTGTCATACTGGGAAGCAGACAGAGAACATTCCCATAATCACGGAAAGCTTTTGTAGGTCATATAGTCTTAACTACTAATTACTAGTTAACTACTAACACTGTCTAACTACTTAACTTCACTATGAAACAAAAGCAACCAAAGTAAAGGTTAACCGTTTGCACTCCACTGTCCCCTCTCAGGGGACATTGGTAGCCAATGTCCAGAATGGTTCGGAGTGCAAAGGGTTAACTAATGTGTGTGGATGTTATAATAAACTTTTACTTATAACAGGTAATAGCTGGGTTAGACCTGCAGAGCACAGTTTGTGAACCCATAGACTAGAAAACCTCTCTCAACTCTGCTTGTTCAGTTTCTACTTATCTCTAAAGACTGGTCCAAATGCCAAATTGCTCCATCCCCTCAACTAGAACCAGCTGCACTTTCCCCTAAGTGTAACTGCAGCATTCTGTACTTCTATCATTGTACCATCACAACTCACCTTGCAGTGCTCTTAACCTGTGTCATAGGTACAGATAGGTGTATCTGAAACTACCGGACAGTCAATTTGCAGGCAAAGGTGATGTTTTACTCTTCAGAAGTATCTGAGTAAACTTTCAAACATTTAGCCTTTATTTATGAAAAGCAAGCAAAATTCCACAATAATTCTGGGATATTCATTTTAAAATATACTGTTACGTTCTTTTCTAAAAAGTATTATATCAAAACACTATTCAGTGAGAAAACCATAATTATCTGAACTCTTCACAAATTACTAAATTTAAATATTTACTTATATTTGCCTTTAACATGAATTGTTCACCCAAATAAATATTTATATATGTATTCAACTACCCCAATTTAAAATCAACTATACAATAAATTAGCATAGTTACAGAATTCTATACTGAGTAAAATAATTCCACAGCTAATAAGCTCTTTATAGGAACTGACTGAACTATTAATGTTATCACTATTCTTAAGTTAAATCCAATAACTCAGTAAAATGAATCAGCTATAAAGGAAAATTGAGGGCTTTTTAGGTTAACTAAACTTAAGCATTATGAAAAACTATAGCTACTGTTAAAGTTGGTGATAATGACTCAGTTCTGGATATTATACAACCACTAGAACATTCTTTTGGATTTTCACACATAAGAGATAAAACTCATGATTTTAGTTCTTCTCTTATTAGCAATATCTCCCTATTACACTGTCAAGGTAACACCAATGGTAAGTATAATCAATAAACTTAGAAGAATTCAAATACAAACTCTTATACGAGGTCATCTGCTACACAAACAATAGAGTAATAGCTTCCACATATTAAGTGCTAATGATATGACAATAAGAATAAACAAATGAGAGTAAAATAAGCAGTACTTTACTTGTTTATTGAAGCTGTAGGTGAAATCTGGGAAATCCTTTCATCTTCACCTTGAGAACTACTAAATTCAGAATCCTGAAACCGCTTTCCAATCTTTGGCCGCTTTAGGTGACTACTTCGGGTACGAGTGGAAACAGGTGTTTTATTGTGACCTGAGAAAAACAGCAAAATTGCAATTAGTTAATTATATATTCAAAGGTTGCCTACCAAAATACCCAGAAATGTAAAAACTCTGCTGATTTACATCTCTCCCCAGCATGGTACACTTCAATTCTCTCTCACACACCAGGCACAGAAACAATATCTCTTTCTAAATTATGAAATAACTGTCAATATTCATGTCTCACAATTTCTATGTCGCCTTGAGATCTATAAAGTGTTTTCTGCATTTCCACATATTCTCTCCCAATAATTTTAGGAACCTAAACTAGGGAGACATTACTGTCCCTATTTTACAGATTAAAAAATGAGGAAAAGAGAGGTACAATCGCTTACTCTATTCACACAGTAAAATCAGTGGCACTGGTGGCATTATAACTCAGATTTAGATTTTAGAGTTGGGTATGTCTTCACTTACTCTAAGGGACACAGACACACAATTCTAAGTGTTCTCACACTAACTGATAGATCAGATGTATTTCTTACCTTCAGAAGTGCTTGCAAAGGCATCTTTTAGAGAATCAATCTAAAATAAATATATAGATTAAAACCCAAAATTCTAGGTAATTTTTTCTTGCTTCATTCATAGCATCAAAGAAAATCTTTTAAAATGTATTTCAAATAACACTATTTGAATAGTATTCACTATTCATTTAAAAAAAAAAAAAAAACAACTTAAGCAATGGAAAGCCTCGGTTTTCTACGAACCTAAAAACTTAAGCCATCTAGTAATTTAGTGTGGCACACACTGGAGCTTTCTAGTGTGTCCTCAGCTACTCAGTCTTCTAGTCACATGCTCCCTTCCCCTGTGCAACTTTATCTACTAATTTACCTCAACAGAAGATACAAGTTCTCTAATTTCCTTTGTGATTTCCAAAGAAATATGTCCCCAGTGGATGTCCCATCCAATTTCACATCCAACCAGCCCATAACTAAACTTGTCTGTCTTTTTTCAACGTTATTCCCTAACTTGGTTAATGGTACTAACTAGGTTAGGCATTCTAATCAGAGACCTGTGAGGCATTAATGATTTCTTTCTCTCCCTTATGCAATCAACCACAAAGTCAACTTTAACTCAAAGAATTTCTCAAACCACCCCCACTCCGTGTATTACTAATGTTTTATCAGTTTAACCCTAACTATTCAATCCCCTCCTCACCAGTATACCTCACTCTGACACATGCTCTGCAGTCCCATCCATCCTGATAACAGATGCTTCCAAGTCACTGCTACTCCTTTGCTTTAAATAGTTTAATATGAAATATTTTCCTTGGACTAATTAAAATATTAACTAATATAAAGAATGTTGTTTCTAAAGTGAAAGAAAATCTTATTTATGCTGCCAACCTTTTATGTTGCCACTAAAATGACACATTTAAAATTACCTGGTTTAATATTAAAGTGGATCACTGCTCTTACTACCTGTATGAGAAGAGTAGATTTTTCTTTTTCCCCAATTTTCTGATATCTGACTAACACTAAATGGATTCTAGTGTATCTGAGGAATCTGGACTGTAACGTAATAGAACCAGGGCTTATTCTGAAGTTTGAAATTCCAAATATTGAAAAAGTTTATAAATGTAGCCCCTTTTATGTAGTTATTAGTTATTACATTATTTATTATTATCCTTAAAAAGTCTCAAGACTTTTCACTTAATCAGCACTCATGCTAATTAAGACAGGAAATAAGAATCACAAATAATTCCCCAAATCACTTGTGTCTGAAATGCATGTGCATTTACGAGATATATTCAGTACCCAGTAAAAATACAGTCAGATACCCAAGTACAAAGCAAACATAACTGTAATAAATACTATCACAAAAAGTTGTACATAAAAGCAGACTTTTAGAATCCCATGTACCCATATATTAAGTAATATCAAGTAAATTCTAGGAAAGAACCTCTAGAGTTCAATTACGAGAACTTTCTACTTTCAGGTTACTTAGTATTTGCAAAGTACATTATATTCTACAAGGACCAAACATATATAGCCTCAAGGTTTCCACAACAGCTTCATAACTTTAATTTCCTAATCCCACTTCTAGAAATATATTTGTGCAATGAAATAAGTACATAGGCACAAAGATTCATGTATTAACGTGTTCACTTCTGGACCATTTATAAATGAACAGATTTAAACATGTGAAGCAAATAAATGATATTTATATAACAATAGAATAAATAGTATGCTTCTATTTAACAACCCCATTTTAACACCATAACACCATAGGAAATGCTTACAATATTGCAATAATGGAGAAAAGCAGGAAACAGCACAAAACAATAAAAGCAGAAAAAATCATGTGCACAGATTCATGTTTTATAATATACATTAAGTCCATGTACACACATATTAATGCTGCTCTATCTGGGGAAGTGAGATTACAGACTTTTTTCCTACTGTATTATTTTTATGTGTATTCCAAAATGACCTTTAAATTAACTCACCATACTATTACCATTAAATTATTTTTCAAAGAAAATTAAGTCCTTAGAAACCAATTAACAGAAGATGCCAAGAACACTAACATAATAGAATTTATGCGAGTTTGGTGAATAAATTAAGTATCAGCTGAACTTATTTTTAAAAGACTGAAAAAAGTATACCTACAGTTAACTGCATCTCACTGGACTGATTGTCTTCAGTTTCTGCTTCATATTCTGGAACAGGCAAAAGACCATAATCTCCAGACATAGGTCTTTTAGCTTCATTTTGAGAGGTTGCTGTGTATAAAAGAATTTTTAAAATTATAACCCTATTGTTTCACTTGTTGCTTGTACTGATTTTCTGTTCTTTCATTTGAAATTATACTGTTTTATTTCTTTCTTTTTTTTTATTTTTGTGGGACGCTCGCCAGTAGCCAGGGAACGAACGGGCGCTGCAGAGGCTGCGGGCAGCCTCGCAGCCCAGCACTCAACCACTGCGCCACCAGGGGAGGCCCTGTTTTATTTCTTAATAAAATATATCAAGTAATTTGAACAGTGCTTGCTTTCTCTCATCAAATTAATCGACAATATGGAGTGAGCATTTTTCTCCGACTTGGCAAAAGGAGTATAACTACTCTTTACAAAGTTTGAACCAGCTTTCAAAATTTATTCTTGCACTTTCAGTGTCATGAAATATCTCCGAGAGTTCCTTTAATGTGAAGTTTTTCATGGGTATCATTTCCTTTAAAACCTGGTCATCCTTCACAGCCCAATGGTTCTTCTCATGTGTAATTACATGCTTGTTTCCATTAAGTTCCCATGATTGCAAAATACAGAACTGCTCCTTGAATGGCAGCAGTGCCAATATTTCCATGATCATCAATATCTCCTATAATTCAGTATCTTCTATAACTTCCATCCAAATCCTGCAATGTTTGTACTGAGTTTTAATGAGAGCTCTGAAGAGACTGGACAGAAGTGTCTTGGAAATCTAGGTGTGGAAGTATCTTATAGTGAAACCCTGCAATTATATTGGGTCTTAAATAGTTATCTATAGCTAGTGACTTTGGAGGGGGAAGCATGAGTTTGGGGACTACCTTTGATGCCCTGATGCCTATTCTGTACTGTTTCAGTTCAGTAATCTTAGTTTATCTCTCACCCTCTAAATCCTACTGGACTTTTACGTCCTGCTGGGCTAGTCCAGGTTCCTTTACCAGTGACTCAAAAGTTGATATATAACTAAAATTTCAACTCTAGAAAAGAGTTATTAGAGAGATCCCATTACAAAATACCACGACTCTGAACCACAGAATACAACCATCCTCAGGTACTACATTTTAAGGTGGACTTGTGTTAAAATTGAACACATTCTCACCTGCAATTTTAAGTGTTTCTCTCTGTAATGCTCTGGTGACCGGAATTCGCTGGTACCAGTGGCCAACACTTTCAACTTCCCAAAGGAGTTCATGGTCTCCTGGGTATTTTTCAAAGTATTGCTTGCAAGCTGAAAAACATATGTAGAATTTTCTAGAAATCTCAAATATCCATTATTTTTGAAAACAAGGAGAGTTAGGCGCCCCACTCACTTTATAGGGCTAACATAACCTTGACTCCAAAAACACAACAGCAACTCAAGAAAATTATATGGCAGTTTCATTTACTAATAAAAATGCTAAATGAGAGCCCCAATTAAGTTCTGCCATGACCAAGCAATAAAAACCTTAATAAAAGATGTGCTTTACCTTTAAAGAGAAAATTGCTAAATGTTACTGACTGGCAAAAGAGAACTGAATAAAAGGACTGTTAGACTTAATCAGAGTAAAAACACCAATTCTCACCGAAATATTTTATAAGTTCCATATAGTATCAAACAAAATCCCAACAAAACTTATTTGTTAATGAACAATATTAACAACTTGTTAATAATTAATAATTAATTAATTAATCCCAACTTCAAAATTAAAAAACAAAGGGTTCAAAAAATATTTAGACAATATTGGAGAACAAAAGGTGGGGACTGTCCTAGCAGATATCAGACCTAAAACTAATATAGTATTCTATGTCAAGTATACTTTAGTTAACTAAAAAGAATATAGGGGGATAAAGAATTATCACAAAGCCACAGAATTAAAGCAACCTGGTGTTAATATAAGAAAATGTAAATAGAAAAAAGAAAAATACCAGAAAGAAAATTTCAGGGAGACTCACACATACACTAAGAATTTGACAAATAACAGAGGCAACATCTCAGAAGAGAAGGATTAAACTATTGAAACAATGATGCTAGAATAAAATCCACAGAGGAAAAAAAGGTAGATCTTGACCCTCACATCAAAGTCATTCACAAAAATAACAGCTAAACAGTAAAACTGACCCACAAGTTCAGCAACTGATGGATAAACAAAATGTAGCATATATTGCATGCAATAGGATATTATTCAGCCATAAAAAAGAATGAAGCAATGTTTCATGCTACAACATGGATGAACTTTGAAAATATGACAATATTTATGTAAAATCAAAGAAGTCATACACAAAAGGTTTATTATATAAATATACTATGTAATTCTAAATATATATGAAATGTTCAGGAATAGGCAAAGCCATAGAGATGGAGATAAAAACAGATTGGTGGTTGAGAGATGGAGAAACAGGAAAAAGAGAGTGACTGCCATCTGGTTCAGGGTTTCTTGCTGGGGTTATAAGATTTCTGGTTGATTTCACAACTGTGAATATATTTAGAATTGTACACTTTGAAAGGGTGGATTTTATGGTACATAAATTACATCTCCATGTTTTTTTAAAAGCTACCAGACCTGCAAAAAGTACTATACTTGAGGTAAGGACACATTTGTGAAGTTAGATCCCAGGAACCAAAATACACAAATTTATTTCCTATCAATATATGCACATTTACAATATTCTATAAAAACTATTCAAAAATAATGAAACAAGTTTAACATTTTTTAACTTAATACATTTACCTGTGTACATGAGAGACGACAATGGATAACGCAAGCCCAGTGCATCTTCTGTAAAGGAATCAACAAAGTCCTCTAGCATATGAAGCCCAAGATCTTTGCCTCGGTATTTTTTTCTTACAAACATTGTATCAAGAACTGGCAGTTGGTAGCTTTGGGTAAGAAATGAGGCACATATGCTTCCTGCAGTCAGAAGAATAGAAACCCAACTATTTTTCACATCTCCATATATGTACATACATTTAGTGAACATGAGTTAACAGACTTTCGAAAAATGTTGTTCCCCCTACATCAAGAATGTTAAAGAAATGTATAAATTTTATAATATAAAATACTTTTAAATGCTTTGCAGTTGTGACACATAATGCATACTTGCTATCACAAAAAGCTATGTATTTTATGTTTCCCAAGAGAATCACCCAATACATTTTGAGCTATATACTTGAGTATATACATCACTGTTTGAGAACTTGCACAACTATAAAAACTCAACTATTAAAATTTCAAATTAAGAGAGTTTTGGTGACTATATATAGTTTAAGTATCTAATTCAAACTTCAACACTTGAACATTCCTCTTTTCCCTTTATTTTTTCCCTACTAAGTATAGTCTCATTTTATCTGCTTAATGATGGCAAAGAAATGAATTAGTTCTCCAAATTTTTAAGGACCATAAATTTAGATTAAAAAGAGCCATCTTAGGGCCTCCCCGGTGGCACAGCGGTTGAGCGCTGGGTTACGAAGCTGCCCGCAGCCTCTGCGGCGCCGGTTCGATCCCTGGCTGCTCCCCGGCCACCGGATGAGGGTCCTATGTGGCGCGCAGACCCCTCCTGCCGCCCGCTGCTCCCCTCTGCAGTGTACTTCGGTCCTTCTCCCTGCTCTGCTCCCTGCTCTGGCTCTGGTGAATTCTCTCACCCTCCCGCGCTTTTGACTGTACTCAGTGCGTGTATAAACAAACAAACAAATAAATTTTAAAAAAAAATGCCTCTAAAAAAAAAAAAAAAGAACCATCTTAGAAATGGTCATTAGCAAGACTTTTGCTACTAATATACTTTAAAATTTATCTTGTGTGTTTAAGGTGAAACAGGAGAAACAGTTTGAAGTAGGTAGCTGTCTCTCTTCTTGTTTCCTAGTTGTACTGACTTGCTTTTTAAGAAGCCTGATTTGGATTCCAGTTCTCTAAATAGGTATGTTAGCTTCCTTATATTTCCTAATATGGTTTATATGGTAGGGCATCAAAATGGGACATCCCACTTTCCATTAATTTTATTATGAATTCATCGTTGTCAGTCAATATTCTACCCGTCTCAATAATGGATTAATCTCAGACTAGTCATATGATTCTGGATAAATCTAATATGTAGTTCAAGGAAGAAACAGAATTTCTGATAACAAATATCTTACAAATTGACTCTTACCTATCATTTTATGAGCTGAGTAATTAAATAAAAATTTTAGTTCAACCATATAATTTGAGTTATTATTGAATTGGAGAATGTCAGTAACTCTTTGCAGTAGTCTCCCAGATTAACTTAAATTTAGAACAGGTAATGCACATTGCCATATATAGTAAGTCCTCAATTAATATTGTCCTCTATAGATTCTTGAAAGCTGTGACTGTAATGAATGAGTAAGAAAACTAGGCCATCAAGTAACACTGTTTCAACATTACAGGAAAGGATGTTGAACAAAACTATTATTCCAGGACCTGTTATACTTAGCTCTTAGTTGTTGATGCTCAGGACATTTCAAAGAGTACAAATTTCTGATGACTATAATTAACAATACTGTATATTTAAAATTTTCTAAAAAGGCTGATCTTATCACTACAAAAAAAGGGCAATTGTTAGCTTGACTGTAGTATTTCACAAAGTATATCAAATTATCAAATTAGTAATCCTTAAATACATACAACTTTTTTTTTTTTAAGATTTTTTTTATTTATTTATACAAGCACTGGGTACACATAAAGGGCAGCAAAACTTCCCATGTTACTAGAGATTCTTAAGATACAAGTTGCAGACAATAGCACAGTAACATAGTAAAGCAAAAATTACAACCTACTACCTAAAGTGAAGTTTTCGTTAAATTTATTAATTGTAATTTAGTTTTACACATAGTAAGCCAAATATTTCGATTCCTCAAAGTTCCACTTTTGGTATCTGTTCTTTATATACTCTCTCTGGGTAATCTCACCTACCCCAAGGTTTCTACCATTTGCCCAAATGTTATCAATCACTGGTCTTCAACACGTAATGCATGACTTACTCCAAGATCAAGAAAGAAACAGTTCATATAAATGTAAATAAAATGAAAACCACATGATCATCTCTATAGAAGAAAAAGCATTTGACAAAAATCCAACATCTTTAACCTACTAATGGGATCTCTGAAAAACACAAAGCTAAAAACATACTTAATGGTGAATGGCTGAGTGTTTCCCCCCAACATTAGAAGCAAGACAAGGATGTTCCTTCTCACCACTTCTATTCTAGCCAACATAGTACTAGAGATTCTAGCCAGGGCAACTAGGCAAGAAAAAGAAATACAGGGCGCCTGGATTGGAAAGAAGTAAAACTACCCCTATTCACAGATGACATGTCTAATGTACAGGAAATATTAAGGAATCCACTAAAAAATTATTAAAACTGGGCCACCCCTCGTGGCACGGGCAATTGAGTGCCACACTGTGAGGCTGTCCGCAGCCTCTGCAGTGCCAGTTGGATCCCAGCCAGCCAGCGAGGGTCCCACATGTTGCGGCAGACCTCTGCTGTCCGCGCCTGCTGCTCCCCTCAGCAGTGTTTCATCAGTCTGCTGTTCTGTTCCCCCTCTGTCTCTGGTGAATCCTCTCACCCGCCCCCGAGTCAGCCCTGTACCCCGGTTCTTGTATAAATAAATAAATCTTTTTAAAAAATTATTAAAACTGATAAAGTTCAGCTAAGTTGCAGAATACAAGATCAATATACAAAAATCAATTATATTTCTATACAAGAGCAGAAATAAAAATTCTGAAAATGAAATTAAGAAAACAATCCCATTTATCACAGCATCAACAAAAGATATTCTTAGAAATTTAATCAAATTTAAGGCAAAATTTATATATTAAAAACTATAAATGTTGAAAGAAATTGCAAGAAACCTAAAAATTGACATTTAAAATCCTCCACAGTGGAACATCACCACTCCCCACTCCACAATTGCTAACCTACCTCCCACCAGGTTATTCAGCTTGAACTTTGATGACTCTGTGCCACCTTTCATGTATTTATATTCTATTCATGTTTACAAGGAAAGTTCTTCCCCTTCTCCCTTCACTGCCTGGTGGCATCCTATTACCCTTCAAAGTCACTTTTAAAATATACTTTCTCAGTGATACCTTCATCCAGGCAAAATTAACTACTTACTCCTTGATGACCATTATTGTTGATATTTCAAATATATTAATTATCACTATAAAACTAAGTTACAATTAGTTATTTACTAGCTCTGGTTGTCTGTCTCATCCACTAGATTTTTGGTGCTATGAAAACTGAACCCATGATCAGTCATCATTGGGTCTATAGGAAAAATGGAGTCTGTATGACTTCCCTAGCAAACAGAACCTTTATTGGAAAGTGTGCTCTCCTTTAGATAGCTAGACCTTCACCTGAAAACAAACCATCTCATTTCCCAGTGACATATTTCAGGCAGCTATAGAGTAGCCATGGAACTTCTCCACATTTTTGCTCATTTCCTTAAAGAAATGGATTATACTGAGACAAACTCGAGGCCCAAAAATATAACCTCACCTCAATCATTCCCCAACACAAACAGCTGCTATATCCTCCCTTTAGCTATACTGTTAATCCACATTTTTTTTTAAGATTTATTTATTTATTTATACAAGCACTGGGTACAGTCAGAAGCGCAGGAGGGTGAGAGAATTCACCAGAGCCAAAGCAGGGAGCAGAGCAGGCAGAAGGTCCAAAGCACACTGCTGAGGGGAGCAGCGGGTGGCAGGAGGGGTCTGCGCGCCATGTGGGACCCTCTTCCGGTGGTGGCCGGGGAGCAGCCGGGGATCGAACCGGCGCTGCAGAGGCTGCGGGCAGCTTCGCAACCCAGCGCTCAACTGCTGCGCCACCGGGGAGGCCCTGTTAATCCACATTTTTATCAGTTTATCATTCCTTAAAGTAATCTTAAAACAGAAATTTGAATTTGAATTTCTGTGTATAGGAAGTCAATTATCACTCCAAAAAGGAAGATCAAAGAGACAGCTCTCAGCTGATTACCCAATGAAGAAAGGAAATAATGCTTCCATTATATATTCTTTCAAATGGAGATTACAAAAGACAAAAATATGTCCACCAGTATTGAGCATAATCCCTTCAGTGGTGTCATCTGATTTATAGCAGTTGTTGATTAGACTTTGCTTCCCTTATTTGGCTCCTGATTGTCCTTCCCCTTTTCCAAAGCATGGGTCTTCAACTTGGATCATGGTGGCTCACAATTGAAGGCCAATAATGATGAACAGTTCCAAAACAGCAGCTAATGACAGTGTCCTTGATTTTGCTGTATCTTTCAGTACGTCTACACTACAATGTGATATCTGATTTATACAAACATACATCTTTCTTATTTCTTGACATAAGGCAAATAGTTACAAAACTTCCACTGAATAAATGATTGGATTTCTTTTTTTAATTTTCTGTAACTATGAGCCTTTCCCCCTGGTAGTCTTCTATGTAGCATAGTCCTTTAACAAATAACCTAAGCAGTAAACTCCTGTAAGGATTCATAAAGTACAAGTTTTGTGGTAGATATTGATTAGACTCCGGGAATAGTTCCACTTTTTTAAATGTTTGCTTTTTGTTTTGAATTAAAGTTTTACATGTACTTAGAGCAGAAGAATTCCATTAAATGTGCTGGGGCAAAAAGGCAGGATCCACACACACCAGCACACATACTTCCCAGAACAAACCACTATGAACTTGTGTAAGCAACCTTTCTCATACTTATTGCCAATCTAAGTAACTTAACTTACTACTTCTTGATTTTTTCTACTGTATGCATAATCAACTGAGCTCCCGGTATTGAAGATGAGAATTTACTTCTTATATACATTCACACATCCCAATTCCAATTTTACTATAAACATACTTACTGTGCATGCCTCATCCCATTACCCCCATATAGTAATTTGTAATTTTGATTAGATCTATTTTCAGTATTTATAGCATGTATGTGCATTTATTTTATGCACACACACAAACACACACATATTGTTAACAACTGAGCCATACAGAATATCATGATTGTTTTTCTTTACCTGTACTTTTTTTATTTACCTTAAAGATTTATCACTAATTTATTTCTAACTTATCCCAAGCCTACACAACCGTGCAAATCGTTTGATAAGTTCAAACACAACAGGTATTCTTGAACCAATGTCCAAGAACTTTCTCATCTGCTTCAATCTAGATCAATCCCAGAAAAGTATTGTCCAAAAAGAACTTTCTACAATAACTGATATTCTATATTGTTTAATATTGTAGTCACTAGCCCTATGGCTACTGAAAACTTACACAAAGCATGGCTAGTGATTGAGAAACTGAGTTTTAAATTTAATTAATTTTCACTTAAATAGTCACATAAAGCCAGATGTTACCAAGCTCAACAGAGCAACTTCTGAACTAGATTTTGGGATCTTGTTAGTTTCCTGATCAGATATCTTTCTTTCTTGTTTTTATTCCCCCCCCCCCACCCATATTGTAGTAGAACATAACTCTACTAGCTTCATGGAAAAGGATATGTGAGAGGTATATCTTTTGGAAACTGAACATGTAGAAATTTCCTTCTTTTACTCTAGTCATTGATAATTTGGGCTTAGAATTAAATTGAAAGTCAATCCCCTCAATTTCTTAAAGATATTGTTCTACTTCCAAAGGTAACTGCTGATGCTGAGATACCTAACTATTTTGATTCTTGATTCTTTTTATGATTCCTCCTCTCACTCTCTGGAGGCTGACAAAGCCTCTTCTCTTTCCCATATTGTTCTGAAATTTCACAATAATATATTTCAGCATGGGTCTACTTAAATTTATTGTGATGGATGCTTGTTGTATTGTAGTTTTAATCAGTAATGCACATTTGGTTTGAAACCATGAATGAATATTAGAATAAGACAAGGTTCAGCATTAATTCTACTCCAATTTTTTATTTTTACAGGTAGAAGCACTTAATCATGGAAAGGACAAAAAAAATAAAAATCTTGACAGTGAAGTCACTTAATTCTGTGAGCTCCCTTAGAGTTACCTGCCAGATATCACACAATGAACACACAATGAACTTTTTAAAACACTATTTTAATACCCTGGCATATACCTAACACACAAAGAGTCCCTCATAGTGATCTCTTTATTTTAGGAAAAACAAAACTTACATAGTTTCTAGAATTTTATTGTACTTCAATAGCATTTAACTTCATATATCAAAGACATATTTTCATGTTCAAATATACTGATTCACTAATTAAACATCACACACGATAAATAATTTCATAATGCTTTTTGTTAATAAATATTTCTGTTTCCTAGATAGTGGTACAGTTTTTCTCCCTGAATGTATATTAGGGACAGGTCTATTTGAAAGGTTTTAATATTTGTTTTCAATACCTTTCCAAAATATTGTATGTTTAGATTTTATTTGTAGAAAAAAATACGTCCAGACTGAATTAAAAGGTCAGTGATTCAAAGGCAAGTAAAGCACACCGAATTCTGTTCCTGGTAGATGAAAACCAGGGCTTAAAGCATGGAGTAAATAAACAGTAGGCATGTAAGGCAGTTAAAGAAGTATGGAAAAATGCTAAAAGTGGTAGATGAATAACCTTTGGAAGCCCAAGGATATAAAACTACAACTGCTGGAACAAGCCAAAACAGAGGCTAGGTCCCAGAGGAGAGGAGGAGCATCCAGTGCACATGGAAAGGAACAGGAGCACAGTCCTCAAATAAAATATTGATGAAATACTAAAGGGGTAATGCTATTCCCTCTAACTGTGTGTCTTTCATCCAAAGCAAGCTCTAACTAAACAAGTATATATTAATATGAGCTCCAAATGTCTGTGAGCTGGTTTCAGGTAGGAAACTCCCCTTGAGACAGTATGGGAAGCAAAAAGTCTGTGATTCCCAGGAATTCTTGCATAAAATAAAGCATAAAGCAATTAAATCACACCCCAGCCCCTAATTTATTAAAAAACGAGAAAGTGCTGCCTTATATACAATGCAACACTAAGCTTCCATTTAATAAACATTATTTTTCTGCCCCATATAACAGTGTCTTTCTGGAGTAATATAATTTACTGGTTCTATTTCAAATTTACACAAGAATAAAATGCATATTAAAGGAAAACTAAAGTATTTACTAACCAGCAAAAACAATTTAAACTATAGATCACTGTGTTTTATTCTTAAAAAAAGACTTTTTTTTACTATATGTATTCTCATCAAAAAATGTGTACTAATTATGTGAATAAGGTATATGCCACTAGTGATCTTTAAATCAGCAATGAAGCTGGTATGATCTTAAGACTGGATCTGACCAGAGGAGCTAAGTTTGGACAGTAGTGGTATTTTCTGTGAAAGGTTTTTGGTAAACGTACACAACAAGGCCTATTTTGTGATTTGATAAATGTAAGGTGTGGGATATATGTGCACACAGAGTAAGTAGGTTAGATCTTACTGGTCATTCAATAACTCTAGGGAGCTGAATGAACAAGAAAAGAGGTAAAGCAAGATGAAACTGCACTAGTACTTTAGGGATAGGGTATAGTTGGGTCTTAGGATTGGGAATCCAAACTTTAGAAGATTTACAATTTAAAGAGGTTTGGATTCTCTAAATAGTTTTTCATAATAACTAGTACATTTACCTTAAATATGTTAGGCTGAATCAACTGCATTTAAGAGAAAAAAGACTATGCATTTGGTCCATAGGTACACAGTGGTTTTAAAAGGAACCAGCAATAGTGATAATAGCAGGAATCAAAACAAACCACCACCTTCAAATAATGAGGAGGAAGTGGGATGACTCTTTCTCCACAAATGTTAAGAAATCTTCCTAACAATCTTCACTTACAGAGAAAGGCAGAATCAAAGTATTCCCAAAATACTCAGTAGAATCACCTCAGTTGCACTCTAGAGATTAATTTAAAAGGGATATTGATACAGTTGGGGTCTAAAAAGAAGGTTTTGATAAAATATAGTTTAAATAACTTTTAAAGACTCACCTGTAGGCTTAACAGAATAAAACCCAATGGCCTCTCCTTTCTTCCACAGTATCTTAGCATAATCAGTACTGCTATGACACAGGAATGGGATCTCATTTCTCTCCATTTCCTGTTTTCTATAAATAATTCGATTGAGAACATACAGAACCACTCTTTCCCCAAGAGTTCTCACCTACAAAAAGAGTCAAACACCAAGCACAACAGTTATAACATGCATCAATTCAGAGATGCTATTTACCGTGCTCCCTGATTTAACCATTCATAGCACTGTGAATACAGTCAAAACAATTTGTAAAACATGTGATCATCACAGAGATGAGACTAGACATTCATACCAATAACAACCCATTTCTATAGAAATATTACGCATATTTTCCTCTCAGCAAAATTCTTTAATACTCCTCTTTAATACTCAGTGTTTTCTTTCAGCATCCAGCTTCCCAGATCCTAAATCACCCACTGTAATTGTTGTCCCTATCATCTCTACTACTCCAACTGTTTCTTACCCATTCCAGTCTCTACATAAAAAAAGAAGAAAATGACAAAGAAGAAGAAAAAGAAGAAGAGGGGAGGGGGGAAGCGTGTGCTGTGCCCTGAAGACTTTAAGAACAGTTACTTCATTTGATGACTAAAGCCATAATTACGCTCTTGGGAAAGAAATCAGTCTCATCTTTTCCAAGTAAACTGTTTACTTAATAGCCACGTCTTTGTTGTTCAACCCCCTCATCTGCCAGACCAGATAAGAGATGACAGGGACACAAGAAAGTCCAGCGAAAACACAGTTGGGACAATCACAGAATGGAAGCCAAGCCACACTTCCTACATACAAGGCTTCCTACATGCACTTCCTACATGGTCACGGGAGCCCCCTCACCAATTCTCTGTCATCAAACAATTACGGTTTTCTCCACAGACATCTTTCATTGCTTTTTTTTTTTTTTTTTAAAGAGGTTTGCCCATAAAGTCTATTCCCCAACGCCTCCTTAAAGAAAACAATTTGCCCTCTAATAGGTGAATGGAGAGAAAATGCATTAACCATTCACACACTACTCTCAAAAACATCCCTGATAGGGGATCTCCAATAACAAACAATACATGAAAAGACAAAGATCACTACCTTATGAGACAACCCATTCTGAACAGCATGATATTCTCCCTGAGTTGAAATCTATTTCTCAAAGACTATACTTTGACATTCTGGAACTGCACAGCCTACAAATATTTTAAGACACCCAGGATGTTCCCCTAAATTTTATACCAAAGCTAAACACAAGAACAACTGAAGGAAAAGACTAATCTAACTGAGTTTGGGGAATTCCTGCCATTCCAGTCCTTCCCTTAAAATTGCTCTAGATTCCAAACATCACTTTTCATGTTGGGCATGCAAGATGGTACAGCTCCAACATGGAAGGTAATGCTAAAACAATGGGGCTTTTCTGTATAAACTTTAAGGATTTTATGAGCTTTTCTGCTTACTTTTACTTCTAATTAAAGCTCAATCTTTTTCATTTCTTAGTTTGGTGATCATGGTATATATGTGCAGTTAATTACTTGAAACTTTGGGTACTACTTTAACGCTTATCCCTATTTATTTTCATCATGTTAGGGCCTTCTCTTTGGTTCTTAATCTGCTTGTCACAGATTAGTTTACCCATTCAGCTCTGGGTCATGCAGCACTGATAAGCATGGCCATCTGTATCTTCCTCTAACTAACAATAAGTGGAGAGAGGAGACAGAAAAAAAGACATTTGCAGTACGCTACAGAGGACCTCTTTTCCACGCCACTGTTTAAAAGACTGTATCGACCATCCAAGTTCCCACTGATAGGCAAATTTCCAGGTGAGTCTCTCCTAGAGACAAAAGAAGCTAAGAAATCACACAGGCAGAACCAGATTTTTCTCTAACCAATAAGAAAATCAGAAGCTGAAGCTGATGTGGGTAACTACAGATCAACTAATCCATGTGTATTCATTCTTCTCACCCAGTTCTCAGGTACTTACAGAATCACATAAAATTGAGGAAATCCAACCTGAGTGCCAATTTCACCGTTAAAAATAAAATCTTAAAGGTTATACCAAAATGGGAAAAAGATGAATAACTTCAAAACTATCACTGATTATAGGAAACAGCCTCACAAGAAACACTTCAAAATTACAGGATATTGTTACCTGCTTAAGCCCTTCTCTAGAAGGGACAGATGTTTTCACAATATCATCAATAGCCCACCACTGATCAGCAAGGTAAAGTGCCACAGCTAAAATAGAATAAATGATTGTTAACATTTAAGTGTTCAAATTAAACGTTACTATTTGGCAAGGCTTACACAGATATCCTTAAACATACTCATACTTCATAATACAATGAGGGATCCCATTCATACCATTTTTATTTTATTTTATTTCACCCATTTAACTATAGGCAACTGAAAATTATAATTTCCTAAATTTACAGTTTAAAATAAGTTTTTTCCCCTCTAATTCCTTCATTTTAATAATTTTTTAATTGTTTGGAGGAAAGTCCCTGGATTTGCAAAGATTAAACAAAAAAGAGACCTGTGAGTGAGTCTTCAGGTGCAAAAAGAGCAAGGATTTTCTGGGTCTGATCACCACCATAAAGAGGTACAAAGCCTACATTTGACAGGCTAATAGGAATCTGAAATGACAATTGATTAAAGGTTAATGAATAGTCTTATTTTAAAAATACAGGACAAAAACACTACACTTTACCAAAATGATAAACTTTTTCCTATATATTAGTAATGTTAATCATATAACTCATTTCAAATAAGTATTTTTAGTCTCTTTTTAAAAAATAGCAAATCAGACTTCCCTTTTGGGGAAATTTTATTATTTTGTGGGAAAAAGTGAAATTTATTTCAATAAATATTACTGTGTTCTACCCACACATTTAAATAAAAACAAAAGCATGATGTGGTCTATAAAATCATTAAAAAACAACTATAACCTAGCATCTATTATTTGGACTACTTAAGGGGGAAAGTCCCATTTTCTACTAGAAGATTCCAGATAGGTAAATTTACTGCTCCAGTGAGATTCATGCAATTGTCTTTCTTAATCCAACACTGTTTCTTCATTTACAGACAATACTATCATTCAGAGAATTATAAATACTGATGCTAGAGAAGATTTTTAAAAATCCTTTAAATCAATATAATATTCCAGAGAAAAAATCTGAGGCTGAGAATTAGAAAATCTGCCTACCATCAAGCTCACAGTGGAATTCAATGATGCCAAGTCAAATGATCTTTCTAACACAACATATCACAGCTTACTGATTAGACAGTTATACTTCAATGTTTTAAAAAAAGATTCATGACACCAAAGCGTAATTTAGTGTCTTGCTGATTTTTTTTATTAAAAAAATTTCTAAAACCACAAATTTCAAATCCAAAGTAATTTAATTGAGTTAGCTCAAATATGATAACCAGTCTTAGTGAAACTGGTAAACTATTTGCATGATGTCATTTTAAAAGCACACACAATTAACAAATAATAACCTGTACTTTGTCATTCTAAAAATTAATAATGTTGCTATACTAACCAAGCAATATTTATCTTTACTCCTATCTTCTGATAAAAATTTCAAAAGCCACTAGTTAACATTTCCTTTAAATGATTTTTAAAAAGTAAAAGGATACTGATTTCATATACAGACTACACTGAAAAGACTGTTAAAAATCACTGTAGAATGCCTTACCGTAACATTGAGAAGAGAAAAACACTCCGGATTTTCAGGGTCCCCACACCTAAGATCTGACATGTAATCTTCAGCAGAACTTTCCAGTTCCTCATGGCTGCAATTATCCAGCATATCCACAGGGAATGCCATCCTCTTTAATAAACAACATGGGAAAAAGTTTCAGAACATGAAATGCTTACTCATAAAGAAAAAGCTTTATTTGTAAGGAGACTTCTTTTTCACTACGCCAAGACAGACTACAAGCTGAAGCTGCTCAAAAAGAAAACTTTTAAACATTACTCCTTTGTATTAGAACACTGAAATTAGACTTAATGGGTTACTCCTTAAATAATAAGAATAAAACATACTCATAAAGGTGTAGATGTACATATTGACACATAAACGCACATATAAATAGATCCACATACACTCATCAACATGAAAGTCTCTGTAAAAGAACACAAGGAAACTTTCTGGAGCTATAGAAATACTGCACAACTGGACTGTGGTAATGGCTGCACCACTTTATAAATTTGCTAAAAGAAATGGAATTGTACAGCTGAAATGAGTGGGTTCTAAGGCATGAAATTATTTTCTTTCTCTCTCTCTTTCTCTCTCTCTCACACTCACACACAAAAGTTAGCAACTTAATGGGGAAAAAAGAAAGAATTTCCCATTAAGTCAAGCAAAGTAAGGACTCTAGGACTATATAACATCATGTAATACAAATGCAAATAGACAACAGAAAACAATGAGATGTGTAGGGATGGGTGCAGGTGTGAGGGTTGGTGGGACAGGAGACAATCTCTACCTCAATTTACAAATAATATATTTAATTAAAAACCAAAAAAAATGGAAAATTGATTCCAAACAGTAAGAAAATGTAGTGAAATAGGATGTGAAATTATATAGAAAAACCAAGTCCTCATATATACAGCCATTTAACCAGTAAGAAGTAATGAATGGGGAGAAATATAAAAACAGAAAAGACAACCCCATTTACCAAAAAAATGAATGGACTTAAATTTAACAACAATAGATAGTACAAGACCTACATAAGGAAACTATGAAACATTCCTAAAAGCAGCAAAGTAGGCAAGGATGACAAATCAAGTTCTTAGAAAGGAAGATTCAATATCCTAAAGTTAGCATTTTACCCTAAGATAAATGCAATACCAATGAAAATACCTTTAGGATTTTATTTTTTTCCAGAAGCAATACAAGTTGATTATAAAAGTTAATTATAAAATTTAAATAAGCAAGAATAGTGAGAAAAATCCCGAAAAGGCAGAACAATGATTGGAGAAAAATGCAAAGCCCTGTCAGATATTAAAGCATGTTATGAAACTCCTATTTATAAAACAATGTGATACAGGCATATGAACAGAAAGGACACTGGAACACAGAAATAAACCTTAAAGCCTATAAAAATATTTACGAAAGCAATACCATATGATTTCCAACAAACATTTAAAAAGGGAGGAAAACAATTTTTGAGAGATCAATTAGAAGCTTATATAAATAAAATGTTATAATTAGAAAAGGATCATAAATTAAAACACTAGCTCTATTGGGCCTCCCCTGGTGGCACAGGAGGTTGAGCACAGCACTGTGAAGCTGTCTGCAGCCTCTGCAGCACAGGTTTGATTCCCAGCCTGCCAGGGAGATTCCCACATGGCAGGGCAGACCACTCCTGTCTCGCCCACTGCCCCCCTCAGCAGTGTATTTCAGCATTATCTGCCTGTTCTGTTCCCTGCTCTGTCTCTGGTGAATCCTCTCACCCTCCCATGTGTCTGACCTGTATCCCGGTTCTTATATGTATGAATGAATAAATCTTTAAAAAAAAAAACAACACTGACATATAAAAAAAACACTAGCTCTATTGTAAAGGACTTTTTTTGTTAGCTTGAGCATGTTAGCATGTAGTTTGGGTTGTTAGTATGTTTCTATCATAAAGTGAGTAAGTAAAAACAAACTAAGGAAATATAATATTCTATAGTCAGATCCTGAATCAATATTAAAATTTTAGGTGAAACTAACAAAACAAAATAAATGATCAACAGTGGATGGAAGAAGTATAATTAGGACACCAGTTAAAGTGTTTTTTCCTCTCTTATAGATGTGATCCTAAGCTTTGTATCTAACAAAAACATTGAGACATTTAATATATCACATAATATACCACATTTAATATACCACATCACTGACTACATGAAGTTCAGGAAGGATTAATATCACCATATTCCTATCTACCCGGTAGGTAAAAATCATACAGTAACTGTCCTTTTATGTCTGACTTGACTTAGCATAAAGGTTTCAAGGTTCATCCATGCTGTGGCATGTATCAGAATCTCAACTCACTTTAGAAACACTGTATTCACCCTAAACTATAAAACCACCAATCAGATCATACATTTTTCTAATCGGTATTAAAATTTCTGTAATTTAATGTTTACCTGAATATTAACTAAAAGCATCTCCTAATTTCAGTACTATGTGAGCACACATAGTACAGTGAGGCATGATCATCACTATTTAGTACTTACAGTTCTACAGTACTTACATTACAGTAAAGACACTACTATACCACCTAGGTGACTGTGTGCAGTAAGACATAGCTACAGGTCAAGGCGGGGTGTAGCAGGCAAGCAGAATATGACTAAAATAAAGTAGAAACAGAAATTCATTATCTTTCATTTTTAAAAGTTCTTATATATTTAAATAGAAAAATAAACCTTTTAAATATTTAAATAAAAAAATAAACACTAATCTTATTTTATTTTCACTATTAATCTAAGATTATTTGTATATATGAGTATGTAAATATAAAAGGAAACAATCCTGGCTTTCTAAGGTTGGAGAATTTTAACAATCTGAAATTGGCATAAAGAGCATTTCTGAGGAAGAACTTCAGTTGGTTAGAACTCATGATTTCTAATAGAGTCTAAAAACTACTAGAGCTTCATGGTTTTTAATATAAAAAATCAGAAAATATTTTTTATAATTTCAAAGGTACACACACAAACACACCTCTTCTAAAATATTTCTGTGCTTATAAATCTACCCTTAAAACCGTAACTTTCATTATTAGTCTCTCTCAATGCTCAATTTTATTAGCTAAATAATCACCTACTAGAATTTAAAAGAAGATGGAAAAAAATAGAAGTTATTATAAGTCAATAAGGGCAGTAGGTAACATTTACTGAGAAGTGACCATTTATCAGACTTGAAAGGGGCTGTCACACTGAACATATGAGATACTTTGATCATTCCATTCTATAGATGAAGAAAGAGAGCTTCAGACATCAAAAAAGCTGACCAACACCATACACTCACAGGTCTAGACCCAGATGATCAAATATATTGTTCAAATATAATTATTTTATATAAAAATTCTTATAGTTTTACTCAATATGCAAAAATGTAATGTCATAGCATTTGCCAACTGTTTGAAATTCTTTAAAATATTGTAATTAATTAATTAAATATTCTATTCCCACATTATAACTGGAATTCTACTTAGGATCTTTGCTTCCTGAGTCAGCTCTGCCCTAACAAACTCTACACCAAAGGCAAGTTACTTACCCTCATTAGGCTTATGTGTTCTCTCTGATAATGTGATGCAATTGGACAGGTTAATCCTAAAGATCTTTTCACCTCTCCATGTTTATGACAGTTTATTTAAAAATAATTTTTTTGGGGTTAACTTAAGACTTTGTAAATTAACTAGCCATACAGTGGTTCTGCTACAATTTAGAGAGGCAAGATGATGGGTAAGGTTTCAGAGAGCAAAATAGGTTGCTGTGATAAATCACTTGCCTCTCTCTTTTTTTTGTTTTCAAGCTTCCATTCTATGTTACATAACTGCCAAAACGTCAGATTAAATTCTGTCAAATACTTCATGCTCTGCTCATGAGATAAACCAAAAGTCGTAACTAGATTCAACATGAATGAGAAAGTTTAATGTCACATACTGCACACTAACTCATAAAAAAATTTCGCAGAATGGACAGTGGAGTATAGAAAGTGTCCAAGTTAATTTATAAATTAAGCAAATGGTATGTATGCTCATTAACACTAGCCGACTTGTCTAAAGACATAATACTCAAACCTCTTACATAAGAGCTCTAAGTTGCCCATTAACTACTTTACATTCCTTTATTAATATTTCACCTCCTTGCCTAAAAAATCATGTAACTATTTGAAAGAATGAATTCCCTTAACAAGAAAATAGGAAAAAGAATTAGAAAACAAATCCCTATTACTGCGATTTTCTTCCCTATTTAATATCAGTTGTTGGATGTCAACTATATTCTTTATAAAGCGAACATATTTTGTAAGGGTAGTTCCTAAATGATTTGTAGAACCTTATACTTCATCGCTATTATTTGAGGGTTTTAGGGACTGGGGAAGATGGAAAAAAAGTATGGAAATTTTTCAGCTGAAAGAGTTCTCAGAGAAAAAGTAATTATCTCAATCAACCCAAGTCATGGTTTTACCTCTCCTGATTGTTTCCCCAACACAAAAATAGGTTAGGTATCCAAGGCAACGCAATCGGCAATGCTCTCAACCTTTTACACAAAAAGCCTGTTTCTGAACCTTATTATAATTCTTCCCTTGATTCTTCCCTTTTCTCCTTTCTCCCTAACATCATTTCCTTCCTCTAACCAACCTAGTGCCTGTACTACATCAGCTCAACTGATCACTTTATCTTACTTACCTTTTATTCTTTTATCCCTCCTGTCCCACGCAAGGCCATAAATCCTAGATTAATCCTTCCTCTCTCTTACAATAAGGTTTTGAGTATGACAAAAGTGAAACACTGAGCAAATGGCTACATCGCTCAAATCTCAGGTAGGCTCAACTGAGCTCAGCACTCCTTTTCTATCCTCTGGGAAAGGAAAAAGATTTAATTAGGTATGGGGGAGGACTGCCTGTAAGTATATGGGGTATTGGAGCAGGAAGTTAATGGGGTTCACACCTGTTGCCTCTTGTGATTTCAAATAATAATCACATAACCAACAATGGATTATTTGCCTCATTCTATTCAAAACACTTCATATGCATTCCCTGGTAAAGTTTTTATAACAACCCATGAAGTGAATATAATTATCTTTATTTGTCAGATGAGAAAACTAAGACACAAAGCAGATGAGCAACTCATTCAAGGGCATACTGTTCAGAACTAGTACGTGAATCCACGCAGTGTGGCTCTGATGCCATTTCTCTCTATCACAACCCAAGTATGAAAGCATAGATAGCATCTTGGGACAGACCCCTTGAATGGCTAAAGACTGTTTACATATATCAGAAGTCTTACAAATTCTCTAAGAATTTAATTCCCTATTTGTGTCCAGAAAAGTGGTCCTAGATAAAAAATCATTTGAACATCAAGTATACTTGGTACTTAGTATATTTTATAGTTTAAAAAACACATGGTACAGGATGTGTGTACATGGAAGGTTGTATAATTACTCAAGGGAGTGTGCTCTGGAGTCAATACCCAAGATTACCAGCTGCGTGACCACTGGCAAAATAAATTACTTGCACATAGTAATTAAGAGGAGATATAGAGGAGAGGGCTCTCTAGCTAAGGAAGGAATTACAATTAACTTGGAACATGTGTTAAAAATTTTACCTGTTTAAAAAAAAAAAAGAAGGAAAAAAAAAACTGTAACATGACCCACAAGAATTTAGATACTTGATACTAATACAATGGTTCTTTAAACTAAAATATAAGTGAATAAGTAGCATGAAAAAACAACTCCAAAAACAGGGAGGAAAAAAACAGAAAAAAACAAATGATAAAAAAAATCTAATTATTAACTTGCATGTAGCTTTTTAAAACAAGCTAATTTATGAAAAAATTTGCACATATTTATATATATGTACAGAAAATGATGTGGAAGAACACACACACACTGTATTGCTAATAGTAGTTATTCCTGGTGAAGGAGGAAGGAGGAGGGACTCCAAGGAGAAGACACTGGAGATTCAATACACAGCCCCCTAGCTCAATTGCTCACTTTGCTGTGGAGTGTCTCTTGCATGCATACAATAGGCAAAATTTAGTTTACATACTGCAATCCAACTCCAACGGAGACAGAATGTCACAGCACAAAATAGTGAATCGCCATACCCTGGATGGATGTTAAATCTCTTACCCTCTAAACACTGTGAACAGAATATAAACAGCTACTTACACTCCTCATATATATATGCAAAAGCTTAAGAATAAATAAGTAGGTGATATTTGAAAGAAACAGAGATGTGCTTATAACCGAAGCTTCCACTTGACCAACCACATATTGTACTGTCCTCCCATCTCCCCCAAATTTGCCTCCAAAATCTATCAGCAACTCCAGTACAGTGAGTTCTCACTGAACTTTATCTATAGGTTCTTGGAAACTGGGGCATTAAGCAAAATAACATAAATAAAACCGGGTTCTCAAATTTTTGTTCAAAGTCATTTTGTTCAAAGTCAGCCAGGATTTTTTTCTCATTTACATTTTAATAAAGATGTTGAACAAGCTGAGTGAGGACTGGCTATACTTCATAACTCAGATTACTTAACACTTCATACACTCAGAGAAGCAGTTTACCAAACTAAAGAAAGGCAAAACATTTAAATTAATACCGCATAAAACTCTGTCCTTCAACATTTGACAATTATTTCTTTAATTAGGTTTCTTTACCATAAAATAACAGAGGTCTGGCATTGTAAACTTCAAGAATCCAGGTTAATTCTAAAAATCAGCAATCCGAACAATATACCCATTGTTATAAGTATCTTTAAATTATCATAGATGTTTGTGTCATTTAGAACTATGAAGACTGATGCTTTCATTTTGAAGGAACTGACTAGACCAAAACAAAAGCAAAAATACAAAAAACTTGGTGCTTAATTTTGACACATATGGTTTATGAAACATTCTCCTGAGTCACAATCACTACCACCTCATACACCTATATTTTTAACATACAACTAAGAAATGTAACCAAGGGTTTCTACTACATGTACAGTATCACAACTACTTGGAAAAACAGCAGCTTCTGAACTACCAGTTAGCCATTCCTCTTCCCTTTCAAGCCACTGCAACTCCAGCCATGGCCCCATAGACCTGTTTTTGCAGCCCTCTTGCAAATTCAGGTGAATCTGTTTACCTAGATTAAGTAAATTTCTTTTTTCTACATCTCATTGGCAGCAGTCCCAGGAATAAAAAGAGAGAGAGTAGTAACCTTTTTATCTAGCTTCAATACATCTGGCTTATTTACTAAACAAATAAGTGAATGATCAAAAATTTGTACAGATAAACCACACACTGGTTTTAGGAGGAAGAGCAGCCACACAGTTAAGAATGGAAATTTCTCCTGCTAGATGAAAAGCAACAGATGGTTTTTCCATAATCAGAGAGAGGGTGAAGGTTTCTAAAAGGAAAGAACATACTAAATGGAAGCCAGAAAGCATGATGAGAATGACAGTCAGATTTACCAAGAAAGTTGTATATAAAGAGAAATAGTGACAAGAACACTAGAAAATTGAGAACAGGCTAAATACTACACTAAAGAGTTTGGACTTTATGTGGTACACAAGGAGGAGGCCATTTAAGGATCCTGTGCAACAGAATGATTCAAGTCCATGTTTCAAGACAACTTATC